TGACGCGGCTCATTTGTTTCTGAGGGAACAAAGGTTAATGACGTAGTTTAACGTCGATACTTAAATACTTTTAAAGTCATGGTGAAAGTAAAAAAAAATAGTAATTAAAGTGGATAACTAAGAAATCATTCAGTAAAAAGTTTGAAATATTTTCTATTCACTGCACTAGTATTTTTATTCACTGCACTAGTACTTGTAACAACATATGAAATGTTAAGGCTTACAACTTAAATGGCTTAAAAGTTAATGTCCAAACAAGCATTAAATTCGGAAAAAGGAGCAAAGATAAAAAAAGGGGACTAACTCAATAACTATGAAGTGAAATGTTACAGCTCATGTGCACTGCACTACTGCTCAATGGTATGTTATGATGTATAAGAACTAAGGATGACAACTTAAGTAATTGTCCAGTGTTATGTTCTAATCAAAGTGTGACCTACGAACAGACAGACAGACAGACAAACAGACAGACAGAAAGATGTTCCTACTTAGTTCACGTAATGAAGTTATTTCTTTGATCTATTTTGATCAAGCAAACTTCTATACACCCCATAAACAATGTTTCTGCCAATAAATAGTAATTATACGGTTTGAAAGCGGAATGACCGTCATAATGCAAACTTGTACGCAGGTCTATACCCATTCCTTGCTCTCGGACGTGACAAAATTACGGGTTATTGTGCTTTTTCTTCTTTATCTAATAATCTACATTAACCAAAATATACCACATTTGAAAACAAATAGTTTATATCTACTTTTTTTGTGGTTTCCTCCTTTTTACTAAGATTATGAACGGAATAAATCTCATAAACCATTAGGGGTTGACCCGGAGAGATGAAAGGACGAATTAAGAGTCGGACGAGCAACGCAAAATCTATATGCCTATTATCTATATATTCCTCTGCCTTTGACCCGGGATACTTAACATTCCCTGGATTAAATACATGCGGCATAAAATTGCTTAGTGCCAAGTAAACTAACATTAATGTGTAAATTTATATTATCATGCTTAAAACTTGATGAAATTAGCCAATTCTAATGATATATTTGTAAATACATCAAAGAGAACAATTCTACATGTAAAAATATCGTTAATATGAATTGTATATGCTGATTAGTTTCCTTAAACACATAATTTTAAATGATTTTCTCACGAAGAAATCCCAACCATGGTCAGTTTTCCAACCTCACACACAACTCTCATCAACTGTCATCACTTTCTTCATCACCACTAGAATTAGATCCACTTTTGTTTGTTTCTGCTGTTTCTAACAATAGCGGAATACCGTCCCCTTCCAAATTTTCTTTGTTAATTCCAAGAATTTTTCGAAGCTCATCTAATTCAGCTTTGATTTTTTTCTGTCTCATGTCAACTATTTTTGTCAAACAATTCATTATGAGTACTAGCATGAATGTTCCAGCAAACATTGCTATTATTGTTTCAGTTTTATGGTTCTTTGTATAATGCATTAGTTTCCTAATGCCCTTTAGTTCCGGTTTAGTGATTATTTTGACTCTTGCTGTTTTCCATATCTTGCCAGTACTCCGGTCTTCAACCTGACATGTCCATACCCCGGTGTTTTTTTCATTTACTGATTTGATTATGTCTTTACTTTTGTCGGCTGCTGATTTTTCAAAATGGTTCCATCCTTTTGGATCTTTCCATACCCTTCTTGACTGCTTAAATAGAACGCCGAGCTCGTTCCCCATGGCAATCTATTACCAGAGATTCTCCTTTATTTATAGCTTTTGTCTCGTTTCCAACCACAACTGAAAACACTGCAACTGTAATGCTAACTTTAGACGGGCTCAACTTCAATACACAATGGTACACACCGCTGTCCTCAGGTAACAGATTCTGTATAGTTAATGTCGTCAGTCTTGCGGACATTCTTGATGGTTGTAGCGATAGATTGTCTCCATTGTATTCCAACGAATCTCGACGAAAGGAAAATCTGATAAAATCTTTCTGTATGCTTTGTTTTTACATGACATGCTCAAACGTGACATTGGGTTTTGATCGTAGGAATGATAGGATTCCTGTATTTCTTTTCTCGCAGCTTCCTTAAAAGGTTCTAAGAGCTGTGGTGGCATATCATCGGTAGATCTCTTCATACGCTTCAGTGTATCTCTTCCAAGTATACTGGACTCAAAAGAATAATTTATAAATAAATTTAAAAGAATAAGTGTGTATAAAATTGCTGGCGCCATTTTGTCTTCGCGTTTAGAAATGACGTCATATTGGTTTGACGTCATGACGCGTGAAAACTTCCCTCTTGTATAGACTCAATCAAACCGAGTCTGCAATTTTCATGTAATTTTACTATTTCTTATGCTTTCAATGGATTACCTTTTCCAGATATTAATCTAGAACAATAAAGTCAAAAAGTCTGGAAGATGTGAATAACCTAAATTTACATCTTCATAGTTAAATCTACTGTACTACTAACTTGCCCTGACCTAAGTACTGACTTTGACAGGGAGTCTAAATGCGTTGATGGTTGTTATATGGTAGTCTACCACCCGGATCACGGCACTAAGCCGCTTTGAATTCACAAGAGCACAGTTCAGCCACGGCCTCGTTCAGGACGGGAAGGCTGTCAAGCAAATTACTAGTTGACTTCAATTTCGCAAGTAACTGATAATATATGTACATGCCAAAGCAGCGGAACAGTGCGAATGACCTTGAAAAGGATTTCATGATCAATCAATGATTCACCACAGAAGGAAGTTAAATTCACCGTCCAGGAATCAATTTTACCAGGTTGCCCTATTCTTTTCAAAGTACAACGCTTTACATGCCTACTAAGTTACCAGAGTCTTTGCTAAAAACATAGGCCTTCATATTGTGTCATGCCATAAAATACAAGTAAAATATGGTTTCCTGCGGGGAACATTTTTAATGATATAAATATATTTCATTTAACTATTTGCAACATTGTTTGTGGGGGGGGATAAATAAACGTTTGTATCAGGAATATAGCTGACAATAATCGATCAATATAGAAGAAGGTCTTTGGAAACTGGTGACCGTTGAAAATGATTAAATAGGCCTACCATTTTATGAATAATTCCGAGCAAAAAAAAAATAAAGCAAACACACAAGTTTTCGCAGAAAATCTCTATTTATTATGGCAGATGCCACTACGAATATTTTAATTTTGTATATTTTCAGTATAAACAATTTATTGTTTGTAACATTTTGAGATACATATTAAAGAAACATTGATAATTTTCAAACACATCATTCAGGTTTTTTCACCTTAAACGGTAACATAATTATAGAAAATTAAAAATATCACGTAATAGTTTTTTGTTCATTAGAGTAGGTGTAATTCTGACTTATTCCCAAGAGGATTATCCGTAACGTACCGGCAAACGGTATTTAGCCAGGTTTTCGACCAATCATGTACGGTTTACAGATCACATGCTCCTCCATGTACCGAAAACAGGTCACGTGCTCCTCCATGCCTCAAAAGTTAAACGCGTTCCAATACCCTGCGGGGAATTATACATTTGTAAATTAAACCGCCTAAGGTACGACTCGTATATTTTGTAAAGTTAAAATATCTAAATAATTAAATAGAGGTTTCACCGTGTATATCCAGTAACGCAGGAATGTGCAAATAACGCTGGAATTGTGAAAAAGTAACGCAGAATTGTGCAATTTAGTGGCTAAAACGAGCACAGCGATAAGTAAATGGACCAATAATTTTTATTGTAAACCAAACTGGAAGTAATGAGTTAGCGCATACGGCGCATATTTATATTTCCATGAAAATGTTTATATTTCAAAATCATTCGTAAAAATGACGACCTGACTAGCGTATTGATTTTTAGTTTCGTTGATATCTTTAAATACAATAACGTACATATTACTTTATGATTTGTTATATTCGGTGTACCTGAGACATTTTCCAATCTACTCGTGTCATATTACACTTTATTTAGTAGATAAAACTTAATTGAAACCATTTTTACAAGGTAACGCCGAATTCGTTAATGAAACACTGAATTAACGGCGGTTATCTCATTAAAAGTTGCTAAATCCTTCTTTAACAGCTTCCTTCTGTTGTTATACGACATTTTTAAGTTGACAAATGTCTTAGGTATACAGAATATGAAATAAATAAAGTTTTAAAAATGTGTTAAATGTACATATTTATATGACGAAACACAAAAGTCACATTCAAAACAGTAATCAGGTTCTTTTTCTCACGAATGAACATATAAATTCCTGAACAAAATTGTAATGCTGGTTAAAGTATAATGTCGTAGCAGCCGTATGCGCTAATTCATTTCTTTAAATTTGATTGAGAATAAAATATTTTGGTTTGTTTACTTACTGTGCAATGCGTTGCACATATTCGGTGTTACTTTTACGATAATTGCACATTCCGGTGTAACTGGATATGCACGGTGGGTTTATTCAGTATTTTTATATTTTATACTAAGATTATAAGACTGATGTATGTCCTCACAACATCTGCAGCTAATGAAAATGTAAATCTATATAAGTATGTGGGAAGGCAAATGAAAACCAGGCACAGCTGGGATGTACTATAACGTATCGTATGTTCCAGGGCACAGTTAGTCCAACTAATTGTACTCCGCGACGAGAGATTGTGCTATTTTCGTGTCTGGGCAATATCTCGCCTCTACAAAAGCGAGATTCTGTCCCAGAACGAAAATAGCTCAGAATCAAGCTTTGGCACTCAATATATTTTGACTACAAGCACAGTATACATGTATATCAGGGTCTTTTTAATTGAAAGACCCTGAGTATATCCATATCCTTTAAAAATCCATCGTGATAAGTCTCGTGCTTACCATAGACACTTGGTTCCTTTTGAGAGGTTTGTAGAGCTCAAATTGAATAGGAAAAAGACATCGTTACATTCAATTGAGTTGCCTTGGTGGGCGTGGCTTTTATTTTCCGTACAACAACGACGACGCAAACGGAAATAACCGATATCTAATTACGGCGATTATTCGGATTTTCCCGAACAAAGCTGCCAAGATGGCGGTCGAGTTTGATGGTGATAGAATGCTTAAAAACAATCATAATACAAATTCTGTGCACCCAAAAAGACCGCTTTGTGCTTGCACATCATACAGCTGCAACAAACTTTTCTTGTTTTTGCACTCATGTTTTTTCGTGGTAAGTAAAATGCCGTAGATTCACAAAATTGAAATGATCAGATCTTTTTTTGTCAGTCAGTTTGTTTTGATTTTCGATGTTATTGTATTACATAATTTTGAAGTGAATTTTAATTGTGTCATTGTTGTTCGTTGTTATAACGATTGGATATAATTAACTCTATAACCAATTTGTATGAGTATTGTCAACATGGTTAATACTAATCTGGGTCAGCTCGGCCCACAACAATCTCGCCCACTGGTCATCTCGACCCACTAATAAATGGCACGATATTATATGCCCTCAACTTATATTGTCATAATTTCGGCAATCTCCTGGATTAGACTCCTATGTATTTTTCAGGTCTAAAACTTGTACATAAAACACTAAAGAAAACGGAATGAACCATATGTATACTCCTGGTTTAGACCCCGGGGTCTAATCCAGGATATAGCCATAATTTCGTATTCAAATAAATTATGATAATGAATGTCGTAATTTATGTTCAATACACATTACACCAAATAGAGCCTGACCATGAATAACCAATGTTCAGTTGTTCAAAATTAATAATTATACACACTGTTTTATGGTAAAATTATGATGAAATATAAAGATCTATACTGGTTCGGGACCACCAAAACCGGACAACCACCAAACCCGGACGGCCCCGAAAATGCTTGATTTAGTATTTTCTTTGTTCATTGGTTGTCAGTCACTTTTTTATCAACAAGAAATGCATGTTTCTTCTATAATTAAGTAAATAAATTCATTTCAACCTCCGTAAATGGTAATATTTCAATGTCTATTTCAAAAAAGTTGACGTTGAAAATTTGGGTGCAAAGAAAGCCATGCCTGACCTCATATACCAGCTATAATCATTTGCAGAGTAAACAATAGAATATCCAAAATTTCAGCATTTGTTGCTAAGATATTGTATATCATGTTAAAAATCAAAAATTAAAACACCCAAGCTTTTATCTGATTTAAATCACGTCATGTACATATCTGTCCGGACATGTGGTACTGTAGTGTAGACAATTTAGGTCATTTTGATACCCTCCTTGACGAGCCTCAAATATAAGTGTCAATAAAATCAGAAATAAACAAACTAGTTTGTTAGTTGGGAGAAGTCCTAGCTGTACTGTTTAGAATTTTTAGGTCTCTAGGTTTGAAATTATGAAATTTGTATGGAAAAATGTTCAAAAAGTGTCCGGTTGATGGTCCCCGACCAGTAAATAAGATCTATAAAATCATCTTTAGATAATTTTAAACACTTTTTGGTACCGTACAGTAAAGTTGAAGTTACCAAAATAACTTAAGCCATGGCAATTTACTTAATCTGGCAAATGCAGATTTTATCAGCTTTCAGGGTATGCTATTGACTTCAGCAGTGTAAACTTAAGTTGAAATTTCCCTTTTTATGAATACAATTCATTATACATCAGTCCATAAAAATAACAATGTTTTATGGTTTTAATAATGTTCAAAATTTATTAATTAGGCCTAGTATTTTCATAAAATAAGTTGCCAATCAACTCAGCTTCAACTGCCAAAAATTACTAATTTCATGATATTCAGTAAAACACAAGTTTGCATATTGTATTGCTTTTTATTATTTAGATCTACTATAAACATGCAGTATAGGTAGTCTGTAGTGTACAATATGTATAGGCTATCTATATGAGTCTAGCATACAGCTACACTTTTTGACTAGCAGTACAAGCCCGAACGCTCACTAAATTCTTCTTCTTTTTTTTTTCTTTTTAACTGTGCCACGCTACTTTTTAACCTTATTGACCAAGGCAAATTCGTAACCACAATGTGTGTTTATGCCCTGGCTTAGCAGATATGTGATAGAGACTAAGACTTAGAGCTGTCATTGATTCAGTCCAAAGCATATCAACGATATATCGATATCAAGTAACTAAAATCAACGATACACCGATATATCGATAATATCCTATACTCACTTGTCTGTCATTCATTTTCATACCTGTTTCAATGATTTCAGTCAAAAACCTGTTCTGTACAGTGTCTTGTCCACTGCATGATTTTTTCTAGACAATATTTTTTGTCACCATTGCTATGAAATAATTCCACTACATAACAAAAGCATCACATTTGATATAAATAATTGTTTCTGCATATATTTTGGGTGAATTTATATAATTTCTAGAGATTTAATTTATAAGTCAAAAGTATCGATTTTTTAAAATGTGTATCGATTATTGATCGACAAAAAAATATCAACGATACATCGATATTTTCGATGTCGATGACAGCTCTACTAAGACTTGGCACTTTTCAAATGACTGATTTTAAAATTCAAAGTGGGTACATGCTCTAGATATAACCAGCAAATATAGTTGACTGCTGATTAATGGGACGTAATATAAATGGGCAAGGTGTATAGATACCTCAAACAGTTACATGTATGTTCATGGGAAGATGGATCATTTTTCTCAACAATTTAAAACATTAGAATAGACCAAGCAAAATATTTCAGTTTTCATTTTTTTTAATGCAAAAAAAAAGTATGAAATTTGTAACAATTTTTTATGTATGTAACATTTCAGGTAATTGGAGCAGGTTTATTGCTGGTAGGAGCTTGGATAGAGTTACAGAACAAGGATTATGAGTCTGTTAACAAGGTGCTGTTTATACCAGCTCTCATGCTTATGTCAGTGGGTTTTGTTATCATGATTAACTCATTAATCGGTGTAGCCGGCACAGTCAGAGAGAATAGCTGTCTCCTTAAAACAGTAAGTGCAAATTAATGTATGTTATAAACCTTTCTATGTGTAATTGAATATTGTACATATGTAAGAGCGGTTGTGCATACAATTTCTGTTCTTTTCCATTTGCCTCAACGGCTGGTGTGCTTCATCGGCTGGAACAGAAAGTGAATTGCCTGGTTTGCCACCAGTATAGAGTCTGTGCAGTCGGACCATGCTTTATACTGTTGGTAGCTCTGTTTCTGTAGTTGAGTATTGAAGGAGGACAAATTCAATACACTAATTCTGTAGGTTAATTGTTAATAATTTATTGTATAAACTCATTCATCTATACAAGGTTTGCATTTTGATCTGAGGCAAAAGATGTCATAACGAAAACCCCTGAATTGGCCAAGGGTCAAGGAGGATATTTTAATCTACAGGCTAAAAAAACAATCAATTTTAATAGCATTTCAACAGATAATATGTATTGCCAATCTGTTAATAATGAAAATCATGTCTATTCTATAGCCGTCAATTCCTTTTGAATTAGTTTTTTCTAATTAATGAGTCGTAAAAGATATTTTATTACATGCTTGTATGTACATTTTACATTGAGATATATATTTCAGTTTCTGGTGGTTACAGTGCTTGCATTCTTCACTCAAATTGCTATTGGCGTGTTAGCATTTGTACACAGACAGAAGGTAAAGGCATCAATTTATGATCATATAACCATGGTTTATATCTACATGTATTAAATCTTACAAAAAGAGAAAAACATACCTTTTCATAGGAACTTTTAAATTCATGCAAACTAAAATGTATATGATTTTTAGTTTATATAGAATTTTTTTTAGTTTGATTGTGTAGGAAGATATAAGCTTATAGACACACTTTCGAATCCGTTCCTGGAACCAACCAGTACTTAGCAATGAGTGTAAAGCTTCTTGCTCAAGGAAACACTGACTTGCCCCTGACAGGGTTTGAACCTATGCGACTAGCTATCATTAGCTTACTAGTCTGACGCCTTAACCACTCGGCCATGCCGCCACAAATATATAATTTTTGCAAACATGATATAGCTCATTCAACAAATGATTGACATTTTAACAAAAACAAATGATTTTTTGTTTGGTGCAATATACATTCAGCTGATTTTATTTATAATTCATCGTTGTAGGTCCCTGATTTAGTGAGCAACAATTTTATGTTCCTTGTTGAAGAGTATCATCAGAACCAGTATTACAGAATGGCTGTAGATCATGTCCAAGTTGGTGTAAGTAATTTATGATATCAGTCATATCATATCTGCTCACAATGACACTAATAAATTTAAAGTAAAAATGAAAGCATAAAACTTGTGATGGTTTTCCTTTTACATTTGTATTACCCTAAACTGGTCAGAACTGTTTCTGCCACCAGTATAAAATCAGGCCAGCCTGTTCTTTTGCCACAATTAGGGCAGCCTGTTTTTTTCTCCACATGTATAGAATCAGGCCAGCCTGTTTATTCATGTAGTCATACCACTGGTATCCAGGCTCTATATTTTTGGCTTACTACATTTAAATTATCATCTTGATACTCCCAAAATTAGTAATTGATGGTCCCTAAAATGGAATGTTGGAGAGTCTTTTTAAGAAATTCTGCAGGGGGGTGGGGTTAATTTGAAGTTAATTAATGAGTCAAAAGTATTTGTAATAATTGATCATAAATTTCATATCAGATATGCAAACATAAATTATTATTCATATAATTTAGATGCATAAAAAAAACAAATGAGCCGCGCCATGACAAAACCAACATGCGTATTCGACCAGCATGGATCCAGACCAGCCTGCACATCCGTGCATTCTGATCATGATCCATGCTGTTCACTTTCAAACCTTTTAACAAGTAGAGAAACTGACAGCGAACAGCATGGATCCTGATCAGACTGCGCGGATGCGCAGGCTGGTCTGAATCCATGCTAGTCGCATGCACACTGTGTTCGTTTTGTCATGGCGCGGCTCAAATGAAGTACAGTTAAAGTGTAAAAGAGAACATGGTCTTTAAAGGGTTATTTTGTATTTCTCTATCTGTACCTCTCTATCTGAAAATTTGCAAATTCTATTTAATTTAAACTCGCATGAGGAATACAGGGCCATCAAGTTTTTCTTGTAGTTTGGTTATCATAGCATGTTATATATTTTCAGTTTCATTGTTGTGGATTTGATTCGTACATGGATTATGATAACAACTCGCAGTTCACCTGCAGCTCTACTTTACCTCAACAATGCGGAGTACCTTGGTCATGTTGTAAAAAACCTCGGGTAATTGTATTTCTTTTATATAGATATCTTGTTGTTTTTTGTTTTTGTTTTTTTTATAGCACTAATTCATTTCTTTAGAAAGTCATCAATGTGAAAAATGAAAATGTCCAGGTTTAAAGTAGGTACTAAGTTTTAGGTGCAATAATCAAGTATTAAGACCTTGATCTTTTTTCCATGTTGGAAAAATGTAAAATAATAGTGCCCTTGATTTGTAATATGGTGATTCATTGACAGAAATAAATATATATTTGATTGATAAATAGCATAAAGAACCGGTTTGTTGATTGATAAATAGCATAAAGAACCGGTTTTATACTATTTCAGTCATATACAATGTAACATTTGTTATTGAATGTATAAATAACATGCAAGATTAATTGTTATTTAGTTATTATATGTTTTCTGTAAGTTTTGTGTCAGTTCCGAAAATAAAGTTTTTAACATGTGATTTTGACTATAACATAATTATGATATTCCATATTTAATAGCTCACAACAGATGTACTTTAACTTTAATATTAGGTAATAAACTTAACTTGTTAAAAAGGCAAGATCTATTGTTCAGTCACATATTGTGTTTTAATATATGGAATATTTCAATTGTAGGAAGGTGGATTTAAAGTGAAATGTGGATATGGAACCAGATATAACTCAACTGTAAGTGCAAAACACTGATTTATCATCACCTATATTTTTAATTAAAGGCACAGTCTGCCTCATGTATCAATTTTTTGTTGCTATTCTTTCAATGTGTTTAATAATGTTTAAATAATTGAAATGCTAAACAACTGAAGAAAGTGGCACTGTATCCAGTAATGTGTCATAAAGGTAGCAAAAGGTAAAAAAGTTGTATTTTGTCTTCCATAGAAAATACTAAATCACTATGATTAAACTAATTGCCAAAGAGCAAAAGATGGCTCGGCTATATGACCGATGAGAATTTTTAATTATAACAAGACACCAATAAAAAGGTTTTGATAAAAGATGAAAATGGTAGCATTTTAGGGACTTGCTGGGCCTTTAACTGTTTGAATATTATATTAGTTAATGGTTTGTCTATGCCAGCCTTCATATCTGTACAAACTGACATACACTTTATACTTTTGGATGAACCAAATGCTATTTTCCCTTAAAATCCCACATATCAATAGCAACAAGTTTCAAATTCAAAACAGGACAAATCATTATAGAGCATAGGAAGGTTAAAATGTAACAAAAGCATTCAATGCTTTACCATATTTTCTTCACTTCTTAAGTATTAATTGTTGTAAAAAGATCTTGCTGTTGCATTATTTGTACACATGTAGTTGTCCAGAGAAAAATAGAGATTTAGCTGAGATTCTCTTTGTGTTGGAATTGGTTAACCACAGATATATGCATAGTGACCAAATAATGGACCTTTCCAGTGTTTACAGTTTTTATGCAAATGTACTGACCGACTATCCCATTGCTACACTGGGATAATACATAGTCACTGGTTGACCTGCTTTACCCAAAAGAACATGATTTTGTTTTTGATATTGTTTGTAAGCAAATTACCTAGCAAATAATAGGAAAGGTGGAGCTTAATTTTTTACTTCTAAAATCTGGAAAGAGCAATCATGGCGGTTAGCTGAATACTTAAGACAAAAGGCAATACATGCAAGAATGAAGCTATTGAGAAACCAAAATAAAAATGGAGAAATACCTAAATGATATAAACAGAATATATAACCTTATAGATACAAACTTTTATTTCACAGTGCCTAAAATCATACTTGTGATTTAACAGAAATTCTCTGGAGTTATGGTCACTCTATTTTTTAAAAGAGTATTGTCAGTAAAACTCTTCTAGGACTTGTTTTTTTGCATGTTAAAATGTGGGTTGTCTTAGAAAAATAACTGTTTATTTACTGTTGACAAATACAGATGCCTGTAGACAAGATAAATACAATGGGTTGTACAGATGTATTTCTAACATGGCTCAGCTGGAACCTTGATATGGTGGGCATAGTAGGACTTGGATCTTCTATTCCACAGGTAAACTTATAAACTGTCATAAATGTGTAAATTATAAACTGTAAATCACTAATGAATTGAATAATACACTTATTTTTTAGCTCTCCAGTTTATTTGAAATGTGTGAATTTTTGTATGACAGAATGAAGTATGTTCATGGTTTGACCTGTCTAAAAGCAAATCCATTTGTCATTAGTTCCCTATAAATAACAATTCAATGTAGAGCACTAGAGGTCTTCTTTCACCAGTAAAGCTGGAAAGACCCCATATGAGCTTCATAGTGCCTGTGTGAGTTAAAAACGCAACAAATGAATGAGTTCCCAATAAGTTTGGTGAACATCCTCTATTGTCACATGAGAGATTTATTTAGAAAACTTATATCTTCAAATCATGTTGATGTTTATATAATCTTTATAAAACAGAACTTGGCAAAATATACTTAGTGTATGTACAAGCAGACTTATAAGTGGACAAATTTAAATTACATTTTCTTATCTAATTGTTTAAAAGGAATATCAACTGCATTTTCTTCAATCATTATTGGCAGTTTTACTGATTATAGACATAATTTTGAAATTAAGGATGAAATGTGTATTTACAGATTGTTGGTATTTTGCTGGCATATTTTTTCATACGTCAAGTTAGAGAGATGAAGATGTGGTATCGAGTAGGCATGTGAAGAGTGAAGTGGTCATCAGCAAGATTACAACAGCTATCCTGAATCAGATCAGCACATTTACAGCTGAATTAATATTGCCAAAATTTATACAACCTTCGAAACAACAAGATAAGAGGAGGGATGGGGGGGGGTTTCAAAAACATGCTAACTGAAGGTGATTGCAGCTATAAAGCAGAAGATTATACCTATTTTCTGTGTCACTAATGTTAAATTTGACAGCTCGGGTTGCTTAGCTATTCATGTGATTAGAAGGCATGCATATAGGTGTAGGATTCTTACAGTTTATTTTTTGTAGTTTAACTTTTTTAAGAAATTCACACAGTATTTATATAGATTTGATTGTGTTGTAAATTATGTAGTCCGTCAGTAATTCTGAAGGGTGTAGAATATATATAGTTTGTTTTTTTTCTTTATCACAGACTGATACAGAAGATTTTAATCTTGACTTTTTTGTACCTAATCAGCCGTCAAATTCTTGGCTGTTGTAATTGACAACTTTGACTTCATTTAACATTATGGTAATAGGTTAGTTGTTAGTAATTGATATTTTCTTTTTATATTCATTTAATCTTTGTTTTTATCTAGCAATTTTTGAATTGCAAAAGATCATCCATTGCATTTATAACCAAATATTCATGCTTTTTTAATATAAACATGTGCAATATAGAAATACTGTTTCATTGTTTTGTTATGTGGATTGTTTGTTGTTTTTCTAAACAGTTAAGAAATTCATTCCTTTTTAAAGCAGCATGCCTCCTTAGTAATGCTTATTTTCATGCAAATTTTGAAAATGTATTTACAAGTTAAATATTGTGAAGTGAACATGGGAAGCGATTTACGCATTGCAAAAGGTACTTACAATCATAACGACGTAAAAATATGCAAAGATAGTCCTTACTTGGTTAGTCACACAGTAGAAATATGGTGATAAATACTGCAAGATCAGTCATTAATTGCACATAACATGTAAATTTTTTCTTGAATCTTTTAAATCACTTTACTTTTCTTAACTTTTATCTTAAATTTGATTTTTTATTCTGTGGCTCATCTGGAGGCATGCAGTTTTAAGATTTTAAAATGCATAATTTATATAAAATTTTATAAAGAAGTTATTATTTGTTTTTATATAGAGTTAAGAAATCCACTTTTTTTAAACACATTTTGCAAATATTCTTCATATTCATTATAAATACAAAGTCGGCAACTTCCTTTCTATTGGAATATGAATGCATTGATTTAAAGAATTTATTCATGTACAGCTCAACTCGCACAAAAAAAAAGATTATTGATTTATATATACATGTATATTTTCATGACATGTGATTAGTTGTCATTACTTTACTAGAAACAGTGTTTATTATGTAAATGTTTCTTTTTGTAGCAACACATGCATTATATGTTTCATTAGTAACCACCACTTGTAGACAATAGGTATGTTTGAAGATGGTGTTTTTGTTACAGTTTATAGTTTGTATACAGGGATAGAATTTCATATAGGTTTTATTTTGTGAGGAACAGTTATACAGTTGTATAAATTCTCAGTTTTTATACCACATTTTGTAAAATAAAACTACTTTTTCCATTACTTTAATTAGATTTAAGGTGGAAGGTTAAAGGTCATTTTTAGGGTACAAATCAACTTTTTGATTCCTTATTGGCACACAACAATTCGGGCCTATGTGGCTGATTGGTTAATGTCTATGGCTTCGATTCATTTGCCCCTCACCAACGTAATTAAAATCAATCCAGTTTGCTTATGAAAGGGGCATCTGAAGTAAATTTACATCAATTAGGATTGAATGTTGTCATGTGACCCCTAACAGTGTTGATGTGACTTATAAGCTAAGCCAACCCCTCCCAAAAAAAGAGAGATTATTAAAATATAATTATAATCATGAGTTAATTGAGTTACTGCTGTTTACAATACATTTTCAAGACCTGATTACTTATTATGAGATAGTGGTACAGATTTTTTTAAAGACATGTACATATTTTAACTTGTTTTAACATAAGTTGCTTAAGTACCAAAGTGTGTTAAAAAAAGTAACCGGTTAACCCATTGTTCATGCTGCTAATCATTTTATTCATGGACCATTGACTTACAATTTGTATATACACAAACGAAATGTTGTCTCATTTATCATTTAAAGCGCATAATCAATGCATAATATTGTGTTCTAAGCCCCTATATTCATCAGTGTTTAAAGTCTTACTTGATCAACTAATATAACATTTTTCAGATTCTAAGATATTGAAATAATAAAGTATGCTAATATTTAGCCATATGATATCTTTACCTGTACTTAATTTTGTAAAGTTTGAAAAGTCAATGTCTTAAGACTTTTAATATTGATGAATATAAGGGAAGTTTATTTTAGTGTATTTGTATTTGTTGTTGAAACTGTTTGATGATAGTTTATGTACTGGCAGTCAAATGTTAGGATTCTGTAGATTTACCAACTCATTGTGTCTCACATTTTCTCAATTATGACACCGACTTAAAGGTATCAGATTGATTACACTGACTTAATGGTATCAGATTTATGACATTATGTTAATATTAAGGTATCAGATTTCTGACACTAGCTTAATGGTATCAGATCTATGACACTAACTTAATTGACTAGATTTATGACACCAAATGGTGTCAGATTTATGACACTAACTTAATAGTATTAGATGTTTAACTAGTGTTTTTTTCTTTATAAATTCACAATTTTTTACTCATTGGCAAACATAGCATATATCTTACATTTGTAAATTTTCAAAAACCTTTTTAAGTTCAGAAAAGCGTTGAACAGATCTCTATTGATTTTTATATGCCATGATATTGCCATGGTATTTTGTTAATAAATAAAAATTATATAAACATTATATACATGTACTTGTGCCTAAACATTACATACTCAAATATTTATCTTGAAACCTTGCTACATGTATAATGGCACTGTTACCATTTCTCAGGTAACTGAATATTAAATATCAAAAAAGTTGTTGAAGATTATTTATTTACATAGAATATATGTTTTATATGGAGTTATATTAGTTATGATGTTAAATTTTGTATTTTCACCTTGTACTCACTCTGTGTTGTCTCTTTTTTTCTTGCTTGCCAGTGTATCACATAATCTAGTCTTGACACATGCACAATGGAATCATGTTCTTTGAAATCATGTACAATCGAATCATGTACTTTGGAGTCATATTCTATGGAATCATGTACTATGGAATCATGTACAGTGGAATCATGTTCTATTGAATCATGTAATGTGAAATCATGTACTATGGAGTCATGTACTATGGAATCATGTATAGTGGAATCATGTTCTATTGAATCTTGTACTGTGGTATCATGTACTATGGAATCATGTACAATGAAATCATATTTTATGGAATCATGTACTATGAAATCTTGTACAACAGACTCTTTTTTGCTTGTTAGCATTTCTTTTAACCGGGCTGCAGATATCACTATAATAAAATGGGGAATACATTGTATATTCATTGCATTTATAAGTAAATTTTAATAAAAGAAAATTCTAGTTTTGTCAAGATGTAACTTTACCTAAAGAGTATGTTTCTAACAAATAATAATGATTTCATGGTTGTGTAAACTGTAATTTTTAGTTGTGTTTCAATTTTGTTGTTTTTCTATTTTCCAGTGCAATATTGTTGCATATTTTGTGAAAGTTAATAGCTGGACCTAATAATATTTCTCAATTTTTGTTTTGTTTTGTAGGTTGTCTTTTTAATTGTTTTTGTTTGTTTTTTTAATATTTTTTTCCTAAAATTAACCATATAACATGTTCATGGTGCTTCAAAACAAATCAAGTATTTAGGAGGAAAGGAATTTAATAAATTGACCACAGTGATGCTGTATTTATAGATTCTTTATTTTTACAGAACTACACATGTTAGTTTGTAGAAAATGGTAATTCGTATACATGCCTTTGTCCATGAAATTACATCTGTCAGATGAGTTATATTTAGCTTTACTACAGTATAACTTTACTGTATGAAACATTTTTGAACTGAAAAAGTGAATTATAAATTAAATATACATGCAACAAGGGAAACAATCAAAATGTCATTGATTTATAATTAACCATGTGAATGGATTATAAAAATTACATGAACTAGTATACATTATTATATCACAAAACCATTAAAATACTTTAAATATAAGATCTTGTTCTATTATAGAATGAAGCCAATTTTGAAATATTAGTCTAATTATTTTATGAAGAACAGAGTGATGTCCCTTTAAATGTTGTTTGATGACAGTAGTTAGTGAAGTATGTAATGTTAACTCACTTAAAACAAAGAAAAGTTACAACAGCTCTCATTATGTACGATATTATGTTAAATTTTAGGATGTAATTTATTATTTCCATTATTATATAAGAAAGATAAACCTGTTTGTACTTTTGATGTTTCCAGACATTTTAATATACAATGTACATATCACCATATTTTTCCATTTGTCATAATTTTCATTTAAGCTTATTTTTGCTTATTTTCATTTTGTTATTATGTTATATTTTGTCAAACTTCGATACATTCACAAAAATCTTCTCTTAATTTTTTTATTATTTTTTTTTGTTTGGATGTTTTAATAATTTGTTTGGGTTTTTTTTTTATTTTTTATACTTTATGTATATGTTACGTCAAAATGTAGTATAAAAAACAACACACACATGTTTTTACACACTTTAATTATATTAACACATGATTCCATTTATTGGGTAGCACCAATTTTACCTACACATTTTATATTGGAACATGAATTTAGATTTTTATCTTGTCCTTTAACAAAATGTTCTGTCTAGTTTTAATAGATGGGGTTAAGAAATACTTGTTTACTAGTTTCATGTAGGTGACAAGATGTAGGAGACAAGAAGATAAAGAGTTAGAAAACAGAAAACCAATTCACAAGTTGACGAAGGCATTCCCTACTGCATTAACCCTGATCATGCTAAATATCTTGAATGGACTGAATCCATCCTTAAATCTGGGCAAACTCATTCATCGTATTTACGGAAATTTTCAAAATATGTTCAGACTGAGCAGCAAACAAGGCGGACCATGATCAGCCTGCCGGTCTTGGTCTGCGCTGGTCCAAAGGGTAAAGAATCGGTTGTCACTGTATTAGTAAGTAAGGGTTAATGAAATCTAATGTAGATAGATTTATATATTTTCACTGTTTTACTTGTAGTTTTGTTATAGTAAAGATTGCAGCATTCTGTAGGTAATAAATCTTGTCTGGTTTACACCTGTTGAATAGTTTTAAAAATTTAGAATACTCAAGTTATACCAAAGTAAACCTTACAAAGTGCAAGATAAGTAAAAATTCAGTTTTATAATTAGCCAGGATTTGTAGTTTCTTGTGATCAAAAAGAATATAGCATTTACAAATATATATTGAAATTTTTAGGAGTTTCCATTTACTTTATGTATATATCTGTATTATTGTATTTATTTAGAGAGTTTTTGAATTTGACTGTTTTTCAATCATTCAAGATATTTACGAACTTATAGAATGCTGCTTTCGTTCAAACTTTAGTGTTACTCTTTTATTCCAAAGATTAGTTTAGTTTCTAGTCTAACTTTGTTGTCTCACTCTACCTCACTGTGAAACTATGATCAAAGTCACAAAAAAAATAAACCCACGATAATTCAATACCTTATTTTGTTATTTATGAAACCTTCTCCTAATAATGTCTAGAGATAAGCACAAGTTTAGATAGCCCTCTTCCTAGCATGTTATGCATTGTCAGTATCAGTCACTACAGATGTCTTAGGATATGTTTCTGTACAAATTAGATTTTAAAAAGTTTAACCTGCTGAATTTCTTAAATGTACTTGTCCAGCTTTCAATTTTAGAACTGTCCATTGTCAATTTTAGGTTTATCAAGATGAAACCCTAAGGACCTTTTCTGGAGTTTTCATATAGACATATAGGCAAAATTAAAATTTTCAATAGAATTTCTTTAAACTTGGCATGTTGTTAGAATATGATAACAGAAACATTTTAAGTGAAAAAAAATTGGGGTCACCGTTCTTGTTTTTGAGTTATCTGCCCCTGAATCAGACTTTTCTACTTATTTGAGGTCATTTCAAGGGCAGATAACTTATACAAACTTAAATGAATTCTTGTTTTTACTTCTGGATTATGTTTTTCTATTTCTTGTTGAGTACAATACATAATAATATGCAATTCCTTACATGGTTTCCATTAATTATTTTCAATGAAAATAAAGGTACTTTAAATTCTTAAAAAATAAGCCATTTTTTAAGAAAAAATGCACAGGTTAAAAGAAGTGGGAATAAAAACTACCCACTATAAATTTGTTCTTGAAATTTTGCATATCAACTAAAACGAAGGTAAGCTTTATGAAAATAAGAAGAAAAGTGTATTAATTCCCTTCATTGTAATTTATCTTCCCTTGAATTCAACAAAAAAGTCCAATTCAAGGGCACATAACTCAAAAACGTGTGACCCCAATTTTTTTTTGCTTAAAGTGTTTCTGTTATCATATACTAACAACATGCCAAGTTTAAAGAAATTCTATTGAACAGTTTTAATTTTGCCTATATGTCTATATGAAAACTCCAGAAAAGGTCCTTAATGTCACTTGGGCAGACTGGCAAAAAACCCTTGCTAATTTACGTGCATCATACTCTTACTCAGTTGCAAGTATTTGTGTCTGAAACATCCAAGGTCTTCCTCCACCAATAAAGGTGGAAAGTCGCCATATGACCTATAATGTTTAGGTGAAATGTAAAACCCAACAAAAACAATTTACATGAGTCATCCCTTATCTAAAGTTAATCAGTTTATCAAGGTACTGGCCTCTAGAATTATATATAAAATAAACTGCTAAGCCAATTTCATCCACCCTTTTGGTAGTCAACTTAAAAAATTGTTCAAAGAATTTAATTCCAAGCAGAACTCTGGTTGCGATGGCAACTGAAAGAAAAAACTTAAAATATCTTCTTTTAGAAAATCGAAAGAGCTAGAGCATGAAACATCATCTAGTCAGTGTCTACAAAGTTTGTTCAAATTTGGCCCCGTGATTTTCCTTATTTGTATATAGTAAAAACTTAAAAATCTTCTTTTAAAAAAACCCATATAGCTAAAGCTTAGCTTTTAAGCATGAAACATCTTCTAGTGGGTGTCTACCAAGTTTGTTCAAATAAAAGCCCTGGGGTCAAAATTGGCCCCGCCCCAGGGGGCATTGTTTTTCCCTTTATGTATATTGTAAAAACTTAAAAAATCTTCTTTTAAAAAACCTAAAGAGATAGAGCTAAGATATTTATGATAAAACATCTTCTAATGGGTGTCTACCATTTTTGTTCAAATACGGGCCCTGGGGTTAAAATTGGCCCCGCCCCGGGGATCATTGATTTTCCTTATATGTATATAGTAAAAACTTAAAAAATCTTCTGTTAAAAACCCCCAAGAGCTAGAGTTTAGATATTAAGCATGAATTATCTTCTAGTGAGTGTCTACCAAGTTTGTTCAAATAAAAGCCCTGGGGACAAAATTGGCCCTGCCCAGAGGGAGGGTGTCATTGTTTTTCTCTATATGTATATAATAAAAACTTTAAAAATCTTCTTAGAGCTAAGGCTTAGATATTTATCATGAAACATCTTCAAATGGGTGTCTACCAAGTTTGTTCAAATAAAAGCCCCTGGGTTAAGAGTGGCCCCCCAGGGGGCCTATATACAGGTGAGCGATTTCAGGGCCATCATGGCCCTCTTGTTTTTAAATGTGGCTGCTGTCTTAAATGTCCAGGTTTTTTCATTGGTCAGCAAACATTCTCCGTTTCTGACCTAATAGCTGAGTGTGAGCTTTGAAAATTCTTTAAACCTGGGTTTCTGTAGTTATGAGTACAGCACAGATTTTAAGAATTTGACATGAATTTGGATCCATCTTTTAACAAACATATTCATAAATATCTATTAAAGCAGTACTGGCCCCTTTATTGTAACAACTTTTATACGCCCGAAAACCTTCAGGACATACGGCATGGCGCCTGTCTGTCTGTCCGCCTGTCTGTATACAAGAAGCTTCCATAGCTTGATAAATTTCAGCGGTTGTGTTTCAAATGTCTATCTGGCATATATTGTCTCACCTAGCAGAGCTATTGCTGATTTTGCCAAGGGGTCTTTTTTGTCCCAGGAAAGAAGAACAGGCAGTGCATCTCCACCAGTAAAGCTTTACACAAGTTGCTGATCTACAGTTATATAAAACTGACTACCTTGGTAGTCATGAAATTGTTACAGCCTTCTATAAAATTAATTGAAGCAAAAACTCCATGCTTATCCTACTTTAAATATTTATAAACAAAAAAGTATCATACCATATTTAAAGATGTTTTTATTATTGCAAAAAGTAGAAGAAAAATATCTTACATAAAATATAAGATCTACATTTTTGTTACATGTATTTGCTTTTATCATTTTTTTCTACAGAATTTGATTTTACATTTTTTAATGTAATACTGGAATAAAATCAGCTCTAAAAATATTAAATGTTTATTTGCAATTTTCATATAGATTGTTGTTTTTTGGTGCTTCCAAGGGATGAGGATCACCCCTTTTCTAGATTTTTGTAATTTCAACCCGCAGTATCCAGTTTCTTCTACTTTATTTTCATTCTCGGATGCTAGGTAACCAATCATAGTTATCAAGGTCGACTTCCATGGGAACATATCCTTTACACATTGCATCAACAGAGGCCATTAACATATCTAGACGGCAATCTATGTCATCCAATGTGTAGCTCATCTCCACTGTACTGACTTTCATACCTCCTTTAAAAATAAAAAATAAAACAATAATTGCTAGCGGTTACAGGCTGATTTCATTGAACAGTACTTTCAGACACCACACTGCATATTATCATGTCTCTGTGACATTCCCTTCCCTTTAACACTGCAACATGTCTATTAGTTAAAAGAAATACATGTAAGAGTGACCTAATGAGTTGGTTCCCATTTGTGTAGAAATACATCATGCATAAGTGTATCATGCCCGTCATAACAAAATTTTAAGTGAATGAATATAACCTGGGCATTATTTATTTTATATTTCTTCAAAAACGTTCAAATACTCTTACAAAGTATGTTTTAGATATATTTGAGATTTATTGATTTAAAGGAATATTTTGATGCAATACATTTTTTGTTAGTTATCATCATAATATAAGGTACCTAGATAATATACTTCAATGGTATAAGCATACAACCTACCTTTCAAATATTTTGATTTAACTGTGTCAATGATCTTGTCAAGGTCAAATCCAATCCATTGTTTCAAACGTCGGCAGATAAACTCTACGATTTCATATTCATTTTTCTCCCGTGACACATTTTTATGAACAACAGTGAAGGCTTCATTTAAGATTGTTATAAACATGTTCATCAAGACGAACACTACAAAAGTGAAGAAGAGGAAGAAGTAAAGTGGTCCTATGACACGATACTCTTCAACTATTCCTGTGAATTGGAATGAGCCTAGTGAAAATGAGAGGAGAGTCTCGAACCCTGTCAGTACTGTTTTAAAACCCCGTACATTTGCGCCAAACATCAGGTAACCTGTTCCGACAAATGACACCAACGCAATTCCAAAGACCAATGAAAATGCCAGTAAGTCCCTTGCAGAGAGTTTCAAAGTTCCCGCCAACATTGACATGCGTCTGTTGAATCGCAGAATATGAATCAGTTTCAATATGGATGCAAAGATTGCAAAAGCCAGAAGAATCTGGAAGATGTCATCCCAAACAGCGATTCTTTGAAAATTGTAGAACTTGTCTGTCATAAAAATGAAAGAATTATAAATAGTTTAGTGAACAGATTACAATTATATCTTGTACATTCATACTTACTTTCAAATATCATAATGAGGAGTGTATGTGAAACTAAAAAATCACTGCCTTTGCTTGGATACCCCGCATACTGGTTTGTCAATGAAGTATCATGTTGATACATCCTATTGGCATATATATGCTCCAACAAAAATTAAGTATAGAATATTACAAACAGCAATAACTCTAAAATAACGCAAATAAAAGTTAATGTTCTTGAACACAGCATTTCTCCTCAATGAGATCTACTTTTCTGCGACGGTTCAAGTGGATACCACCTGAATACTTATTCAATTATGCCTTGTAGAAACAATGTCTGACAGCCAGACATACAAGCTGATTCAAGTGTTCCTCTTTACAACTATGTTGTGCAATATAAAATACAGTAAATAAAAATCATGTTTAGATGACTAATAATTAATTTAATAGTTAAACTTTTTCAAAATGCATAGAACAAAATATCAAAAGGATTTATTTTAAATATCAACATATGACTATTTAAAAAATGAATAAATGGTGGCAAACCTTTCAATTTCTTGATCTTATCCACGGCCACAGAGGTCATGGCATGGCGCAGTAGATACATAATTACACATGTTACAGAGGTCAATAAGGTCACAAACTGTAAACTATTCCAGAAACTTTTGAAATGTTGTCGACCATCACGTTTAATCTGTTTCATCTCTAGTCCAATAAAATAGATGACGCAAGCCAATGCACACAGTTCACACAGTATCACAAATATCCCAAAACCTCCCAAATATGAGAACAAACGAAACGTGTATATCTGTACACGTGTCAAGATAACACCTGTCGATGGCATTTCAAACGTGATAAGTGACGTTGTGAACAGATTTGTATTAGGATTGTAGGTTGTAAATTCTACAAACACAATTCTTGTAAATTTGTCAATCCAGTGTTTTTTCTTTAATACATCAGCTGTCCATATAACGTTTTCTCTATGTCCAATCAAATCAGCAATGTAGCCTCCCCCATTGTATATTCCAATCTATAAGACAACAAAAATATTCCCATTAATTGTACATATAATACAACAAAAAATTTCTGTAATTGTCCTAAAATGGACTAATGATACAGAAAGAGCTTTACATTAATTCATGTATCAATGTAACAGTTTATGTAATCAATTCAAATCTAAATGGATGGTACTTGTATCATGAAAGACTCTTCAGCTAATTTGACTATTCCTATAGTTATTAAGCTGGGTTTTTACGAAATGAGAAAATCCGACAATTCATTTCATGAACATAACTATTCTTCATAATAACATATACTGACACACTTAATTAAAACTTGATTGCTATAAATTTAGGATTAATTCTTATCCAATTCCTACAGCACCAACCAGCTCTTAAAATTACCTCTCCTGCATAAGGGACACCACTGACATCTATAGTTGTTTTGTAAGCCCATGGATCATTATGTCTATAATCAGAATGATTTCCTGGTACAGGTATCCAGCCTTCAAGGAAAGATGTTGTACTGTCATGTCCCTGGGCCCAATCATAACTACATTTTCCTATATATGGCATCAATCTGTTAGGTCTATCACACATGTCTGTAGTATAAGAATAGACCTCTTGAACAATTTAAAACGGATAAATCTAGAGAAGTGTGACTCCAAATGATAACTGAATAATGTTTTTTCTTGTAAGACATTTAGATTCAATGTCAGTTTGTGAGTTTACACAGAATTTCATTTTAGCTTGATTGTGTAGGAAGTTATAAGCTTTGAGACATTCTCTTGAATACGTTCCTCACTGGAACCAACCAGTACTTAGCAATGTGATAAAAGTTTCTTGCTCATGGAAACAACAGCTTGTCCCTGAAAAGGTTGTACCCTGGTGTGGCTAGCTGTCCTTACATATTTTTATGCCCCCACAAAGTGGGAGCATATAGCGTTGCACTTGTACGTCCGTACGTCCGTCTGTCCGTACGTCCCGAAATCTTGTGAACGCAACTCCTCTTAAACCGGACGGCAGATTTTGCTTAAACTTCCAGGGATGAACAACCTTAATGTGTAGATGGTAGTAAAGGAAGGAATTTTTGCTGCGACCAAATTTAACAGAATTATGGCCCTTTGTTGATTTTTCACTATATACCATATAGAAATTTTGTGAACGCAACTCCTCTTAAACCAGATGGCAGATTTTGCTTAAACTTCCAGGGATGAACAACCTGAATGTGTAGATGGTAGTAAAGGAAGGAATTTTTGCTGCAACCAAATGTAACAGAATTATGGCCCTTTGTTGATTTTTTCACTATATACCATATAGAAATTTTGTGAACGCAACTCCTCTTAAACCGGATGGCAGATTTTGCTTAATCTTCGAGGGATGAACAACCTTAATGTGTAGATGGTAGTTAAGGAAGGAATTTTTGCTGCGACCAAATTTAACAGAATTATGGCCCTTTGTTGATTTTTTCACTATATACCATAAGTTGTCAGTGGGGGCATCCTTGTCCTTTGGACACAGTTCTAGTTTCTGATGTGATAACCACTCTTTATTTCCAGTTAAGATAGTATAATTATATGGAATTCTTTAATCCAGGTTATTACAAGGATCTGTGATCTGGGAAACACAGGACATTATAGATACAGTGAAATTTGAGAAAACCGGACGCTGAGAAAATCGGAACTCTGTAAATACCGGACGAATAATTCAGTCCCAAATTTTCCCTTCTTTAAACTATTGTATTAAACATTGACAATACCGGAATCTGTAAAAACCGAATATCGGACTGTTGATAGGGGACTACAAAGTCAATTATATAGACAATTACCCTGACAATACCGGACGACGAAGGTGTGAATAACCTTGTGTACTTCCAGGTTATTACAAGGATCTGTGATCTGGGAAACACAGGACATTATAGATACAGTGAAATTTGAGAAAACCGGACGCTGAGAAAATCGGAACTCTCTAAATACCGGACGAATAATTCAGTCCCAAATTTTCCCTTCTTTAAACTATTGTATTAAACATTAGACAATACCAAATCTGTAAAAAACCGAATATCGGAACTGTTGAATAGGGGACTACAAAGTCAATTATATAGACAATTACCCTGACAATACGGACGACGAAGGTGTGAATAACCTTGTGTACTTATCAATTTGTTGTGTCTATACAGCTAACTAAGCCCGGTAACGGAAAAACAATGATTGTCTGATTGTTTGAATTATGTCTCATTTCACAGTTAGATTTATTTTAAGGTAAAGATGTTAACCGTTTTTATATAAATGCCAAAATGCACGAGGAATTGAATAAGTTAAAATCAGTTGACGAGAGCTGTCTATAAGTGACAAATTTAGATTAATTAAAGACAGTGAAACTTTGCCAAGATCTACTTTAAAAATCTTTATCTGACAAATATGGTATAGGCAATATTTACAATTGGGGCATTATTATAAACAAACAAAGTAAACTACATGTATGTTCGTTAAATCATTATCCATTACCCAAATGTAAACATATGCAGGTGTTATCGGACTTTATCGTTATAAAATAAATTGCTGTTCGTTTAAATCCAAAATTTTATTGTATTTATATGCAACAATGGCACAAAAACAATTAAAACATAATGTATAGTATTTTTATCATTTCTTTATTTAGCAATACACTTACTCATAATCACAAAAATGCAAATATACGTTCAGCATCCTTATAAGTCATTGCTCGGTTTATATGATCCTGAAGGGGACATTGACAATAACGGACCGCTGAGAAAACCGGACGAAACCCTCGGTCCGAAAGCCGTCTGGTTTTCTCAACTTTCACTGTACAAACCTTTTATATGATTAACACAGCATAATTATGATTCAATGATAATGAAAGTTATTATAATATGAAAAATATATTGATTCTTGTAGGCAATGCAGGGCCTCTATTGACCTCTTGTTTTAATATCATTTTAAAACTTAATCACATACCATGATTTCAACATAACTAAAACATGATCAAATTTTTACCTTGATTTACTCTATGCTGCCTAAGCCTGACAGGTCCTACCCTGTATGACGCCTGTGTAGATATCAGTCGTGATTCACCGTCTACAGTTTCATTATTCCAGTCATGAGTCAAATATAAGTTTGGTATAACTAAAACATCCATCCAGCGCCAGAAGTCTTTGATATTGAAGATCTGTAAGAATTTACATGTATTTATACATTGTTCCATCCTCTTTCTGGTAATTACTTTCTTTTAAGCTTTTCTATTGACTTCTGAATCAAGGAAGAAAATCTTAAGACGCAAAATTATAACATTTTTTTTTTAAATGCACACCTGTACTTGCAAAAAGTTATGTTAGTTTTAAATAATTTTCTAAACAGTATTCTCAATTTTTTATTAAATTCATAATGGGCTATTCAAATTTAAGCTTAAAGTACTGCTTGTGTACAGTATTTAACCAAAAGGCTTAAATACAAATATCCACAAAAGATATCAGATCCGAAACAGTACTGTTTTCCTAATAATTGTAATGCATTTACAGTTTGTTCACTGATTTATCAATATTGTTACATGTTATCAAAAGATCTACATGTATAGCATGACATCAGGACCCCTTATTCTTGTGTACTTGATGAGCAAAGTTCAATAAATGTTTTTACACAAACCTTTGACAAATTTTGTTTTGGAGAAATAACATTCAGCAGTGTTTGCTTCATCCGGTAAGATTCTGGATCTCTATTGTGACTGGCAACAAGAACTAAAATCAGCAGATACAACACATAAAAAATAATCTCCTGGATGACACGGAACATCTTGATCTCTTTCAAACGCTGCTTTCTTAATGATGCAAGCTTCTGAAGATCTGGAGGAGCTACATGAGTCCTTAATCTTTTCCCTGAAAAATAAAATATTCAATGTAAAAACAAGAACGTGTTTGTTAAACACAAATGCCCCCTGCTCACATTCTTGTCAGTAGCAATATTTCAAAAAATGTTTACCCATTAACTCAGTTATGGACAGAAAAATTGCCAAAAAATTGGAAACACAAGTTATATAGCTTGACAAAGTCATGGCATTTTGTAATTGTGAAAAACATAAGTTGCCTGAAGTCATTGCTCTGACTTGTGAAGTTGAAAAATATTCAACTTCATGCAAGTTATCTTCCTACCAAATATGAAATACATCTGTCATTAAATAAAGGCTATATGGGCAAAAGTGTAAAAATCTATTTTGAGCACTGGTGACCTTGACCAAATGACCCCTAACTCAATCCAAAAGAAGAATACCATGTAAGTTATCTTCCTACCAAATATGAATAACATCTGTCAATAAATAAAGGCTGTATGGGCAAAAGTGTAAAATTCTATTTTTTAGCACTTGTGACCTTGACCCAACTGACCCCCTTACTCAATCCAAAGGAAGAAATACCATGCAAGTTATTCTTCCTACCAAAATATGAAATACATCAGTCAATAAATAAAAGCTGTATGGGTAAAAGTGTAAAATCTATTTTTAGCACAAGTGACCTTGACCCACTGATCCCTACCCAATCAAAAAGGATGAATACCATACAAGTTATCTTCCTAACCAAATATAAAAATATATCCGTAAACTTAAATAAAGGCTGTATGAGCAAATGTGTAAAAATCTATTTTTAGCACTGGTGTCCTTGACCCAACTGACCACTAACTCCATCAAAGTTTATGTTTCTATCAATTATAAATAGCATCTGTCTATAGAATAAGGTCACTACACCTGTAAAAATGTAAAAATGGGTGAAAGACAAAAAAGGCCGGGTTGCATATGTGTACAAAATATCATGAGGCTGTGATGTTACTTAAATTTTCTACCACTGTCTGACCATTTGAATGTTGAAAATTTAACTTAGTTGGGTAAACCTGAAAAGAATGAGCATCAGACCTGAAATAGAATCCCCACAATATGGGACCACAGTCATGTCAATGCTGTGAACCCCATATCAAGGAGGCTGTGGTAAGAAGTTTGTTGAGAAAAAACTGTTACGAAAATTTCCTACTATCTATTGATCATTAAATTTAATTATGTCAAAATTTAACTAAATCGGCAAACAGGAAGTGGATGAGCGACAGACCTGAATCAAAATAGCACAGTATGGGACCACCTGATAATGCTGTACACAAAATATCAAAAGGCCTGTGATAAGAAAGTGCTGCGTTAAAAACTGTTTACGAAAATTTCCAACCATTAACCATTAATGTCAAAAATTTAACCTAAGTTGGCAAACAGGAAGTGGATGAGCAACAGACCTGAAATCGAATCACACCATATGGGACCATGTGTTAATGCTGTATACAAAATATCAAAAGGCTGTGATAAGCAGTTGCCAAGAAAACTGTTATGAAAATTTCCTACTATTGACCATTAATGTAGAAAATTTAACTAAGTCAGCAAACAGGAAGTAGATGAGTGAGAGACCTGAATCGAATCCCACAGTATGGGACCATGTGTTGATGCTGTACACCAAATATCAAAAGGCTATGATTAGTAGTTGCTGAGAAAACTGTTTAGAAAAATTTCCTACTATTGACCATTAATGTAGAAAATTTTACTAAGTCGGCCAAACAGGAAAGTAGATGAGCGACAGACCTGAAATCGAATCCCACAGTATGGGACCATGTGTTTGATTGCCTGTATACCAAATATCAAAAGGCTGTGATAAGTAGTTGCTGAGAAAAACTGTTACAAAAGTTTTTCCCCGCCCACCGCCCGGCCGCCCGCCACCCAACATTCACCATACTAATAACCCGGGTTTGCACCAGTGCAACCCGGCCAAAAATCTAATTTTCAACATAGGTGACCTGACATTGGTAACATTGACCTTGACCCAAAATGACCCCTTACTAACCCAAAGAAGGAGGACCTCCTTTAGCATGTTTGTATTAAACTAAGACATCAACTAAAAAATAAAGGCTGTATGAGCAAAAATGTTTATATTTATTTTTTTAACCAGTGACCTTGACCTTGACCCTAGAGACCACTTACTCCACAAAAAATTAGAGGACCATCAAAGGTATCCACCTACTAAATATGAAAGATATCATTAAAGAAATTAAGCAATTAGGAGAAATTTAAGATAAATCCAACTTGCCGAAATAGGTTAACCAGACAAGGCCCATTTTCAAAGTGAAAAAAGGGAAATAACTGGGAAATATGGATGACACAGTCATCTGGTCATATAACTTGGCAATATCATGTACTTTGTAATTGATAAGTAAGTGTGGAAATTATAAAGCCATTAGTATAGATAGAACTTAAGATATTTCCAACTTGCCGTTTTAGGTTAACCATTATTCATTTTCTAAGTGCTGAAAAGGGCAATAACTTGGTAAATATGAAAGCCAGAGTTATGTAACTTGCCCAGATCATGTACTTTGTATTGATTAGTAAGTGTGTAAACTTAGAAGCCATTGGTACAGGTAGAACTTAAGAAAAATCCAACTTGCCGTTCTAGGTTAACCTCGTACGGACAGACGGACGGACGTCCGGCCGAAATGGAATAAGGGGCCATTTCTTTTGTTATTTTCTATTGTTTAATAGAGGGCCAATGGCCCCTTACTCTATTGTTACGGAATGAACTCTATTGTTCTCTTTTGTTCTGTTTACAGTTAGATGGCCCCCTATCCCTATTCGGTAGTGCGGACGGACAGACGGACGGACGGTTCAATTACTATATGCCCGGGGGCATAAAAAAGTGTTTTGAATTCATGGCCCATTGACCTCAATTCAATCTATCAATCCAATTCAATTGGATCTGTGCCATCTGATCATGGTCTGCACTGTTCCTTATTCAGTTAGTAGATGATTTGAATTTTTTTGCTAAAATTATGAATGGTTTTGTCCAGATTGAAAGATGGACAATTCCATTTAGGATATGAAGAATGGTAAGGGGTAACATGTTAAGTTTTATGTGGAACTCAAAACTCAATAAAATTTTACATATAAAACAGTTGCATGCCCCAGCTTAACATGTACTTGATCATGTGTCTTACTGCAGTATAAAAAGCTCATTTATTATAATAAATAATTTGTTATATAGTGTAAGAAGATGGTACTGACCTTTTGAAGGTGTAAGTTGAGACTCTATCTCTTCTGGCTGGGCTGGTAGATTGTCGTCTATACTTTCTTCTTTCTCTATTTCATCTTCTGTTTTCCTCAATATTGCAGCAGCAAATATTGCTAGAACTATTATCTAAAATGATGCAAAAACATATTTAATATATTCAATTATCACATTTTCAATAATATTTGCATAGTAATTAAATCTTAAAAAAGCAAATTACATATTGTGTGCATTTTTCAATAGCCTGGTGCTTATTGCTGTCATCAAATATATAAATAACTAAAAATATTTTAGTTTCTTTAAATTCACTTTTGAGTTAAAAAATTTATATCAAAAATATCTTTCTTCATACTTTTTCATTTCCTGAAGAGATAAACAAAGTCTGTCCAAAGGAACTGATCATAAATAATATAAGGTGCAGTACAAATTACCTTAGTTGGTTGAATGATTGACACAGACTCTACGACGGAGAGCAACATTGATGTCAGCCAAGCAATTGACTTCTCTTTACCCCATTCCATACTATACAAGAACGTGATTGTACCTGAGATTGATGTTGACAGAAATACAAACAACCAGGCTATATATACACACCAGTGTGGCAGTACAAGTTTACTGTAAGCTCTGCTTCTCTTCTTCTCATCTGAACTCTTCATTGTTATATTTTCTATCTCCTCAACTGAAGAGTCAAAAGTAAAAACTGATTCCGTTGGACTTTTGACTTGCACATATCTTGGTGAGACACTCGGGGAATTTTCAATGGAACTTGACGCATATGCCGACAGGTGACCGGAGTTGGTGGGTGATGGGTCAGCAGATTCAACTGAAGATAGTTTCAGATTTTCTTCATCTATTGGCAATGTTAATTGAGGTATTCTTTTCCCAAATGCTCTGGCCTGATTTTGGAATTTATCTGGGATAAAAGGAGGTGCCGGGGTATAGTGATGTCTGGCTTCAAAATAAGTTGGTGATGGGGGAATTTCACTTGATTTTACAAATACATTAGGGATGGGTGTGTCTGTAATAGTTGGTTGGTATCTTGCTAACGGAGGTGTATTTATAGGATTACTTGTCCCTTGTTCAACTGACTCTTCTTTTTCATCTTCAATAGGTGTAACTTGTGTTCTGCTTTGGGCACGAAATAAATCTGTAAATTTCACACTGAACCTTGACAAGACTGAAAAAGGTCTCTCAGACGAAAATGCCTGCTCTTTGATGCATTTCTTTGGCTTGCTTCTTCGAAATAGTTGATCTATTAGTATATTCACAGGTAGAACTATTAAACTGGTCACTACACTGATATACATTTCATGTGTGGTGAATTTAAAGGGTCCAAGTCTATATCCCTGACCAGGTTGAGCATTTCCCTCCGCCTGAAATAAAACTTGGCACTGGCCCAGAATTCTAATCATCCAGTGTGAACAAAAACCATGGAGACAGTTTTGAACAGACTGTAATTTTACTTTTGTTTGGGTTAGGTGCAAATACTGAATATTCCATAGAGGGAGTGCACCTGTGGCTTTTCCTGGGTGTCAAGTTGAAATGAAAATATTTCCGAACTTGGAGAGGTCTTCGTGTGCAGCCACTGGAAGCAGACGGTCAACCATTCCGTCATCCTCTTCTACAGCAAGCCAGCGATTACACAAGAACACATACCTGTTTATTTAGTATGTATTAAATAATTCAAAATTATACCATATTAAAATCATCTGAATATTATACACGAATATTTTCTTCTTTACTTTCAAATTTCAAGTATTATGGTGACAAAACTGAATAACAGTCCTTTACTATGCATAAACACAAAAATATTATATCTCAACAAATTGAAGCTTAGAAAGTATAAAAAGACAATGACAATTATATACAATTAAAAAGAATTTTCTACAAGTAGCTCTTCAATTATTTTAAAATGTTCTATAATTAACTCTTCAGTTCAACCCCACAATATGAACAAACTTATTTCAGAATATAAATTAAGCACATACACTTGTTCCATATCTTGGAGTTCCCTGACCACAACTTTACTAAGGTACCAGCCCTGTAACTTGCCAACACCCTCATTGTCATGCCAAATACGAATGTACGACAGTGGACCTAGAGGTTCATCTACGCTTAATATGAACTTGTTAATAGAACCTCTGTCAAATGTCTGTAATGGAGATGTTTGAATTTTCTTATGATAGTCTTATATCATAGCTATAAATGAGCATAGAGATGAAAGCAAAAACAATACAAAATTCTTCAATCTGTAATAAATTTGTCAATATAATTATAAAGTTTCAGAAGTAAACCATTATATGACACTTTCAAGTTTTTGTTCCAGTTTTGTTAGACATGATAATACATGTATATTTGGTTGTTTAAATACTTATTTGAATCAAAATTTTTTAGTTTTAAATTTGATTAAGATTACAACATGATCAAGCCTGATGTATAACCCAAAAAATTTAAGTTTAAGACTCATCTAATTCTTTGAAAGACAATAAGTTTTAAAATGATGTATGTAAAAGAGATACATGTAATGTGTGTAAAAGAGGTAGTAATTTAACCATTCACTTTTGCCCAAAAAATTTTTAATTGGTAAAAAACCCTTTATCCTTTTACATCTTTGATTTTCTACACCTGTTCCATTTTATCCCCAGCTAGTACAAAAAAATTTTATCTTGTACCAACCTCGTTTTAAAACCCCAAAAACACCTTATCTCATAAAATATTACTGTGAGAATTTGTCACACAAAAGAATACCCCCCTTTATTAAAAAAAAAGATTATCTTTTTTAAATTAATTTAACTTCTCTCAAGGGAAAACTTTTTTTCAAGTTTTGTGAAAAGAGAATACGTTTAATAGGAAATTTAAAATATGAATCTTTAAAAAACATGTTAAAATCCCCAGAGCAAAAATTGATAAAAATGTGCCTTAGATTGCCCAGAAAAAAACTCTCAAATTTTTTTTTTGTTTTTTAATTTCCCCAAATTTAAAAAGTTAACAAAATTTCCCCAGCCTTTCTATGAAGGAAAGTCAGATCCCCCAAGTCTTTTTTAAGACTCCAGAGGGACCTGAGTGAACTACTGACCCCCCCTTAGCTAGCTAAAAAATTTCCCCAATAAAAAAAAAAAGTCTCTAGCAGTTTAAAACACTCAGCAACATGGATTAGATTTTACCGTTTTGGGTTATATAAAAGCTTTTATCATTTAAGTATATCAAAAGGAACTCCATTTTTATTGCATAGCATAATTGCACAAATGATTACCTAAACTCTTAAACTCTTTAATTTGAGAATGAAATCCAATATTACCTTAAGAGATTTTTGTAATTCCTTATCATGGATAAGGGGAATTTCCCATGTTAAAAATACAAAAGGGCAAGACAAAATTTGACATTATTATTAAATTCTGGACATAATTTGGAAAAAGATATTTTTTTCCATCAGAAATATCCATGAAAACAATGTCTACTCAAATAAACAAGCTCAATATAAATAATTTACCTTTTGCAAAACATTTTTTTTCCCCATGCCCAAATCATGCCAAAAATATCAGAGCAAACACACAGCAGTAACACAGCAGGGTTTCAAATATTCATCTTTAGTTTAAACATGTACCAAAAATTTTTTACGATTTTGGGGGGAACGAAAAATTCTGAGCCCAAAAATGCAAAAGGGGTTGCAAAAACATCTGTAAACTTGTGTTAACAGCAGAAATCTGGTACATTTAAAAACAAAAAGTTTAAAAAAAGAAACCAAAAAAAACAAAAAACATCCTTGGACAAAAGGTTTCTCTCTACACAAAACAAATTCAAAAAATTCCAAAAAGCCGGTTATTAAACTGTGGGGGCCATAAAAATGTTTCAAAGTCTAGGCCCTGAGACAACTATGCTCTTTTGGTTTTAAATTTCCGAGGAGAAGACTAATACAAGTTTTACATATTTAAACTGTCACATAAATTAAAGGGAAAACAACAAAAAGATAACAAAAATACTTAATGTTAAAATTGATAGTACTGAAATTTAAAATAAAATAACAATTTTAACTTCAAACAAAGTAACACAAGCTTAAAATTATCTGAATAAAAAATAATATTGGGGTTAAACCGTAAATATGCTTAAAGTAGGTTAGTTCTTTTTAAAGTTTTTTCAAATCTTTATCATTCTAATTTTTTAAAAGATTGTAAAAAAAAAAAATACGAAAAAAATTTATCCCGAATCCAGCAACTCCAGGATTTCACTTTTTATCCCAGAAAGAAACATCCAGATTACAAAGTGATTGTATAGTTGAAGGGCACAGGGGCAGGGTTTAAAGGGCAAATTTAAAGATAGGTTTCTTTTATATCTTGTTTTTGTTTTATTTTCACTATATTTAAAGCAAAAAAAAAACAACTCACAACTCAGAGATTCACAAAAGGCTCAAAATGGGCACAATTTATTGTGAAACACTTGGCATTTGTTACAAGTGCAACACTAAGTTACAGCTCTGTTCAGTAACAATTCCATGCTTTCTGTTGTTAGTCACAATGAATAATTTTTGTATAGTTTTTTCTTTCAGATACCCAGATAGATTTTGCAAAATAAAATTTACAAACACTCAGGTAATTTCAGGTTTAAAAGCTATTGATCAGCTTGAACCAAAAATGATTATCCTTTGCCACTAATATAGCGTCAGGCCAGCCTGTTCATCTATGCAGTGTGACCAGTATCTATAGTAATAGCTGACCAAACTTCTTTATCAACACCATGATATCTCTAAAAATGGTTATGGATTTTTTCATAATGAAAAGTTAACAAATCTATTCAGTGAGTTTTTCAGGAAAAAAGACAAAGGGTAAGGTAATTATATAGAAAAAAATTTATAAAATTTTAATAAAGGGGGAGTTTTTTAAAACTTTTAAATATAAAAAAACTTTTTCCCAATTTCTCTTACCCCAATTACACCATCCTGCCCATACTTTTTTGTAAAAACATTGCGGGTTGTTTTATAGTGTGGGATAACTCCCAAGTATCTTTTTGACAAACTTGTATCATTCTTTAACTCGGGGCAACTATTGGTTAATATCGTAAGAAACAAAATTAAACAAAATTTATAATTCAAAAAATTTTGATTAATTGAATGAAAAAAAATATATTTTTTTTAAATATTAGTCTAAAATGAAACTCATCTAGCTACTAGTAAATGTCAACAATTACTTACAAGAAAGGTAAATATTTACCCACTTACAGAAGCAGTATTATGTGACATTTACCTCAAGTCAGATTCCTTATAAAGATTTTATAGGATATCAAGCTTCATGTTGGATTATAATTTCTTTGAAATGTCCCATAATTTATTAATGAATAAGTAATGAAGACAAAAATGTACAGAAAAAAAAATCCCAAAGAAATATGTCCATCTCTTTACATTAGTATTTTTTTGCAAATAAAAAGAATTAATTTATAGAAGGGGTTTAAAAAACAATGCAACCCCATGCAGTAGACATTTTTTAATAAATTAGAAAAAAAAAAAAGATAAAACTTATCAGGGAAAAACTAAATAACCATTAATTAAATGCTAATTAACCAGTTAATTAAACCAGCTTAAATTTCAAGACAAGGAACGATTTCTTTTGAAATCTGAAAAACATTGATAATATACTTTATAAAACTGCATGTTTTTATGTCACTAGTAACGTTATATATCTCAAAATCTTTCAAAAAAACTTTAAAGACTAATAACATAGTCAATATTTTTTAAATCAGTGCAAATTTTTTAAAAAAAATTTAAATCTCACATTTATTAAAAACAGAAAAACCCTCAAAAGTAAAAAAAAATATAAAAATTATGGATTAAAACAATGAAAAAAGGGCTTGGAATTAAACGAAAAAAAATATTTTTTTCCAAAATTACTTTTTGATTTAAAAATTTTAAATTGTGTCATAAATTTGTTATATAAAAATATCAAAAAGTAAAAATATGAAAATTTTTTTCTCTTTTTACCTAATATGGTAGCATGAATTTTGGGAAATGTGTCAGTTTTTTTTAAACCTTTTAAGCTTAAAAGTTTTTAGTATCAAGGCTGTATTAACCCAAAACGTTGTCACCTGGTTTGACCCTACCCTTTCCCCCTGTATGCTGCATAAACTTTTATCCAAATAATTATTGCCTACAGTACATTAGAAATATTTGTGATGTTTGTTTTTCCCAAAAAATTAAAATTGTAATGATAAAAAATTATAACCCGTTTTCAGTTTTTTTTTAAAAAAAAAGATCTACCTAAAAATAAAATCAGCGCTGGATAATAAATTTTCTGATTTCTACCCTTAATTAATTGTCCCCCCACCTGTTCAATCCTTACAATGAATTTTTCCAGCATTTTTTATAAAAAACGTTTCATTCACATGAAAAAAGTTTCAAATTAAAAAAGACAAGTAAAACCGCCTATGCAACATAATTTTCATTTGTGTTCCCCCATGGATAGAAGGAAACATGGGTAAAACCCTCAACCCTATAAAAACTAAAGAAAAGCTTTTTAACTTAAAAAACTTTTAAAAACGTTAAAAACCAGAGGTTTTAAAACAGTTTGGTGGGGTGGTTGCTTTGGGCCTATTTTATCAAAAGGATTGCGGGAATGGGGGGTTAAAAACCCTCTAAAACCAAGCCATTGTTTCGGAAAGGGAAAAAATTTAAACTTTTTTGCTTAGTACTGAGGGGTTTCAGGAATTTGTTTTCCCCAGTGTTTAAAATAACCTATAGTTTCCCAAATACAATCAAACAAAAAAAAAATTTGTATAAATTTAACCCAAATTTGGTAAATAAAAAATTTTGGGCAAATGTTGCCGAAAAAGGAGTTTTTTTTATGGGGGTTTCATACGGGAGGCCCCCCCTTTGGGGTTTTCCCAAAATCATAAATGTTTTTGTTGCTTACAGGGATTTCTTTACATAAATGTTAACAACGGGATTAAATTTTTTTAAAATTTTAAAATTTAAACACAAAAAGAAAAAAATTTCATTTGAAAAAATTTAAAAAATCACAAAAGGGCTTTTTTTAAGGTTTGATTTTTCTTTTTTTTTTGGAAAAAAAAAAAATTGAAAAAGTTAAACCTGTAATGACGGGGTTGTAACGGGAGAGTGATCTACAGCATTTCAAAAATATTGGTTCAAATATATTTTTAAAAAAACAATTTTTCCCCCTTCACTTCAACTAGCTCAAAATGACAATTTGGTGAGTTTAAAAATTTCTGGCTTTTTCTCTTTTCCAAAAAGAAAACAGTTTGGGGGGGGAAAAATTAAAAACAACCTAAAAAAAGGAAATTTAAAAAATTAATTTTTTAATTTAAATAAAAAGGGGTTTGTGACTCAAAAAAGTTTTGAAAAATTTTCCCAATTTCTGTTTTTAAAATGAAAAATTGACAAGTAATACTTTTTAATAGGTTTTTTAATTTTTTTGGGGTTTTAGGGTTTTCGGGTAAGAAAAAATTGTTTTTTAAAGAAGAAATTTAAGAACTACTTCTTTTTAAGCCTTTACAAATGTTTTTTTTAAAAAAAATAAAAATTTTTGAATCCCAATACTTTCAAAAACTTTTTTTTTTGAATTACCCAAAAAAACCTTTTTTGCCCCCAATATAAAAAAAAAAGAAAATTTTCTTTTTTTCCCCCCCCAAAACCCCATTTTCCCTAGTTTTTTTTAAAAAATTACAATTTTTTAAAAACCCAAAAAAAATGAATTTAAAGGGGATTGACAAAGTCCCTTTTAAAAAAAACAAAAAAACAGAAAAAAATTTATTAAAAAAAAAAAAATGCATCTTTGATATTTACTAAAATGTGAAATTATTTTAAACTTACTTTTAAAATCTATAAACGGGTCCCACTCGGGGACTCTCTTTTGGGAAAAGTAGGGTTGTTGGTGAGGAAAATGAAAAACTTTTTGATACAGAGTTTAATACAGTTTTTTTCTGAAAAAAAACAATTTAACGGGAAATTTTTATAATTTTCCTTTTCTTAAGTTAAACCCAACAATTTTTTAAAAATTAAAGGGCCAACCCTTTTTTTTTTTTCTGGGTTTTTTTTTATAGGGAAAATTTAATGTACCACATGTACCTTGAGTGGGGAAAAAAAATTTTTAAATAAAAAACATATCAAAAATTTCCCTTAAAAGTTTTTAGTCGTTTTTTTAAAACATAAAATTTTTAGCTTGAGTATTACAAAAGATTGGAAGCTCTTTTTAAACCACTCTTTTGGGTTTTAAACATTTTGTTTCCCCAAAAAGGTTTGTTTTTTAAAAAAAAGGGTTTAAAACTTACACGAGTTACATTATGCAAAAAATATATATCAAATTTTGTTACATTTATATTTAAAATTTTTTGGGGTTTAAAAGGAACATACCAAATCTTAGAAATTTTCCTTTTCCTTTGTATGGATAGAGAAAGCATCAAAAGGGAAGTTAAAATTTTGTCCAGGAGTTTTTGTTTTCACCAATGTTTCAACTATCTTGTTTTTTAAACTTGAAAGCTTTAGTTATAAATTTCTTTAGCCTAAAATTTTCATAAAAATTTTCCAACATAATGTTCTAAAAAAATTTTAATTTGCTTTTAAATTTATGGGGTGTCAAGACTTAAATTTATGAATGGTTAGGGTCCATTCATTTTTTTGGGTTGTTGAATAAAAAATAAAAAGGGAAACAGCCCTTTTAAAAAAATTTATAAATTAACTTGTTTTAAAATTTTTATATCAAATGAGTCAATGAACCTCTCATTTTCACGTCAAAAAGCATAATGTTTATATAAAATAAAAATAGGGAACTAACAAAATTTACTGGGGAAAAAATTTTAGTTTTAAATTGCATACAATTATGTTTTAATTTATTTACAGGGAAAAAACCGGTTAAAAATAAATTTACAACTTCATGTGGGAAAAACCAAAAAATTCATTGTAAAGTAGAGAGGCTGGGTTTTAGTTTAGATCCCAAAGTTTAACTCTTAAGATACAAATTTATATTCAAACTGTGACATTTCTTTTTAAAGGTTTTAACTTTTTCTTTATATCAAATAAAATTGCGACCCAAATCACCACACATCCCTTAAAATTTTAAAAATTTTAAATTAAAAACAATTTTTTTAAAAGAAAACACGATGGTTTAAAAAAAAAAAATGTTAGTAAAAAAGTAGTAAAATTTAAACCAAATTTGAACCTTTTCCCACTCTATATAAATTTATCTGGGTGAATCATTTTCTTCTTTGAAATTTATCAAATTTCTGGATTTTCCCTCATAAACTTATCCACTTCTCTAAAAATGTATTATCCCCCCTTTGCCCTTTTCCATTCATCTCCCTAAAAGGGTCGCGCTCGACCTCGCTGCAAAACATTACTTTACCTTCCCCAACTTTTGTTTTTTTTAACATTTCTGAAATTTTAAAATTTACTTTTTTTTGGTTAAGAAAAATTCTTTAATTTAAATTTCGTTTTTTTTTTCTTAAAAAAGGCCTTCTGTCTCGGATCACACTCCCAAATCTTTAAATTACCTCATTTTGCAAACATTTCTAAAAATTAAAAATTACATTTTTATCCTTGCATTTCTTAAACATTAAAATTAAAAATCTTGAAATTTATTATAATTGTCTGTCCCCTATTTCCTTTTTTTAAACGACTATTCTTTTTATACTTTAAAACACACATAAAATGCTTTTAAAACTAAAATCTAATTGCAGTTAAAAACACAAATTTAATTTTAAGTCAAATTAAAAAAATAACATCAAAAATGAACAGAAGGTGTCTAAGGTTGGCATGTTGCTTTATGACCATACATAAAAAATTATTGTATCATATAATAATTTAGCGTAGCACAAAGGTAAACAAACCCTTTTGTGGCCGCCAGTAAGACTTGAATCATTATTTGTCTGTCTAGAGGGCTCTTCTATTAATTCTTAGTAAAACTCATTTGTCATATGGGCTGTGGCCTGAACTGCCTGGGTGTTCTGTTATATACCAAACTCTTTTTAAAACTTTTAAAATAAAACAGAAACTCTTTGTTTCAACTATGTTGCTGGTGGTGGTAGTTCTTTTTGTAGTTTACCCCACTGATCATGGCAGTAAGCCATTTTGAAATTACCAGAGCACAGTTCAACCACCACATTATTCCTGGGCAGTCTGAGTCAAGCAGTTTACCAGTAATAGATACTTTCTCTTACTGATATACTTCTGTACATGTCAAAGCAAAGGTACAATGTGAATGACTGTAGAAAGTATTTCATGATCAATCACAACAAAATTGGCATGTACCATCCCCAAATCAACCCTTGGATGCTCTGGATTCACAGTCCAGCACTATATTAATTGAGCTAACTGGACGCGGCCTGTACATATGCTGTTCTGTCTTCATAGTTTAAGTACTGTTTTCTCCTCAACTTTCAAAACAATTTAGGAAATTATACGTTTTGTTTTTCAGAAAGGGTAATTGAAATCTTCTATAACTATATATATATTCTAGTTTACCTGTGTATGTGTTGACAGTTCATCTCTCTGTTCTGTAATGACCTTAAAACATAATGCCGTCTGCTGAAGAGAATCCAAGGTCACATGATCTGTTTCTGCCAGGTGTTGAACAATACTTGTCCTTATCTAAAGATGAAAAAACATTTTATTTTCTCTCTTTTCCATTTGTTTTTGGAAAGCTCTAGAAGATGGATGGATGTACAGACAGGAAAAAGGGGATGGAAGTACCAGCATTTCTTTGTTTATATGTGGATATTATGAAATTAACTAACTCAATAAATGCCAGCATTTACATACTATTAAAAAAAAAATGTGACAGAAGTACCCTATCTGTTCTGTGTATTTTAAATTTAAAATAAAATTTTTTTTTAAATCCTTATTGTTTTTTAAAAATTTTACCAAAAAATGGGGCCTTTGGAAAAATAATTAAATTGCCCTTTTTAAAAATTTTTCCTTTTTTTTAAATAAAAAAAAAATTTTTTTTTTTTTTAAAAAAAAATTTCTTTTTTGCCCTGTAAAAGACCAAAGGATTTTTTGGCGGCAAATAATTTAATAAAAAAACCCTCGTCTGCTCCTTTTACTGAATGTAAAAAAAATTTTTTTGGGGTCCTGTTTGACTTTTTAAAAATTTTTGACTGGTAAACATTCTTTAAAGTTTTAATATTAAATGTTTATTTTAAAGTTTCAATATTTTTGGGGGGAATAATGGAGTGGAAAACGGGTAAAATTTTTAACTTTTTGGGGAATGAATATTCTTGGTTCCATGGTAAAGTGTAAAAATAGTAGAAATTTGGGTATTTCATCCTATTTTTGTTTTGAAAAATTATAAAAAAAAGTGGTATTTAACTCTATTTACTATTTTTTTTCCATTAAAACACATTGTTTTTAATAAACGCTTCAGAACTTTATTGCCATTGTGCAACAAGGTGCATGCTTTTTAAGGAACAAATAAACAAGATAATATTTAGTTTATTTGTGGGCATCTTTCTATTCTATATCAGATGACAGCTGGTTATGGTTTACAAATTGATCAAATTAACAAACATGATAATAAAAAACGTGGCAGTTTTGTATCTATAGTCATTTTCCCTGCAAGAACATTATAAATGTAGAATAATTTACCTCCGTATTTTTCTGTTTTTCATCAGATTTATCTGGATTCGAATTCTGAGCAGACGACTCTGGGTTTAGCGCAGACTGTGTTGATGTTGTCAAAATATTGTCATCAATCTTACTGGACTCCTTCTATTAAAGAAAGTGTAAAATATCAGTTATACTTAAAAATTTATTAATTTTAAAATTAAAGTGACAGCATATTCATTTTTTATAAACAAAGCAAAAAAAATAAGGTAAAAATAAATCTGTCTCAATTTATCAATGACACTTTTCTTGTTTCATCAAATACATTATAAAAGAATCTTTGATGTAACAAAAATCCTACTTTCTTTTCTAGGATATTTAAGAACAGTATGGCCTTCAGATAAGAAAATTTTAAAATCAGATAAATCTAGGACCAGAACCAGGTGAAAGCTTAACTTGAAAATTATAATGTTTTATTGAGCTATGACAAATTTATACAGTCAAAACAAGCTTATATATATAGAGTGGTTGGACCAATGCTTGACCTAAAATTTTTTTTTTTTAGAATATCTGAAAATGTCTCGAGTTATCTCCAATTTAGGTCACTGGTGCTTTTATTTACATCTTTCACCATTTTATCCTGGTGTGGTTCACTGCTGGTAAAGTCACATGACAATGCTAATAGCAGACGAACAACCATATATAATCCGCAACATATAAATTATTAAAATCTTTTAACACTTGAGTTCTGGGGCTGTAAAATTTAAACTAAAAGTTGGGTACTTGTAAATGTATGAACCTAATTTGGTTGTTACAATTTATTCAATATGTTTTCTTCATAAGATAAAAAAGAGATTTTATTCGAAAAACAATCCTGCATCATGTAGTATTGTACGCCGAGCTATGGTACAATTTCACGCAAACCACTCTTGTTTATCCACACTATCTATATAGCTCTAGCCATGCACATCATTATGTGATTAGCTAATTTTACACAATGGCTATTTAAAACAATATTATCGGTCTTGAAAATAGACATATAACATTGAGGTTTGTTGACGTTGATTTGAATTTGCCATATCAAATTTAGTATTTTTACGCCGAGCGTTGATCCACCCACTCTAGAGACAAACCTCTGTATTTAACACTGATGCCATGGCAACAATAAGCTGTTTAAATTCCTGCTGTTGCCCGGCCTGTTTCATTTCAAACAATAAACTGCTATCATCTGAAGCCAGAGCTCGAACATCATCCAAATCCTGCTGTGGTTTAGGCTTCACCTGTTATCAACATGAACATAAATTTTGATAACTTCATTGTAATTTGAAAAGCTTTGAAGTTACTACAATTTAAAAAGACATATTCTTTTGATTAGTTAAGACACTCTCAGAAAGGTGATCAACATGTAAAGGAAGCATTTACTTACGATGATTAACAATTTTTTTGGTATTTTTAAGCTGCAATGTAAAACAACTTCACATAGTAAAATTAAGATTATAATAATGCCATTACAAAACTCAAAAGTTTTTGGGTTTTCACCCTGGAGAAGTTTACAGCAACAAATATTTGAAAATCAGGATTAAGTACTTATAATACTAAAACACCAACCTGTGCTTCAAGAGTTGTCTCTATAAATTCTCCAATAGTGTTTGAAATCCTGACAACAATATCATGTTTATAGTTCATCTCCTCCCTGCCGAGCGGGAACTTTGAAGGTGCCGTAAATGGGTCGGTTCCATAGTAAAGTAGCTGAATGTTCGAGCCCCCTCTTACACGAGTCCAAAATCTGTACAGGAGACCTTCACCTTGAAATTGCTCTTCTCCAGGGTTCACCCAACCCTTACATTGGATTTTGAATAGTGTATTCAGTGCATAACCTGTTTTTTAAAGACACTTTAGTTGGGTTTTTTTGGAAAAATTTTAAATTACAAAAATTGAAATAAGTAGTGATACAATCTATAGGAAACACCAGATATGGCCAATATAAAGTTTAATATTTTTCTAATTTGTTTAGAATTAATGGTCAAGCTTATTAATAATACAGTGTTTATCAGGTCTTCGCATGTTTAAATAAACAAAAAATCTTAATTATGAAACAATTTTATTTATATTAATTACAGTGCAGTCTGCTTTTTGAGCTAACTATTACTGGTGTCATATAAAGTAATATGGCTGTGCTCCAAGTAGTGCTCAAACCCATAATCCTTGGTTTAGTGTGCTGATGCTAGTCCAGACAAGATACTATTTACATCTTGAACATTTATATCAATAAATATCATACCAAATAAGGCACATGTCATATGCAACTTACAAGTTTAGGCTATACAATAAGTGTGTTGGATCAAAGTCCATAAAAAGATTGTTAATTATTGGCCTGTTTCAGGTAGTATAGAACAGTTATTGCTAGTTTACTGACCCATTTCAGGAAGTACACAAATGTATAGAACAGTTACCCAATTTTACTGACCTGTTTCGGGCAATATAGAACAGTTACCACCATAAGGAGGTAGGTTGGTTTCAAATGAGTATTCTGTGAAAGAGGCAGTGTGACCATACACCTTTATGTCCAGTCTAAGATGATACAAATTCCCACCTACCATGATACCTGGCTTGAAAGTCAGCCAAGCACTTGTAATATCTGAAAATATATATGAGCCGCGTCACAACAAAACCAACATAATGGGTTTGCGACCAGCATGGATCCAGACCAGCCTGCGCATCCGCGCAGTCTGATCAATTGATCCATGCTGTTCGCTTACAAACCCTATAGCAAGTAGAGAAACTGATAGCGAACAGCATGGATCCTGATCAGACTGTGCGTATGCGCAGGCTGGTCTGGATCCATGCTGGTCGAAAACCAATTATGTTGGTTTTGTCTTGACGCGGCTCATGTGTTAAATCATACTTGAAATATAAAAATAATGTTTCATTTTTGCACTTTCTGAGATATGCTTGCTTGAGGACTTTGAAAACATGAACATTTTGTATTGTTTGAATCTTGAATCAGATGTGATGCTTAAAATTCTAGTCTAAATTTATTGTAAGTACACTTTATATCTGATGAAAATTGCTTTTTTAACAAAATGACATTACAATGGGATCTTTTTCATATTTCAAAAGAAAATTCTTTACCTGTGGTTACCATAGTTTCAAGCTGTAGCGGAAGTCTTTCACTTCCTGTCTGAATATAGAAAGACCAGGAATAGTCAATCTTGTCCCAGCTTTGACAACTCTCACATATACCTTGTACAGTAAACTCACTTGAGGGATTTACCTTAGCTTTACAATTTTGAACACATCTGAAAACAAAATTAAACATAACTTAAGCAAGTTTTATTCAGTCATAAAAAATATTTATTAAAAAGTTTTAAAAAAAAACACTGATATAAGATCAAAAAAATTTTCATTTTTTTACTTCAGAAAAAAATAATAATAATTTTTTAATTTTTATTTTCAAACAAATTATTATAAATTAATCAGTAATTTTAAATCAAACAGCGTTTTATAGACAAAAATAATGCAAAACAATTTTTTTAGTGTGATAACCCTCGCTGAAAATATTAGAACTTTTTTATTGAAAAAATTATAACAATTTTCTCATATAAATAAACCCCAGATAAATTTACCCTTTTGGCCCCTTTTTTTTCAAAATTTTTTTAAATTTAGAAAAAATTTTATAACCCTTTTTTTAAAATGGGATTCAATTTTACCTAAACAGAACCCAATTTTTTAATATCATTTTTAAACCCACTTTTTTTTTTTAAAAAACTGGTGGATCACCATCAACTACATGTACTTCTTGTTAAAAATGGTTTTTTTTTGTTTAAACCTTTTCAAAAAGTCGGGGAAAAATTTACTGATGTTGGGGCAAGAAAAAACCCCCCGACAACCAAAACACCACTTGCATTTCTAGACGAAACCCTTTCCCGTTCCAAAAACACCCTTTTCCCAATCATCCTCTGTAATTTTTAAAATAAAGTTTTCTGAAAACTTGAAAGTCGTCTGCTAAAGACTCACAAAAATTTTTTTTTGTCTTTGCACAAACCCCTTCAATTTGGAAAAATGAGGAATTTTTTTTTAATTTTTTAAATATCTGGAATCAAATGAATGTTTTCAATCCCTCTAAGGCAAAAACTTTGTCAAAACTAAACCACTCGAACATTTTCCCCCCCTTTTTATTGGGAAACAACCAATGGTGAGGGTTCCCCTTTAATGTAGGTGAAAATCTTCCGTGTATAGGCCTGGTATTATACCAATCATTGTTACATTCCCAGTTGATATTTTATAAAGACCAATGTCCAATTTCCTTGGGCTCAAAAATATACCTCAAATTTGTAACTTGAGCAATATCAATATCATACGCCTAAAATGTGGGGGTCAAGGTATGTGTTCCCCTTCAATGGACCTTGTCAGAAATATTCCAGTGGTAAACTGGTCCACTTTAGCCTCGCAGTTTTAATAACAGCTAACTTTCTAATATTATTCCAATCAGAAACCAGCCTTTTTTGGCATTTCAATTGTTTTGTCCTCCTTGAAAACTGACCTCCGGATAGAACAACTGATCCATTGACAACAGCTAAACTGCTGACTGTTGCAGTGTACTTCATTTAAAGCATCTATTTTAACAGGTAAACACCTTCTCAGTGTACATGGACTATAATTATCGTTTTCGTTTCTTTCAATTTTTTAATGAAGGAAGATTCTGATGAACTGTTCCTCATACAGTTTTCTGATCCCATTTCAACCAATGGGCTTCCATCACCCATATCCCATGTGAAACAAGTATCTGTACCAGAATGTGTAAGGTCCAAGGTGAATTCCATAACTTTGTAAGACTTAAGTGGGCCGTTATTTGATAACTTAAGTGGTAAAACAATATCATACATTATAACTATCAATGTAACATTTTCAAAATACAGTTGATTAAAGGCTGTAACAGTAACTAGGTAGGTTCCCTCAGAATTAAACTTGTGAGAAACAATGCCACTCTCTATCACTGTTACATTGCCATTTCCAAAATTTATTTTATATCGGATATTGTTTCCACTGTTGAGTGAAGCATTGAAAATTACAGGTCTTTGAACAGGGAAAATATTCATACTTCTACCATGTCCATAATGAAGAATATTATATTTAGAGCTTTGCTCGTAAAATCGTTGAACTGATAATCCTATTATCTCTTCTAAAACCCAAATTGTTTCATAAACAGTTGCAGTGGAAACGTTGTTTCTTACTACAAACATAACATCATACTTTCCTGGTAGCTCAAATGTAAAATCACTGATAATAGTTTTATTTCTTATTAAAGTTGAATACAAATTTCCAGTGTAGTTTATGCCTGACCCAAACCAGTAAATATATTCTACATTTGAACCTTTTCCAATGAAAAATTCAAAATTAACAGTGTCTCCAATTTCAACAGAATTTCTATCAGCTGTGATTTTGATATTTTCTATAACAGCTTGAATGAAGGTATCAGCTTCCATGTACTGATATGAGATCCTATTGCTACAGTTAACTGCTATTTCAGTCCATCCAAACAATTCTCCATCTGTGTGTATGGTCACGATCATCGGACTATCTTCCTTAATCTCATATGCATACTCTGTAACTGTCCAAGTATTGTGGAGTTCAACGTCACATGTGACCGCGGTGGGTGGTGAAAATATTTCTTGTGTCCAGATTTCTATCTTGACCTCATTTGGAGGTGAGGGTGTTATTTGATGTACTTTAAGCTTTAAATTTTTCACTGGATACTGGACATACACTGGACCAATACTATCATACCACTCAGATATAGCATTGGTTAGTTTTACACCGATGGTAATTTCATCAGGACTACTGAACATTTTCTGAATGACAAATTCTGTGCTACCTCTCTTGGTATTATTTTGAGAGATGATATCTTTATTTCCATTCCCATAATTTAATTCCAAGTCTATGTTGCTCCCTGTTTTAGTCAGCACAATAATGTTTAGATATTCTCCAGGAATGATGACAAATTTTTCAACTATTATTTCAACCCCTGTTACAACCTCCTCTGAAACAATGACCTTTGTCAAGGTCATAGAGCTCACTAAATTTGATACCCTAACACTCATGTTAAAAAGTCCAACAGAATATATATGGTCAACACTAACTGCATCCTCAAATTCATGCACATATTCTAGAACATGATTACCCTCTCCAAAGTTCCAGTAAATATTCACATTATTATATAACTTTTCTGTGCTTACAATAAATCTTACATGCCCTGAGAAAAGTAGGTCAAGGTCAGATACATCCAAGGTCAGGGAGGTCAACATGTCTTGAATGATGACTGTAGAATAAACAGTTTCTGAGCTTATTGTATTTGAAACAGTCACAACTAGTGTGTAGTTTCCAGGAGATAAATACCTAAAAAAATATTTTTAAATCGAATCAACAAGATGGAAACCAGGAAATTTTAAGTAACAAAATTGTCAAATTACAAAAAAAATATTGAAATGATTCTTATTTCCGCTTTAATGAAACTGACTAAAACATCAAGATTAGTGATATACAACTTGTATTGTTAAAATATTTTCTGCACATTTTATTAGTTTACATAAGTTATTTATAAAAGCAAGTCATTTTGTCATTTTGGCTTGAACAAAACTATAGGAAATTGAAATAAAAGTGATTGAAAAAGACATGCAACATTTAAAAATCCTGATCCACACACAGATGTAGAAGTAGATACAAACTCTGCCATATTTTCTCCTAGATTTGACTTAAATGTTAAACATTTCATGTTTTGTCTACCATTATAACAATACACATCACACGTCTTATGATGGATTGTATTAGGGGTACCCCTGACCAAGTGGTTAAGGATGATGACTTTATATCATTGTCCTTAATGATTTTTTTTCCCCTATTTTTTTTTTTTTTTAAGGGGGGGATCCCTAACTTAAAAGAACTTTGTAAAATTTCTAAACTCAGGTGCCAACTTGTGCAAGAAATAATACAAATAGGGGTGCCTGAGGTCTTCCTCCACCGGGAAGACAGGACTGCAAAAAAAATGACAATTTAAGTGTCAGTGTAATTTAAAACCAAGAAGCAGGATGAAATGTGTTGTCTTAAGACGTACTTGTGTTCTATACTTTGTTGGTGCTGAAATGACAACATTTCTTCAGAGTTAACAACACTGGAATGACCATCACCATACTGTATAGCATAACTGACATGTGAGCCTCTCTCTATAGCAACCAACATTGAAACCAAGGAATCAACAGGGTAAGCCAATTTTGACTGGATTATTCTTACATTATTCACTGGGTCCTGGTTATCGTCACCAATTACTGGAAAACATAATTATCATCCAAATTTAAGTGCATTAAACTGATAATATGCTTAACACACTAATAAAAGTACACTTGTCAATGCAGTAATTACATGTACATAAAATATCGACAAATGATGAAATGTCCCTATTCCAGACAATCTAGCATATAATTATTCAAAATTCATGACACATCCTAAATTTAACAATAAGATTAGAAATTCTCCAAATTATAAATTTTAAATCACATTTATCACATGCCAGTGCTGCTTTTGCGATTCTGTAAAAAGAGTAATGCATGGCCGTGCATATATTTTGAGGTGACATCATTTGAGTTATACAAACATAGCGTAAAGATGCGCTAATTGTTAGCAGTACACAATAGGCATGTCAATGACAACATTATTCCTTTGCTCTGTAAACAGCTCTTATTTTGGGTATGTGAATAATAAAATATTGTATTCATGAAGTTTCAGTACCAAATTTATTGAATTGTTGAATGAAATAAAATTATGCTGGCCAGAGGCTCACTTAATATAATTTTATTGAAGTTGTTCAATAAATTCAGTACTAAACCTGTCATACACTCAAATATACTCATTCAATATCCTCTATTTACTCAAAAGTTTAGATGTACAAGGATGTTAACTTTTACCAGCACAAACACTGCCAGGTCTGTTGTCAGATATATCAAGATATCCTGGTAAACATGTGCATTCGTAAGTCCCCGGTAGATTTGTACATATAGCAAACTCAGAACATATATTCAGGTCCGGACTTGAACACTCGTCTATGTCTGCAACAGAATCACGCATCACAAAATATACATGTATATTTTTTTTTAAACAGTACAATGTAAATTATCTATGTATAAAAATCTCTCAAAATTATGTTTATGTATTTTGCTCATTTTAATATATTATTCTATACTTTTATTTTTCAACAATAATACATTTTGAAAGTGACATCTAGCGACAAGTGTGATAAGGTGATTTCAATGTAAAAACATGTGTTATTAGATAATTGTTCATTATAACATCAAATATACATGTTTAATCAATCAAAAGATTTCAAACATTTGTATGTTAGTGGCAAAAACTGTTTACAACTACCAGTACAGAGGCAAGCAATCATCTGTGTCATCAGGAGTTTGCACTGTACTGTATGTTGTTTACTTTTAGTATTTAGATATCAATATTTCTCAAATCAACAACTGAAAATTTCAAATTTTAAAGCAGGACACCCCACTATAACAAACTAATAAAGTAATGATTAAAATAGATCTACCAGTAAAATGTTTACAGGATTAGAACTAACTAGCAGTTGTTTTACAGTTAAAGATCCTTAAGTATGGTTTATCAAATATCTCTTGTGTTATAATAAGGTACATTTTTAAACCATACACAAATATTTATATAAAGAACAAAGCAAGATTAGTTTTGGTTCCCATTAGCAACCCATAATTTCTAGCAATATCATACTTTACCTTCTATAATGATGGACATGACCTCTAATTGATTCTCGCTCCAGTAACTAAGATTGGACATGAAAACATCTGTGAGCTCTTCAGTTGTGAAGGTACCATTTATCCCTAGGTACATACTGAAGTTCATTATGACACTCCCTGGATACAGGCTGTTCACTTGTAAACCATAGTATGGATATGATGTCTGAGTCAGGAACGAAGAAAACTGCAAATAATGGAAAACGCAAGAGAAGGTATTATTTTAACTTGGTGAATCTGCTTTCAAGGCACTCCGCTAAGGTTTTTTGCCATGACGGGACTGGAAATGATTTTTAGAGATTATTGTTCCACATGATATAGGTCTAGACTTATGTGTAAAATTTTTAATCATTCGCTCACTCTGTTTTTCCAGAAAAATTATTCTAGTTGTTAAAAATGACCAATAATTGAAAAGGGTTGGAACGCTTTTTTCCCGAACAAGCTTGAAAAGCGCAAAATACCATTTTCAATTTATTTCTGAGTATATTTACTAAATTAAATTGTCTTTTGCATATCTTTTCTTTATAAGTGTCCCAGCTGATCTATGTAAGAAATTCAATTTTTACGTTTTTTTAGGATTTTTGACCGCAATGAAGTTCCTTTCAGGTTCAATGCAATTCCTTCATTCTTTCAATCTTTCTTCAGAAAAAAACAAATTTTCTGCCAGATATATTACATGATGTAAATGAAACAAATCTTACCACAGTTTGGAAGTTATTTATCATGTTATCAATCTCTTCAGGTGTCATGTGATCTAGATGGACATCTGTACCACCTGATTCTAGAATATGTACACTACCCCAGAACTGTTGTACTTCTGCAAAAAAGAAATACAGTGAATGTCAGTAAAGGAAGACTGGTGTATCTGTGCAATGTTTCTACACGTGTATAACTTTAGGCTGTTGGTCCAAGACCTACTCTTTTCAACTTATCCAATTAAATAAGAATGATCACTCCCTATAGAGTCAAACACTTAGAACCCAAGCAATATATGTTGACAACAGGCAATTGTCACCTCCCCTCCCCCCAAAAGAACATGACATTTTACTACTTCAAATAACTGCATGGTATACTGTATAAGTGTTAAAAGAATAAAGAATATATTATTATTATGCTCAATTATTGCAAAAATCATCTATGAATGAATGACAAAGTTATGACCAAACACAATCAACTACGTAAAATTTTGACATTTAATATAACCGTCATTTTCTGTTAAAATGACATGTTTTCTGGTAACAGGATACTTCTAACTCTACTGTATACGGTAAGGATGCTTCTAGTTTTTTATTTTTTTTTAAATCAAAAAATCTGCTCAATACTGGCATGCGAGCAGTTCCCGTACAGAAGCAGTACCCGTATTTTTCATTTAAACGCTTGATTTTTACATGCATTCTTCAAAAATTCATTTCAAATCAAGCAGATACATAAACGAGACAAAATCTAAATGTCAGTTCGGCAGTACGTATAAAAAGTCTCATTTTAAATCACTTTCACCTGTGCATTGTCAAAACGTGACCTTGTTTTATCCGGGGGATTCCGTTCTTGCGCGCATGCGCAAACATACTTACACGTGAGGCATGTTAAAGGGTTTTCCACTTATACCACCTGTTTACAGATAAGAAGGCAATGTGATGAAAACTTGTTTAATTATCAGAATTTTGACCAATATTACTATATAAAATAATTTTATGGCTTTGATGCGTAAAATATCATGCATACAAGCATGCCATCGCATGTGAATGCGTTGGGGGTAATGGTACCGGGTAATAGATACATGCGTTTAGTCTACTTTCTATTTCCGGAATTACATCTATTTATCTCTTAGAAAATGGTCTGTTCAACAATTATAAATGAAAAATAGGTCCGATATAATAAAATTGTATAATTATAATGGGTTAAATTTTATGTACGGGAACTACTTCTCTTCATACAAAATAATGGATAATTTCGGTACCCCATATGAGGCCTCATAACTAAGGGTTATTCTATGTTTAGAACAAGATGGAATTTCCATGATTTGGGTGACGAGCTGAATATCGATGTGTAACATTGAAATTTTGGTGAGTGAGCGTAATAAAAAATAATGTTTAAGTAACTACGATTTTTGTACGGGAACTGCTCGCATGCCAGTACAGTTCAAGTATTTGGACTAGAAACTAACTTACAGACTGAAATAAATAAATCAATACCCCTAAAAATATTTCTTTTATTTTATTAGTTTTGTCTTTTTGCCGTTGAAAAAAAAAGAAAAATAACTTTCATCTGCGTTGGTTATTCAGGTACAAAAAGAGAAATTAAAATCAGGGGAGGTAAATCATACTTAAGAAATTGCTATCATGTACCTGTGCAAATATCCGGAGCAGTTTTATAAAATCCTTGTCGACATAAACAGCTAAAACTGCCTTCATCGTTGATACAGTCAGAATTCTCTGGACATGGGTCGTCTGCACATTCATTTATATCTAGAAATTAGCCGAACAATTGCATAAAGTAAAATAATGTGCAAATTACATAATATGGATCTATCACTCGTTCTCTTTGAATCATGTTTTCCAAGAAAAGTATGTATGAACGGACATTTCGAAAAGTAAAATAGGGAACTGAAAAAAAAAGTTTATGCATTTGTTCCAAAATGAAATATTATAAATTAACATAATATTTGAAGGTCCAAAAGTAGACCTATGACTAAATTCATATGCTTAATTTTACCACCCCCCCCCCCCAAAAAAAAAAAAAAAAAAAAACCAACACTTTTTCCACATCATATTACGTATCAATTTCTTTAAAATACATGTATATGATAGAAAATTTAGAATAAAACTTACCAACACAAATTCCCTGGTGATTGTTTCTATGGAAACCATCTTTACATGAACACATATAAGAACCTTGCTCATTTGAACAAGTCTCGTGATCACCGCATAGGTTATCGTCCTGCTCACATTCGTTTATGTCTTTCAAAAAAAATATACAAGCATTAAATTTACAATATCATAGCTTCAAATTTTGGAATTGCTTTAATTCAATTAATTCGAAAGACTACCTGTCTTTAAGATATTATGTTTATTATCATATTAGGTGAGTACAAGTATTTATGTTTTCTAAGTTACAAACAACGACACCATTGGAGATTTATGTACCTGTAGCTCTATAAAAAAAAGTTGGAATACTATTTAAGTCAAAGGCATCCTCGAAAATACCAAAAAAAATAAAAACACACAACGTGAACTTGTTTTAAAAATTCTTGGTTTGAGAATGACACTATTTGGTAAACTCGGGAAAATGTATGGAATTACGTGATTTTGTTACATCTAATTGTCATTACAAACACGATTTAAATATTAGGTTACCTAAACATGCGCCTGAATCCTCCATGACAAAGCCAGTGACACAGCCACATGAATACGACCCTGGACTATTATCACATACCGCACTTGCGTCACATACATCCGTAGAACATTCATCTATATCTAATGACACAAAAACGTGAAAAATATAGTCCTATAGATCAGTTTAGTTCATTAAACATAATAAGAGGAACTCATGTTTTACTTTGGAGAGTTACCTAACAAGTAATTAACACAAACATGTTTATACGTGATCATTTTGATCATATGGCCACGGAAATTGAATGTCAGTTAAAGTCTGTGCATGGACAACTAACTTTACTTCTTGATTAATGTTGAGTTTGCTATTATTAATGATATTTGTAAATGAGCAGTTAAACAACTGTATGTACTAATCATTTCTCTCCTTTGTATTTTTTCTTTATTATTTCGTCTTCACTTCAACAGTTATTAACCCATCATATCAAATGTTTGAGCTTATCATTTACCTAAACATATTCCAGCTATTTGTCGGTATCCATGGAAACAAGAACAAGAATAGCTTCCATCAGTATTGTCGCAATGGGAGTTAGAAGGACAAATTCCGCTAGTCATACACTCATTGATGTCTGCAAAAAAAAGAATATTGGAAAACATGGTGCCCCTTGATTGTTTCGTTATCACCATTATATAATCATTTATGACGTTTTATTAAAAGATAGAACTTGATTTGAATCACTTTCGTTAGAACTGAAATAAACAAGTATTAAAATTCTTTTTAGATAAAGGAGCACCAAATAAAGTTAAATCCCGACTTAAGCGAATGTTCAGGTACTCTCGTAAATGAAAATATTATTTCAAGTTACACCAAAATTTGGCACTCAGTATTTCGTCTATCAAATGATAAATTGCAGTTTTTGAGTCTGTAGCTTTTAAGACAAACAGGAAAAAAGTTCCAAATCCCTACCTATACATTCATCGTTTACTGTGGAATATCCCGCACGACACAAACACTCATAACCAGGCTTCATGTTTATACAGTCAGAATTGTCAGGACATGCGCCCTCATCTTCGAAACATTCATCTATGTCTGTCAAATAAACGCCACAACATTACTAGTATTGCTCAAATGCAAATTACCACTCTCACCACACCACTCAACTATGAACACGTGGGTCTTCTTGCAATATTGAACAATATAGAAAAAAATACTTTTGTATAAACTGTATGCTTTAACATTACGCCAAAGTGTTGGTTTTAAAAACGTTTTAATTAGATTGACCTTTACAAAATACTTGATACAGACAATAAGCATATCAGGACAGTATAAAATAATCATGCTCAAACAGACAATTAATAATAATAATTATATATACCTATGCATAAATTTTGTACTTGCTTAAAACCTTCATTACACATGCACTTGAAACTGCCCTCCGTATTTATGCACGTGGCTTTCTCCATACAAACATCCTTAACGACACATTCATCGACATCTGAAAGAAATCATTCTCAATAATTTTATAAATATAAAGTGAAAATATCATTGTACATTTTACAAGTATATTCTTCTTTTGTATTAACTACCTTTAAGTTTCAACGAAATCATAACTTTATTCATTCACAGTTTCAAAATACAGGAACTGTGAGCGCAAATATCAAAAGATGGAATAACATGTGAGAGCAAATGTTCGCGCCCACGGTGTTGAATCACGCTGTGTTTGTTTCAGGACAGATATTTTTATGCCAAGATGTCGAAGCATTGTAAGAATTGTTTGTCAATTGAAACTAGTTAATTTTCAACGTGAGTAAATAATTTGATAATTTATTGTGGTTGAAGCGATTCCAATTGCTTATCAAACTACTTTTGTCAGAAGTCTTGATATTAATAATTAATGCAAAATGTTTTAATTTTGATTGACACTTACCGAGACACTGTCCATCGTTCATCTTAAAACCCTGTAGACATTCGCATCTGTAACTTCCAATGGTGTTCACACAAAATGAGTTTGGATTGCATGGATTATTCTCACATTCATCTATGTCTTCGGAAATACAATTTGTATGATAGCATAAATTGCATAACTATAGCATTCAGACATTTATTTACTTCATTTTACTTACTAGTAATATGCCAAAAGATACTTTTTTTACATTTTGGAAAGGGAACTAACTTAAAAAAAAAAGAATATTGGAAAACATGGTGCCCATTGATTGTCTCGTTATCACCATTATATAATCATTTATGACGTTTTATTAAAAGATCGCACTTGATTTGAATCACTTTCGTTAGAACTGAACTAAACAAGTTTTAAAATTCTTTTTAGATAAAGGAGCACCAAATAAAGTTAAATCCCGACTTAAGCGAATGTTCAGGTACTCTCGTAAATGAAAATATTATTTCAAGTTACACCAAAATTTGGCACTCAGTATTTCGTCTATCAAATGATAAATGGCAGAGTCTGTAGCTTTTAAGACAAACAGGAAAAAGTTCCAAATCCCTACCTATACATTCATCGTTTACTGTGGAATATCCCGCACGACACAAACACTCATAACCAGGCTTCATGTTTATACAGTCAGAATTGTCAGGACATGCGCCCTCATCTTCGAAACATTCATCTATGTCTGTCAAATAAACGCCACAACATTATTGCTAAACTTCAAATTGCAACTCTCACCACACCACAAAATTATGAACACGCAGGTCTTCTTGCAATATTGAACAATACAGAAAAAATGCTTTTGTATAAATTGTATGCTTTAACATTACGTCAAAGTGTTGGTTTTAAAAACGTTTTACTTAAATTGACCTTTACAAAAAACTTGATACTGACAATAAGCATATCAGTACAGTATAAAATAATCATGTTTAAACAGACAATTAATAATAATAATTATATATACCTATGCATAAATTTTGTACTTGCTTAAAACCTTCATTACACATGCACCTGAAACTGCCGTCCGTATTTATGCAAGTGGCTTTCTCCATACAAACATCCTCAACGACACATTCATCGACATCTAAAAGAAACCATTCTCAATAATTTTATAAATATAAAGTGAAAATATCATTGTACATTTTTACAAGTATATTCTTCATATTTTGTTATAACTTAATAGACATTACATAACGCTGTGATTTAACGTTTTCTAAGAAGCATCAAGTAATTTAGGAACTACCTTTAAGTTTCAACGAAATCATAACTTTATTCACAGTTTTAAAATACAGGAACTGTGAGCGCAAATATCAAAGATGGAATAACATGTGAGAGCAAATTAATGTTCGCCACGGTGTTGTGTCACGCTGTGTTTGTTTCCGTACAGATATTTTTATGCCAAGATGTCGAAGCATTGTACGAATTGTTTGTCAATTGAAACTAGCTAATTTTTGGACATGACTAAATAATTTGATAATTTATTGTAGTTGGAAGTGATTCCAATTGCTTATCATACAACTTCTGTCAGAATTCTTGATATTAATAATTAATGCAAAATGTTTTAATTCTTTTGATTGACACTTACCAAGACACTGTCCATCGTTCATCTTAAAACCTTGTTGGCATTCGCATCTGTAACTTCCAATGGTGTTCACACAAAACGAGTTTGGATTGCATGGATTATTCTCACATTCATCTATGTCTTCGGAAATACAATTTGAATGATAGCATAAATTGCATAATTATAGCATTCAGACATTTATATTTACTTCATTTTACTAAATCTGTCAAAAGATACTTTTTCTACATTTTAGGAAAGGGAACTAACTAAAAACATTCATTATTCGTTAACAAAAAAGTTATTGTCTGTGTTCTAAAGTCGTTTTAATAATAATAAACGCGATGCAATCTTAATTTATATATATTAAATATTTAATAAAAAATAAACATTTAATACCTTGAACGGAGGTTTGTGTAGTTCTTTGTGGTATGCTGGAACTCGTATCTGCTGTTTCTTTATTGTTGTCAGATTTAGTACTGGGAAGACTGTTAGATACCGTCGTTATTTCATTGGCTATATCTGTGGTATATCTCATAGTCTTATCTGCATCAGTAATTGTTTCATCCCTGAATTTTCCAGCAGTGGTGGTTGTAAATAAAACTTTATTGTCTGAAGTGGAAAGTGGTGTGTCGTTTGAAGTGACCGAGTCTAATGAAGAAAATTTATCACTTGACGTGGTTTTATCCATACCCCTTGTAAAGTCACTCGTTAAACTTCCAGTAATGGTGTTCGAAAAAGTCCCTGTGTTTTCCAAAGGGGAAGATGGTGTAACATCGGTAGAGATCGTCTCTAGTGAAGAAGAAGATGAAGCGTTTGTTGCAGTATTCTCTATATCAGTTGATAATTTACCACTGAAATTCACAGAAGTGGGATTTGTGATTATTGTAGTACTGTCTGAAGTGTAAATTTGTTCGCCAGAATTAGTGATTGTATCTAGGGTTGAAGAAGATGTAGCACTTGCTGTGGATTGATATGTATCACTTTTAAATTCACTCGATGATATATCAGCTGAACTCGCACTGCTATGATGTAAAGTGGAAGATCGTGCATCATCAGTAGTGATCGTGTCTGATGTAGTGATATGTTTGACTATGTCAAATTCACTAGATGAGTTCCGTACGCTAGCGGTTGATATAGATCTTGCACTGTCTGAAAAGGATGTTCTTGTGTCATGTTTAGTGCTCATGGAAGAAGAAGCACTTGTTTTGGTGGTTTTATTACCTGAAAAATCACTCGATGAACTTCCACTTATTGCGGATACTATAGTTTCCTTAAATTGTGAAGTGGAAGATGATACACCATTTGTAGTGATAGAATCCGAGGTAGAAGATGCTTTTGTTGTGGTCTTATCTGGATCCGTTGTTAACTCACTGCTAACATTCCAATTAATGGTGGTTGAAACAGTCCCTTTACTGTCTGTACTGGAAGTAGGTGTGTCATTTCTAGTTATCGTGTCTAACGGAGAAGATGTAGAACTTGCTCTTGTGCTTTTAGCCATGTCTGTACTAAAGTCACTCTCTGAGCTGCCAATAATTTCGGTTGAAACCGGTCCTGTACGATATGAGGTGGAAGATTGTGCATCATCTGCAGTAATCGTGCCTTTGGTCCTAGCGATAGTGGTCGAAATGGGTTCTATACTGTTTGAAGAAGGAGCGCTTTTGCCATCTTGAGTCGTGATCTCGTCTAGCAAATGAGAGGTTGTAGCACTTGTTGTATTAGTGGTGGCATTTTTAAATTCAATCGATGGGCTTCCAGTAATGTCGGTTAGAATAGTTCCAGTATGTTTTGAAGAAGACGATTGAACATGATCTGTAGTGACCGTGTCCAATGTAGAAAATGTCGCGTTTATTGTAGCTTTATCTTTTTCAGTTGTTAATTCAGTTTTGAACGGCACAGCAGGGGTGGTTGAAATGCTTTCTATATTATCTGAAAAATGTTTTGTGCCACTTTTAGAGGTCGTGTCTAATTTAAAAGAAAATGTAGTACTTTCTGTTGTTTTATCTCTATTTGTTCTAAAGTTATTTGTTTGGCTCCAAGGAAGGGCAGTTGTTATAAATGCTCTTCTGTCTAAAGTTAAATATATTGCTTCATCTGAAGTACTTACATCTGGCGCACGAGAAGATGAAACACTTGTTAATGAAGTCTTGTCCATGTTAGTTTTAAATTCACTTGCTGAGCTTCCGGGAATGCTAGTGATAATACTTCCTACACTGTCTGAAATGTTTAACGTTCCATCTGTAGTGATTCTGTCAATTATAGGAGATGATGTAGTATTTCTTGTTGTCATTTTATCTGTATAAGTTTTAGTTTCATTCGTGTCTAACGGAGAAGATGTAGAACTTGCTCTTGTGCTTTTAGCCATGTCTGTACTAAAGTCACTCTCTGAGCTGCCAATAATTTCGGTTGAAACCGGTCCTGTACGATATGAAGTGGAAGATTGTGCATCATCTGCAGTAATCGTGCCTTTGGTCCTAGCGATAGTGGTCGAAATGGGTTCTATACTGTTTGAAGAAGGAGCGCTTTTGCCATCTTGAGTCGTGATCTCGTCTAGCAAATGAGAGGTTGTAGCACTTGTTGTATTAGTGGTGGCATTTTTAAATTCAATCGATGGGCTTCCAGTAATGTCGGTTAGAATAGTTCCAGTATGTTTTGAAGAAGACGATTGTAAATCATCTGTAGTGACCGTGTCCAATGTAGAAAATGTCGCGTTTATTGTAGCTTTATCTTTTTCAGTTGTTAATTCAGTTTTGAACGTCACAGCAGGGGTGGTTGAAATGCTTTCTATATTATCTGAAAAATGTTTTGTGCCACTTTTAGAGGTCTTGTCTAATTCAAAAGAAAATGTAGTACTTTCTGTTGTTTTATCTCTATTTGTTCTAAAGTAACTTGTTTGGCTCCAAGGAAGGGCAGTTGTTATAGATGCTCTTCTGTCGAAAGTAAAATATATTGCTTCATCTGAAGTACTCACACCTGGCGCACGAGAAGATGAAACACTTGTTGATGAAGTCTTGTCTGAAAAGGATGTTCTTGTGTCATGTTTAGTGCTCATGGAAGAAGTAGCACTTGTTTTGGTGGTTTTATTAGCTGAAAAATCACTCGATGAACTTCCACTAATTGCGGATAATATAGTTTCCTTAAATTGTGAAGTGGAAGATGATACACCATTTGTAGTGTTAGAACCCAAGGTAGAAGATGCTTTTGTTGTGGTCCTTCCTGGATCCGTTGTTAACTCACTGCTAACATTCCAACTAATGGTGGTTGAAACAGTCCCTTTACTGTCTGTACTGGAAGTAGGTGTGTCATTTAAAGTTATCGTGTCTAATGGAGAACTTGCTCTTGTGCTTTTAGCCATGTCTGTACTAAAGTCACTCTCTGATCTGCCAGTAATGTCGGTTGAAATCGGTCCTGTACGATATGAAGTGGAAGATTGTGCATCATCTGCAGTAATCGTGCCTTTGGTCCTAACGATAGTGGTCCAAATGGGTTCTATACTGTTTGAAAAAGAAGCGCTTTTGCCATCTTGAGTGGTGATCATAGCACTAGCATAGGTTGTAGCATTTGTTGTATTAGTGGTGGCATTTTTAAATCCAATCCATGGGCTTCCAGTAATGTCGGTTAGAATAGTTCCAGTATGTTTTGAAGAAGACGATTGTACATCACCTGTAGTGACCGTGTCCAATGTAGCGTTTATTGTAGCTTTATCTTTTTCAGTTGTTAATGCAGTTTTGAACGTCACAGCAGGGGTGGTTGAAATGCTTTCTATATTATCTGAAAAATGTTTTGTGCCACTTGTCGTGTCTAATTTAAAAGAAAATGTAGTACTTTCTGTTGTTTTATCTCTATTTGTTCTAAAGTCACTTGTTTGGCTCCAAGGAAGGGCAGTTGTTATAGTTGCTCTTTTGTCTAAAGTAAAATATATTGCTTCATCTGAAGTACTTACACCTGGCGCACGAGAAGATGAAACACTTCTGGATGAAGTCTTGTCCATGTCAGTTTTAAATTCACTTGCTGAACTTCCAGGAATGCTAGTGATAATACTTCCTTCACTGTCTGAAGTGTTTAATGTTCCATCTGTAGTAATTGTGTCAATTATAGGAGATGATGTAGTATTTCTTGTTGTCATTTTATCTGTATAAGTTTTAGTGTCATTTGCCGAGTTCCCAGCAATGCTTGTTAAAATAGTTCCAATATTTTGTGATGTGATAGATGGTGCACGACTTTCAGTAACTGTGTTTAAAGTAGAGGAAGTTGTAGCACTTGTTGCGGCTTTATCTTTACCAGTTCTAAAATTACTCGCTGATCCGCCAGCAAAGATAGGTGAAATAGTCCCTGTATGTTGTGAAGTAGAAGATGGTACACCATCTGTAATGGCCGTGTCTGCTGTATATGTCTTCGAAGATGTAGCTTTTCTTGTGGTTTTAGTGTCAGTTGTTAATTCATTCAATGAGCTCACAGCAAAACCGGTAGAAATAATTTCTGTTCTGTATGAAGAGGAAATTGGCGCTTTTTCTGTAGTGACCAAATCGTGCGTTGAAGTTTTAGTGTTCATTGTCGTTTTATTTCTGTCAGTCATTAGTTCACTTCTAGAAGTCGGGGATGAAGCGATCGAAATAGTGTCTGTATTGCCAAAAGTGTGAGTAGGATCACTTTTGATGGCATAAGTATCTAATGCAGAAATTGATGTGAGCAATTGATTAGTAGTTTGATTGATATCACTAGTGAAAGATATATTTGTATGATTTGTTACTGCGGCAACCGTAGATGTCAAGGAGCTATTATCTGTTGCTTCTTTGTATGTAGGAATTATTACAATGCTTGAATAAGTTATGGCTTTGGTAGTTGAATTTGTAATATTTCTGGTATTTGGATTTGTTACAGATTTAATATTTTCTGTTTCTGATTGAATATCAATTCGGGTGCCATAAGTAGCATCAGTGGATATATCTTCTGTGGCATCATAAGGTAGCGTTGACGGATTTTTTGTTATAGAAATATTTGGTTTTAATTCATTAGTTGAATTAGTATCAATTGTGTCTAATGTTATTTCAGCTAGTATGGTATCCATAGAAGTAACAGAGGATATATCTATTGAACTAGTTTGATCAGATGTATTTGGCAATGTTGTGGTGCCTTCGGTGATACTAGGCACCGTGTTAGTTTTTATGTCATTGATATTTGTAGATATTTTTGTTGATGTACTGTCAGTTCCATGTGAAACATAACTATGAGTTGCCATTGAATATGTGACATTATTTCCATTTGAAACGTCATTTGACGAACTTGTCTCCGTGTAAGAAAAAGTTAGTGATGCAAACCTTTCTAAAATTTTAGACGATTTTGTACCTGTAGCATCAGAACTCATTTGTGGTAAAATCGTGGATATATTGTCATTATAATCTACTTCCGGTACTGAAATATCACCTTCGTTTTTGGAAGTAGTTAAATTTAATTCATCTACAGTAACTGTAGAGAACGAAACTGATGTTGCAGGCGATGAATTGCTGATACCAGTAGTCATCGAATACTCATTGTTACTAGTAATGTCCGTTCTAACAGAAGCAGAAGTTGGTGCGCTGCTATTATCTGTTACTAGTTTTGTACTGAATGTTCTATTATTTATCTCTGCATTACCTACGGAAGTGATGGTTCCTTCTTCGGCGTTGCTTTGACTATAAGTTGATGAAACTAAATTATGTTTTGTATAAGGATTAGATGGTAAGGATTTAACATCAGTAACTTCTGTTGTTAAAGTATTATATCCAGTTCTATCCGAAAAATCAGCTGTTTCACTTGAAACTATTAATGAACTACTTTTAAAAGACGGCGTACTTGACACCATGTTATCTTCGCCAATATTTGTATTATAAGAAGTTATTTTAGAAGTTCTTGTTTTAACAGTAGAATCATCCGTATAAGACGTGCTTGTGTATTTAGGAGTCTTATCAAATTCAGTACTTATTTCATTAATAAAGGTGAGAAACACATTTGTTGTTCCAGCAGGTATAGTTGAAGAGCCTGTATGACTCTCAGTCGTAGATATTATTGGCTGTTTATTGTCAGTTCGCACATTGCTGGATGGTTCTATACCAGATGTTGTTGCCGATGAATTATATTTGGAATCACTATCTGTTTCATGCCCAGATATGTTTTCCGTAGACATATATTTTTTACGTGTTGTCTTTGATGATGAGTCATTCGCGATGTTATTTGATACTGAATTTGATACTAGTAATGTATCAAGCATTGAAAAGGTAGATATAAATTTGTTTTCATCAGTATTTTCTGTTTGTTCTGATCCCTTGATTCTGTAATCTGTAACACTAGAAGAGCTATTGTATGCGTCATCTTCGGTATAGGATAACATTCTAGTGGTTTTCATATTTCCTGTTGCAGATTTGTTGATATATACTTCATCTGTTGAAAAGGTTGATTCAGTGTCTAATATAGCATGTGTAGATGTATATTCAGCAGTTTTTGTTGATAACCTGTTGGCGACCGGTGGTGCTTTGGTTAATTCATTGCTCATAATTGCAGATGCTACTGTTTTATGAGAGCTTATTTGGTCGAAGCTCCTAGTATATTCAGTGCTTGGTAAACTTGCTGGCAACAGCTCTGAAGTAGAATTATAATTTGAAGACAAGGGATTAGAGAAAGTTATATCTGCTGTAACTGATAAATTTGTTTTGCTATTATTTGTCACTGTTGCTTTCGTTTTAAAATCATTATTTTGACTACTGGTTTCGATGTTTTGTATAATCTCTGAGTCAGTTCCAGTACTTATCGTACTTGCTGGAGTGGCCATGCTTCTAGTGCTTATGTTGTGCACTAAAGTGGCGTTTTCCATTTTATCAGTGACATTTGTCAAATCGTTACTACTGACTAATTCTGAAAAAAAGGGTGATTCAGTAGTGCGAAATAAAGTCCTTTTTCCTGTTTCTGTATTTGTAATAGTATCAAATAATCCGTCCACGGACACATTCAAACTTTTATCAGTAGACACTTGTCTTTGCTTGCTTGACACAGATGTGTCTGCATAGCCGAAAGTATTTGTGCTTGGTGTTTCTGTTATGCGTTCATAGACAGTGTTATTAAACGGAGTTAGAGATGTTTTGTCAACGACAGACGCCACAGCTTTAGAACTCATACCTTTTGTTGTTAGGGCAGATGAGAAAAATACATTTTCTGTCTTTATTGGGAACTCATTGCTAGCATTTTCAATATTGTATGTATAATTTAATGATTCAGTATTTTGACTACTGGTTTCAATGTTTTGTATAATCTCTGAGTCAGTTCCAGTACTTATCGTACTTGCTGGAGTCGCCATGCTTCTAGTGCTTATGTTGTTCACTAAAGTGGCGTTTTCCAATTTATCAGTGGCATTTGTCAAATCGTTACTACTGACTAATTCTGAAACAAAGGGTGATTCAGTAGTGCGAAATAAAGTACTTTTTCCTGTTTCTGTATTTGTATTAGTATCAAATAATCCGTCCACGGACACATTCAAACTTTTATCAGTAGACACTTGTCTTTGCTTGCTTGACACAGATGTGTCTGCATAGCCGAAAGTATTTGTGCTTGGTGTTTCTGTTATGCGTTCATAGACAGTGTCATTAAACGGAGTTAGAGATGTTTTGCCAATGACAGACGCCACAGCTTTAGAACTCATACCTTCTGTTGTTAGGGCAGATGAGAAAAATACATTTTCTGTCGTTATTGGGAACTCATTGCTAGCATTTTCAATATCGTATGTATAATTTAATGATTCAGTAGCAATACTGCTATTGTACGCTGTAGAAGATGAGTCACCATGGACAGTATTTGTAATGTTCACTATAGTTGTTTTTGATAAACTCAGCCCAGTGGATGTCTTTATAGATTCAGTGCTGGTAGAAAAATCAGAGGTTTCATTATTTGTCGAGGATACATATTCTTTATCGATACTTTCTGTTGACAAATCAGCTTGACTAACGGGCAGGAATTTAGAAGATTTTCTAGTTTCTGTAATGATATGTACTGTCGATGGTTTTAATTCAGCATCAGCAGCATTTGTATTCATATTTGTTTCAGAAGAGTTCACTTTTGTTGATTGAGTGCTTTTGTCATTTCCACCGTCTTCAAATTCAGAACTTTGTTTTACCAATGCAGAAGTGTAATGAACAGTCCTATTTTCTGTATTCGTAACATTGTTGTAATATGTTGCCGTTCCTAGATTATTGTTTCCCGAATAAGAAGCAAAATTGCTCTGACTTTCTGAGATTTCTTTCGGGGTTGTATTGTATAATTTCGTATTCGCAAGTTTTGCTGTATTATCGGCTTTTAATGTGGTTTCTTTTATCGACAAAATGGATGAGGTATTGTCAGTATTGTTCAATGATGTTGCTGTGTTAAATGTTGAGGTATTCATGTCGCCAGTGCGTTCACCAGAAATAGTGTTTGCTGTATTGTAATCAACTGTGGACTTGACAGGCTGTGTTTTATCGTTGGATGAAACAGTTGTTTCACTGTTGTTCAATTCTTTATTTGACCTTGAAAGATAATTGTATGATGTATCTGTCATTGTATTAGATTGATTGTTAACATAAAGTACTTTTGATGTTATGGTATTTCTATGAGAAGTGCTAGTCATTTGAGTTACTTCAATATCTGATAATGTAGTAACCCCACTGTTTCGGTCTATTTCATTGCCTGGGGATACAGAACTTGCGCTTGAGGCAGTGTATTTATCTTCATAAGAAGCAGTATATATACTACTTATGGCTTGAGTCAGTGGCATTCAATCGAGTTTTATTTTCCTCTATTTCGTTACCTTGAGTAGTAACTGTGGGACTCGTTACTGTGATATCAGTGCTTTTACTGTCATTTGCGATAGATGCACTTTCTTCCTCCGAAGTTGTATGGTTTAACATTCCTGGTGGTACAGTCGATTCACTTATATTTTTATCAGTTAGTTGCAATGTTCTAGTATATGTTTCATCATTTATCGAAGTTGATTGATTCAAAATATTGTCTGGCAGTAAGGTTGATCCAGATTCTTTGTCAGAAATTGATGTATATGTTTCTGTTACTGCATTACCTATGTTAGGTTTGGTACTAAGTATATTCCAATATTTAGTATATTCAAGACTGGAACTGTTGTCGCCATTAGTCAATTTTGTACTAGTCTCACCTGCCTGTGAAGATGATTGTATGCTGGAACTTTCTAATGGTGTTTCGAAATTAGTACTTATGTCACTTGACATCTTTGTGAATTCCACATCATTGTCATTTAGTGAATATTTGTTACCAGTAGTATTTGTGATCATGGCAATTGTCGATTCACCATTTGTAATTTCAGTTGATGTTGATCGCACTGATGAACGGTGCTTTTCATCGACCGATGCAAAATTCCCAGTATTGGTGGGTTCTGTTGTTATTGTTAAAAGATCAGTTATACCTGATGTTGTTCCACCACTTGATAGAATTGTTTGGACACTGCTTACATCTGTAGACCTTTCATTATTTATGGATTTTGAAACCGTTGTAAATGCCGCAATAGTAACACCCGTGTCTGTTGAGCTTTGTTTACTGTAATTCCGTAATGCAGTTAAAGAAGTTGCGTATAAATCCTCATTTGTGACTCTTAATTCACTGATTTTTTCAGTCGTTGACATAATGCTGTTATTTTCCGAAGAATGCATATTTGTTATATTCTTTTTCGTGCTGTTGAAATGAAACAATGTTGTTGATTCAAGACTCTTTGTTCCGGAGGGTTGTGAGTGCACTTCAAATTTCGTTGCAAATGGTAAACTGCTTTCAATGTCATTTGTTTTCGTATACGTATCGTTATTTGCACTTTTTACCGAAATGGCATCTGTTGACTTCAAAAAATCATTCAAGTAGTTTGGTGTCGATTTAGAAGTGATTTCATCTGTGGTCTTGGTGTTTACTTTCTTAGTATTTTCGGAGATTGAAGAGTCTAAATGACTTAATGACGATGTGTATGAATCTAAAGTTGATTGTCTGCTATCATAGTCTGTTGACGAAGGTTGACTATTAAGATCACCAGTTGAAGGTAATATTTCTGACACGGTCATGCTTTCTTTCGTTTCAGAAGATTTTGTCGTGTCCTCAAAATGACCTATTTTTTCAGTAGTGTTTGTGCTTAAGTTTATAAATGCAACTTCTTTAGAACTTGTTGTCTGCGTATAATCAAGTGAATCCTTATCAGACAAAGTGTCAACTATATATGTTTCTGTCGTAGACAAAATGCCCATTGCATCAGATAAAGTATTAACATTACCTAAACTGGTACGATATGTTTTATTATTTATGGATGTTGTATCAGTATTTTCAACACCTGGCGATGTAAAAGTGTTCATGTTTGTAACAAGAAGTTGTATCTTGGATTCTGTAACTGTGACATCTGACATGTTTTCTGTAAAGGTAGGGTTAATACTGGTGTCATCTCCCATTTCAGATGTACTGCTTAAATTTGCTGATGAATCCGTAAAATAATTATTGTAATATTGTTTTTTAGTTACAGTATCCATATTTGATGATAAAGTGCTCGTTTGTGTGCTCTCCATATCTGGGACTGTGCTTTTTTGGGTACTTTCTGACGACGCTGTCAATGCACTGATCTCGCTCGATTGTATTATTGAATCATTGGTTCCTGTTACTAGATTACTTGCATTTACTGATGGAGTTGTCTTTATGCTATTGATAGATTCCATTATATATTCACTATGACTTTTCATTTTTGACTCTGTACTATGGTTATGTTGTAAAGTACTATTTTCTGTATTTTTAACGTCAGAATCGTCTATATTGTTAGTAATCATGCTTGTAAATGTATTATCAGCTGTGTGGTCTAAACCAATATCAGACACATATGGAGCGGTCGTCTCTACGTTACTTTTAGTCGTTCTTGAAAACATTTCCATGCCTTCCGTTGCAAGTTTTTTACTAGAGTTATGAGTTGGCATGAAAGTTTCTTCGTTTGAATTTTCTTTTTCAGAAGTCCATGAAGTCGTATCGCCAGTTTTCGATGTGGTAGCGCTTGTGATGCCGACTTCTGGAGACTTTGTTTGTACATTACTGGAAAAGTTAGTAGTTTCGGTATCATCAAATGACAAAGAAATTTTTAGTTTTGGGCCATGAAATTGTCGAATCATGTATACTTAGTCCGTTTTCCAAAACTTTAGTTGTTTCGGTGAAAAAACTACCAGTGCTTAATATGTCGATGTCACTTTCTGTAGCAAATTCAGTAGGTGAATAGACAGATGGTGTGTTTTTATTGTCATTTAATGATTGACCTATAGCGGAAACATTTATGAAGTTCTCATTTTGCACTGTTGGTTCAGTGTTAGTGGAAGAAGTAACCAAACTAGGATTTTGTTTTGCCGGTGTAGATTCCTTTTCATTTAATAGTGTGTTTGATTGTGTAGTTACATCATTTAATACTGTAATGAGATCACCTCTTTCATCATCTGGTACAGAGGTAACAGATGTTGTCTTATTGCTTTGATCTTGAACATAATCTATTGCCTTTGTTATTTTCTTCGACACGTCATTTATTCCCATGTAAGTATGTGTATCATTGTTATCATTTGTTATATCAATGCTTTCAGTATTCGTATCAGGGATACCACTTGAAAAAGAACTGTTTTCTATAGAATACATAGTTGAAAAGGAACTATTAGATGTAGTTTTTGATAGATTATGATTCGATGTGCCTACCTCCGTATCAGTAGTTGAAATTTCTGTCATTTTCTTTTCAATTGTCTCGGTAGTATATGAAATTTCGACTGTATCGCTTCTGTTATTGCCAAAGGTATGGTTTTCATTCTTGAACAAATCTGTGCTTGAGGTATATTGTGGTATTTGTGTGTACGAAGTCGGAACTGTAGTTCTTTCATCTATTAAAGTCGCAGTATTGCTATCAGTTTCAGGTTCAATTTCCTCTGTTGTTGTCATTGGTAGAACTTCTTCATCGTCTGAAACAGTAGATTCAATATTGAGCGCATAATGTTTAGCATATTTATCGTCCAAAGTCAAATAATCTATTTCGCTTTCAGTTGTCTGTGTTGTTGTCTTAATGTCGCTGGTCAAAGATAACTCTGTACGTCTGTCATCTGTCGGTAGATTTGTAAATGTGCCAAATGAGTAGAGTGACGTTGTAGATTGAGATGTATGTGATGTAATTTGAAAATCTGTAACATGTCCTCCAGTATGACTTGATGAATAAACTTGTTCCTCGGTTGTTTCAGTGATATATTTCGGATGATTAGTATCGGAAATAAAGCTGCCACCATCTGATATTGTCGATTTAGAGATGGCTTCTCTAAGTAGAACTGGCTTTGAATGATGTGTTTGTACGGTGCTACCTGAGAACAAGTGCCATTCAGTTTTAATATTTCCAGACACAAATATGGACGTCGGATCATCTAATATAGATACAGATTGACTACTTAAATAATCACTTGTTGTTTTTTCCTCATCATCCGAAGTAGGGAGGGTTTCTGATGTGGTCAGACCTTTTAAGTGGGTATTTGAAGAAAGTATGGTTCCTTTATTATCTAAAGATGTAGTTTCCTTTTCTAAATCTGTTGATCTCGGTCCTGCTTTATCATTTGTTGTTACCTTATATGAATCTGTCAAGCCTTGATGGTCTATGTCAATTATATGAGTGCTTGGCGTACTTATTAGTGTAATATTTCCCATTTCAATTGTTTCCCTTTTGTTAAAAGTTTGAAGGTTCATTGTGGAATCATATACTTCTTGTGTAATGATTTTGCTTTTCCCACCAAAGGTATTGGTGGCATTTGATACATAGCTGGAAGTTGTTTCAACCGATGATTTATTTGCTACGTACGTAGTATAATCTGATTGACTAGTAACACGAGCTGATTTTCCTGTCAAACTTGTTTTCTTGTCCTTACTTGAAATTGTGCTGGGAATTGATGAAATACTTTCAGTTATTTTGATTGTATCTGGACGGCTATTTGTTACTTTTGTTGATTCATTATATGACTGGGGTGAAGATTGTGAGGTTGAGGTTTCATCAGGATAAATTTTTAATGTTTTGCTGACAAAAGATGTTAAAGATTCAGTTTGGACGTCGCCTGAAAGGTCTCCCTTTGTAAAATTTTGCACTGTAGAGAAAGATTTTGTCGTTGAATTATATAAATTATCCAGAATCATATCATCATGACTTTGATTTAAAATATTTCTAGTTACTTCTTGGAAACTCGATTCATCATGAGCATTTGTTTGAGAAGTAGTAATTTCATCTGAAACAGTCAAGTTAAGATATTGCATATGATCAGTTCGATTGCTAGTTTTGTGGTTTGTCACAAACTCTTCTTTGTTACTAACGTCAGTGCTTGACTTATGGGAAAAGGTGTCAAACACGTTTGTTGTAGTATCGGGTACAAGAATGTCATTTTTTGAAGCAATAGCATGTGTTATAACAGAAACTGTCGTACCATTTTCTGCATTTGGAATTTCATACACTTTTGAACTAGGCTGTTCCGAGCCTGATACGTAATCATCCTTGCTAATTAAGGTTTCAAGTGAAGTAACCTTCTCAGTTTTTGTTGAACTACTAGTATCTCTGTCAAAATTATCTTCGATTGAACTTGAAGCTGATAATGTTGTTTTATGTATCGTTGTCATTTTTACATGATTAGCAGGAATTGATGATATAGAACTAGATTCTAAATGATCTTCAGTTGCAACAGAGTCATAGTCGTATTGGCTAGAAAACATTATATTTGAAATCGGTGTCGCATTGTTTGAACCTTCTGACATTGTGTCTTTTGTTATATCGTTAAAGATGCGTTCAGTGTTTTCAGTATCTTGGACAGAAGTGATTGGTTTTGTATTAAATATTGGTATTGAAGAGACAGAAGTGGGTGTTTCAGAATAACCTTGGACGGTTGATACAGGAGTGAAATCCTGAACACCAGATTCTTTGTCAGATACATCCGGTTGTCTAAGTGTGTCAACAGTATCTGAAACCAAAGACATGGTAGTTTTCAATACAGAAATGGACGAATTACTTCTATTGGTGACATCAGAATGGTTGGAAAGGAAACTATTTGTCGTATGGTATGTACCTTCTGTTGTTATTTCTGTTGCTATTTCATTTTCATTTGTCAATGGATTTGCTTGTGAAGTATTTAGTTTGGTGTTTATCTCATTTTGCACAGTCGATAATACATATTCCCTAGTTAAAGCATTATCATTCATCTCGCCTTTATCGGATAAAGTTATTTTATCAGTAATTTGAACAGAACTTTCATTATTTTGGTGAGATGAAATTGTTGCGCTGGATTGCTGACTTGAAATAGCGTGCCCACTAATTTTAGTGGAGGATTGAGCGTTAAAAGTACTACCTGTGTCGCGTATAACGCGATGTGAATTGATGAATATATCATTAATTGTATCGGAAGTGCTTTGAGCCTGTGAAATAGTATCGCCTTCCACAGTAACTACTTTAGTTCTAGATGATTGATCAGTAGAAAGATTGGTAGCATAAGCATCAGATGGGGAACTGCGTGCGTCTACTTGAGACACAAAAGTGTTGTCATACTTTGATATTAGCTTTGTATATAGAGTACCGCCGTTTCCAGAAGTAACACGATTGTCATTTGTGGTACCTAAAGCTACATTTTTCATAGCAGTTGGAGTAGTTTGTTGCAACAATTCACTGTCATCTCCAAATGTGCTTGTCTCAGTAGAATCAATAGTCACTTCGGCCGAACGATTTGATTCGTCTTTCCTATTAAGAGACATTGTTGAAGGTCTGTCACTTTCACTTCCTAATTTTGGAGATGATGCTGTGTAATCGTTTGTAGAAATCAAGCCTCTGTCTCTTGAATTTTGTTCTGTATAGGAAAAGCCGTTATCTGGCGTGCTTAAGGCAATTTCTACAGTGGGATCGTCGGATGAAAATGTTGCAATGTTTTTGACCGTAAATTTTTCAAAATTCTGTTTTGGTTCTTCTGACATCGTCTGACGATTCATACTAATAGACGATATATCGTTTACAGTGGTTTGCATTGTATATGCATCTTTTTGTAGAGAGGATTCACCATTGACTTGACCAGGACTGGTTTGTGTAAAATCAACGTATGTTTCAGTTTTAACCGGATATATTGAAACAGTTGACAACTTGACAGTATTGCCACTAACTGATGATTCCAGTGAATACAGTTTTTTTGATACTTCTTGAACATCACTAGCCTTTTGTGTAAATGTCTTATCAAAATTTATTATTGTGGAAGATTTGCCCACACTTTTTGACGATGTAGATTCTATTGTCAAATGATTTGTATTGAAATTTGTGGAATTGCCATTTGATGGAGACAACTCATCTTCGGTTAGGTGTGATTGTGTATGAAAAATATCTTCAACTGATTGGTTTATCGGTCCTCCAGATGTATCGTGACTAATTGTTACTAGACTGGTTGCAACGCCTGTCATCGAATTCTGATTAGAATATATTTTTGAATCTTTGGTATCATTATATACCAAAGTTGACAAGTCGTTTTCTGTCCCAACTGTTGATGTTTCTAATGTTTTTGTTTTAGACTTTTCTGAATAAGCATTTGAACTTATTTCTGCCTTAGTATTATCTAATCCTGGAGTATTTTGCTCATCAAACAAATTTGTTTGTGAAGTGTCAAAGGTTTGTCTTGTTTTAATTGATTTATCAGTTGAACTGATTGTAAATAAATTTTCTGGCAGACTTTTATCATATAACTCTAAATGATCAGTAATCGTTGGGGTCATTTTTATAGAAATGTCACTTACATGTGTACCCTCTGTCTTCGCAATATTTGGCGTACTAATGGTAATGAAATCTTCGTCGTTAAGCTTCTGATTGTTTTCTGTCGATATTTCTTCTAATGTTTGAGAAGTCATTACACCAAACGGCAACGTCTTGATAGAACTTGTGGTACTCACTGAAGTGTCCTCCGGGTGACTTGTTGTTTCACTTGTATAAGATAACCCTGTCTCCTTTGTTTCGTTTTTAAAACTTATAACCGTTGCGTTCTTGAGCCTTATTTCAAAAGACGTATTTTCTGATGAACCAGTCCTTTCGGTCATTGACATTGTCGATCCTGAATTTGTTTCTACTTCATCGACATATGTTGAATCAGTAGTTATCGAGATATGTCCTTCAAAATAAGTTTTTGTTCCATTTTTTATCGGGGAACTATCTAAATTTTTATTCGTATTCAACGTGTTTGTATGACCATGAAGAGTAGAAATTGTAACTTCTTTCTGATCATGACTTGTTAATTCGTTATAATTACTTGGTTGTTCGAATGACCTTTTTTTAAGAAAATGAGAAGTTCCATCAATTCCTAAATCATCTGATTCTGACGATGTTGGAACGTATGTTTGTGATTCAAGACTTTCATCAAAGACAAATTCATCTAAATCGGTGTCAAAAGATATCGATTTTTCTGTTATGTATGTATTATCTACTGTTTCGGTATTAAGTAATCTTTTAAATGAAACATCGTGAAAGCCTTCACTCGTCTTTTCTTGTGTAAACTGATTTGTTACCTTTAAGAAAGAGTTGTCTACCTTTTCAGAGTTATCATATGTTTGTTGTAAAAATACTGTCGACGTTTCTGAAGCATGATTGATTTGTGCAATGTCAGTCACAGAGGTTGAAAAAGACATGTCAACATCGCCTTCATTCTCAATGTTCTTCTTACCGTCTGTCACTGATTCAATTTGTTTATAAATATTTGGTGCTGATGTTATGCTATCAATAGTAGAGCTGACTTCAAGATGTGCTTCTGTTGAACTTTCTATGTCGGTGTTGCTTTTTTTATTTGCAGTTGAAGCTATTTGTGTAAATGAGTTTTCAGATGCAGACAAACTCAAATCATGTTTACTTACAGTGGAGAATTCTTTCGGTTCTAAAAGTCTAATAGATTGTGATAAATTTGTAAAACCATTGTTAAACTTTCCTGTTGATGCAGCGTTGGTTGTTTTGTTGATACTTTCTGTGTTAAGTTGACTTTCTTTTGTTGTTGACTCAGACACCGGATTTGTGAAGCCTGTATTACTATAATTTGATTCAGATTTATCATTTATTGATACTGAAGAGCTAACGTTTCTATATAAATCAGTGGTACTTTTACCTTTGAATATTGAACTGTGTTCATCGACGGTGGCATTTGCATTTGGATTCACCGTTAACTCTGGAAGAATAGCTGTGGAAATAGAAGTTACGTATTTTTTCTTGCTCGAAATACTAACAACTGCATTAGTTTCATCATTGGCAGTTGGAGACTTTACCGGTTCGTCAGTAACATCAGTGGCAAGTTCTTTGGTGCTGCTTATTAAATATCTTTCGGCAGAAAATTGATTCGGCGGTGTAGTTGATAAATGCCCAGATTGGACGCCCGTGTTATCAAGGTCCACTAACAAAAATCCATCCTCACTTAAAATTTCAGGACCTTGACCTGTCGAATCATATATATCAGAACTTGGTGTGACAGATGGTGGAGTTGTATAATTTTGTTGATTTTCTGTAGATTCGTTTTCAGTGGCAGATTGTTCAGATGAAGTAATTATGGTTGTTCCTGCAGCACTTTCATCATCATATTGTCTTTCCTCCTTTTCAGTGGCAACTGTTGGAAAGTTTGTATTGTCATTAATTTCTCCTTTCGTACTAGGATAGTCACTTCCTCCTACAGTTACCACAGATCTTTCCATTGTTGTTATACCTGTAAGTTGGAAAACTTGTTCATTTGACTGTTGCTTAATACTGCTTGTGGAAATATCTTTCTTGTCATTGTCAGGTGTGTTAATAAATGTTGATGTGTCACTTTCAAAGGCAGACTCCGTTGTGTGTTTAGAAGTGAAATAATTTAAACCATTAGTTTTTTCTTCATCTCTGATGTACATACTGCTCGATATTTCAGATGTATGAGAAATAGTAGTCTGTTCTACTTTAACTGTCTTATCATCAGGCATATCAATTAGGTCTGCGGTTTCTGTAATATAGGGAGTTTTGTCCGAAGATAAAGAATAACTGATCTCTGTAATGTTGGTAATAGAACTGTTCCGGATTGCAACACCATCGGATGTGCCGTTATATTTTGCTTCGGTTTTATACGTATCACTCGCTTGAATGGTTTCTAAGGTAGTTATTTCTTCTTTGTAACTTTGTGATGACGAATCTGTTTTCATTTGAATGTTTGTACTGAATTGACTTCTGTCTGGTCTTTTAGATTGTGACTCAGATGATAATAATGCAACAGTTCTAGTGTCGTCCGTGACTGAAAGTCAGTTTTACATATATCAATCAATTTATGTTATGTAAAAATTATGCCATGAACCTTGTGTTATATATGATACCAAATAAAACAAAAAATAAACCTCATTTGATTTCTAACAATTGTAATATTAGATATGATAGTTTTAATGTTCCTTCACTATTCTCTTGTAGATAATTATCGTCTTTCGTTATACATCAATCATAAAAAATATAAAGATATAGCTGTTATAAATGTTATGAGATGTTTCTCATTTTCTTTTGTCTTTGTAATATACATGTACTTACAGTTGTAAGATGATTGCAGGCAAAACTTAATATTTATATCATCAATAGACATGATTTTGAGGTTTCGATGTAAGAAATGAGTCAAAAAGACATACTGTCAAAAGAAACAAATATTATATTTTTGTTATAAACACTTACATGATCTTGTTTCTTCTGTCGCATCTTCTCTTACATTTGCAGTATGTGAAGTACTTTCCAAAGTAGACACGTCTTGCCTTGACGTCTTTGCTTTTGATGGTACCTGTGATGTTTCGGATATTATTGTCGAATCTTGAGTTTTCATATACATCCCCAATTTTGAAGTTTCGGGGTTTTCTGTCTCAGTCTTTGACAAGTCGTAAAATAAAGTTGCATAATTCACAGTAGTCTTAAATTCAACATCGCTTTTTGTTTGACTTAAATTCGACACAAGTGTAATGCTTTCATCACTGTTTGTATCCATACTACTACCAGTAAATTCGGGAGACACGGTTAGTGTCTCCTTCGTCGACGTTAAATTAAAAGCACCCGATGTGCAAACAAGTAATCCTTTCAAACAAAAGAATGAATAAACAAACAAATAAGCTGAAGGAAACATTGTTAACTTATTCCTGCAGATGATCAAGGCATCACCGTTGTCGGGATAAAAATAAGCATTTTCACCTCCAAAAACCTAGTGTTCTTCGTGGTCTGTTCAATTACAATATGAAGAAAAAGTTTCATCTTTATATCGAACTTCATCAAATAATTCAAGACCTTTATAGTTGTTAGATAAGAACCATTAAAATGATTATGCCAATTAATGATTACTGATATTAATTTCATACAAGGATTTCAAAAGAACTTCGGGCTGATTACGGTCAATACGTTTGCAGGCAATTTCCGTCCTCCGTTACAAAATTGGACCATTAAAATCACCGTTGGGTATTATTTATGGCGAAGGCAGATGCAAATAAAATCTACAATAGTAATTTGTCAAAGGCTTGTTTCCAGCCTTAGTGTCTGCAGTTGTTAATTGGATTGTACAGGTACAACTCTTTTTTATGAAAACAATAAACAGTCTGAAGTACAATTAAGATCATTTATGTCATGCACTGTTTTCATCTAAGTAATCGAGGTGCAATACTGTTCAACACTTGTTTGAAGTTAAAAAAAAAACCTTACCAAATTTAAGAACAATACAATGATATAGTGGCTGTCAGCGGTAAATTATATGTATTAAAAACAATTTATCCTGTCACTTGTATCAATTTCGGCCCGATAACAAGGTGCCGTATATTTTTACTGATCTACGGCACTTGATCACGTGGTATGCATGTTTTTGCCGGACTACTTTTCAAGAAAAAATATAAAAACTGTCGTTAAATCTTCTGTGTGTAGAATAACGAATTTTGGAAACGTTGATAAAACTTTGTTTATTTTATTTCACTCTATAATTTTTCAAGCGAAATAAAAATATTAAAAGTGAAATAAATGTAAAACTTAACTCGTTTGCGACGTTAAAATAGCGTACTTGATTTGATTGTTTTGCACGTGCTGTTTGGCGCTACATTGTGACGTCACGTAAACAATACTTTAAACGTCTGTACAGCGTTAACGACTGAATAAAAGATATTTGTGTTCGAATTTATTTTCTTAGTTAGACCATTTTCTTTCATTCTAGATAGTTTTCACAACAAAATTCGACAAAAAATTGTTTTTATTTATCACATTTTTCAAACAAAATGGCGCCCTCAATGTGAAAATACACAGGGAGATAATAAGAACGGCGAGTGCATTGTTGTAGAATAATGAACGCTTCGGGCCATCTTTGTTTATATAGAAACATTTCCGATAGTGTGATTAAAGGTAGTTTGCCTAATAAAAGTCTTTAAAAAAAAACGATGACAGGATAAATAGAATAATAGATTGGTGCCGTGGATGGAGAAAGTTTATCTGGCGAACCCAATAAATTCCGGAGCAGAGCCAGATAAACTTTCTCCATCCACGGCACCAACCTATTATTCTCTCTCTCTCTCTCTCTCTCTCTCTCTCTCTCTCTCTCTCTCTATATATATATATATATATATATATATATATATATATATATATATATATATATATATATATATATATATATATATATTTGCTAGAATCTAGCATTTTCTTTAAACGAGTAGATAAATCAGTTGTTGTGTATATTTCTGTCATTTAAGGGCTAAGAACTCATGAAATACTAACCAGAAAAAAAGAGCTGTCGGTAGGACAGCACGCTCGACTATTCTAAGTGCTTGATAGTATGACCCTCCAATTATGACCCTAAGTGCATGTGTAAAGTTTCAAGTAAATATCTTTGAAGACCTTTAACCTTTAACCAAAATTTCTAAGTTTCAAAGGGGCAAATAATTCTGCAAATATTGCAGGCAGAGTAATGCAATTTTTCAAACTGATGTACATTGTTACTATAAAAAAAGTATTTTAAATTTCAATTGAATATCTCAAGCAATAATTGTGATATTTGACTTTACAAAAAAAACTTTAACCAAAATTTCTAAGTTCCAAAGGGGCATAATTCTGTCAATATTGTAGGCATAGTTATCCAACTTGTCAATCTGATGTACCTTGTTACTATAAATAAGTATTGTAAGTTTCAATTGAATATCTCAAGCAATAATTGAGTTATTTGACTTTACAAAAAACTTTAACCAAAAGTTCTAAGTTAAAAAGGGGCAAAATTCTGTCAATATTGTAGGCAGAGTTATCCAACTTGTCAATCTGATGTACCTTGTTACTATAAATAAGTATTGTAAGTTTCAATTGAATATCTCAAGCAATAATTGAGATATTTGACTTTGAAAAAATTTTAACCAAAAGTTCTAAGTTAAAAAGGGGCATAATTCTGTCAATATTGTAGGCAGAGTTATCCCACTTGTCAATCTGATGTACCTTGTTACTATAAATAAGTATTGTAAGTTTCAATTGAATATCTCAAGCAATAATTGAGATATTTGACTTTACAAAAAACTTTAACCAAAAGTTCTAAGTTAAAAAGGGGCATAATTCTGTCAATATTGTAGGCAGAGTTATCCCACTTGTCAATCTGATGTACCTTGTTACTATAAATAAGTATTGTAAGTTTCAATTGAATATCTCAAGTAATAATTGAGATATTTGACTTTACAAAAAACTTTAACCAACGCAGACGCCGACGCGGACGCTGACGCCGACGCCGACGCCAAGGCGACTACAATTGCTCTCATATTCTTCGAATAGTCGAGCTAAAAATTAACGTACTCGTAAATTTCCAAGTTATAGGGCCGTATGGGTCGTATGGGCATGTTCCTTTATGAACCTCGCTTCAAATACTTCTGAAAGGCTAGGCATATTCGGCCAAAAGAATGTTCATATGTATGACAGTTTTAAAATCGAAACTGTGTCCAAATTAAAGTTCCAAGCTCCCAAATGATTAGCCTTTCCTCGATATTATATGAGACAAAATGTCCATTTTACTGTTAGGTACCTCCTAAACACTAAATGTAAGAGCTATATAGAAGCCTGCAATTTTAGCCGTTTGTGATTAAAATAACTTCAGCTGTTGGAATGCACGTGCAATACAATTATTCACAAGCCGATAGTTAAGCCAACACTCTTTCTCTCTCAGACTTTACAGTTTCATTAAAAGTAATCTTTGAAATCGCCTTAACTGGTAATTTGTTCTATTTCCCTGTCAGATTTGTTTGTGACGCATGCCAAAAAGCGATAAAAACTGTTTTATCTTTAACGTTATATATTTTATTTTAACGTAATATGAAAGGTATACCTACTTAAGAAGTTGGTAAAAAAGCTTAAATAAACGTAATCAAGAACTTTAGAGCGTTAATGTTAACCTAAATGACTTCATATTGTCATTTTACAAGCCTAATTGTTTTAACTTTTTCTGCTATGAGATAAAGTGTATAAATGTAATAAACTAAACTCAAGTAGTCCGGACAAACTTTAAAATGAAATAATTAAAGGGCCATGACAAAAATCATTGAACCATAAAGTACCTACAGTATGCACAACTAGACTTGCTTTGGTGCTGATCTTTTCTGTAAAGTTTGGATGAAATTGCACCAGTAGTTTTTGAGGAGTAGTCGGACAGGTTCTGTGACTGACAGACACAGATGGACAGACAGACAGCGGCAACACAAAAATACATCAGCATAATTCTGCAGAATTCCAGGCCAGCTCTAGTAAAAAATATGACTTCAATAAAATCCAGCTTGACACACACACAAACACCCACGTTCAAAACTTGGTCTATAGAATGCATGCACTCAAATAAAATAAAGGAGCATAAGAACATATTTATCTATATACATTTATTCTGAAGTTAATATTTCAAGAGAAATATCTATACATTTATTTGTGTATAATACTTAATCAATAATACAAAACTTGTAATATAACTAAATTCTAATCTTGTTAAAAAGCTTTTTTTTAAAACTAAAGCACACTCATTAAATATTTCTATCCCATAAAAATTCACACATATCATTTTAAAAGTATCTTTAATTTCATTAAAAACTAAGACGAAGGTAAATAAACAATAACTAGATTCATTTAAAGCAAATAAAAAAGACCAGAGTGATAAGCTATGCATAACAACTATTTAACAATTTAAAACAAATTTCAACAAAACAATTCATAAGGAAAAAAAAATAAAAATCAATAATATAAAGGGGTATAATGCTATTGTAGTAAGCTAAAACCTTATTATAAATATGCTATATTAATAAGCATCAATATTGCTGCGATATAGCGATATAACTATATCAAATGCATGCAATCAAAAACAAGATTGCATTTGTGAAAAAATGCTATGCTACTGCATTAATACAACACCAAATAGTTGGAACAGATGTAGATTTTTTTTTTGGTTTCTATACAACTATACAATTCAGCTTTGCCATAATGCAGTAGTGTCTAGTGAATTGAAGCCCTTCACCCAAGGAACAATCCTACCAAGTTTAATTAAATTAAACTAATGGTTTTTAAGAGAATATTTTTAAAGTTCACTATATAATCAATAAAATACACACACACTTGCACACACAGAGATGCATCGCTGCGCAGATGCTGCGGTGGCATAAAAGAAAACCAAAATCTTGATTCTTGACATATCAAAATCTGAAGAAGAAAAATAAACATGTTAAAATCACATATTTCTAACTAAAAACAAACTTGAATATTTTAATTAATTGATCTTGGTCTGCTTTGACTCTGGAACTGTCCATTGTAAATAATAGGGAGTTCCTTACTGAGCTGACTTCACTCTATGCTTCTAGTGTCATTTTCACGGCTAAAACTCTTACAATAAACCTACTGTATAATTAGTTAAAAAGATTTTTGACAGGTGAAATTAACGTATATAAATGGTTATTTGTATATATAACCAAGGTGCAAGGCAAATCTTATGCTGCAAACAACCGTTTATATATGTCCTTAAACCTGTCAGGAATCTTAATAATAAATTTATAATACAGCAAACTTCCTTTTTTTTTAAGAGAAGAAATGTAATTTTTATTAATAAATTGACAGCAGCCTTGCATATAAAACTGTATAATACTACATGTTTCTTAAGTCGCTTTTCATTTGATAATCGTTATAAATATTTCTGACAGGTAATATGGCTGAATATAAATGGCTGTTTGCAATAAACACCAAGCCGCTTCCAAACAACTGTTTATATAGGGCCATATAACCTGTCAAAAACATGCAGTATTATAAGACATTATATACAGGTATAAAGCAGCATAGGATACCTCATACATTGTCTCCATGGGAGACAAATGTTATACAGTGGAGCCTGTCTAATCCGAACTCGTCCGGACCTGAAGAAAAGTTCGGATTAGAAAGGTTTCCGGATTAGAAAGGTATCCGAATTAGGAGGTTTTTTTACATGTTTTTTTTTTCATGTTATTTGCAAAATAGTTTAAGGAAAGAAAACGGGAATGCATTTGAAATTGCAATTTAGATATTTTATTATTGCAGTCTCTTATCGTTCATTTTACTACATGTGAATACAAAAATAAAGAAATAAAAATAAATCAATAAGCAAAAATATTATGTCCTCCAGGGTAAGTTAACCTACGATGTTAAACAGGAGGGCCGAGACATGATTTGATATTCGTACCAGCATTTGTCAGTTGTTGTTTACTCGTATCCGATTCAGCGACTATCCGAATTAACTGACAGTTTCCATTAATTTTCATTACTTAATCGCGTATCATTGAATCCTATACAAAAGATTAAAAGATATTTCTATTGCATTATATCAAAATATTTATAGAAGCTAACGAAAAACAATCAATTAAGCAATTATAGAAGATATCAAGGCAAGCTAAGTGTAATTTTCACACCTTCGCAGATCATACGTTTCACCCATTAATCAAGCGAAATAGGTGTATGTTTACACCTGTAATATGTGCGATTATTTGTTATTTTGAATGAAGGTGTGACATTTGGCAAAATCTGTTCGGATCCGAGAGGTAAATTTTAGAGTAAAATAAGAACAAAAATTGAAAAAATCGTCCGGAATTCGGAGTAGACAGGTTCCGGATCCGAAAGTTTTTTTACTATTGAAAATAGAACGAATAAAATCGGGACCTGACACTTCGTTCGGATAAGAAAGGATTCCGGATTAGAAGGGTTCGGATTAGCAAGGCTCCACTGTATAAAAAAATATTCTTAACACACGAAATATCTATATGAAAATATGCAGTAATATCTATAGCAATCATTAATATCAATATATCACTTTTCAAATGAACGAAAATACTTGCATTGTATTTTTACCCTTAAAAAAGGATTGACTTTCTATATATATATAGAAAATGTATAATTAAATAACAAAACATACTAAAAAAACCTGAAATGTCCAACAATATTGTTACTCAACGTTCATTATGAACAATTCTAAAATATACCCCAAGCAATAGCTTTTAACATACAGAAAACCAATATAGGTTTCAAAACATAGTTAATATAACTATAGAATTCAACACCTTAGTTACCCTTCCCTCTTGTGTCTTATTCTGTCAAATGTGATAGGCTAGGAACCATACCCTTCTGAAATGTGATAGGCTGGGAACCAGGAACAAATTACAATCATATGACTGTATTAAACTTACAATTTGACTGTTCAAATAGATTTTAATATATTTAATATGATAAAAATCACCTCTTGTTATTATTTCAACCTGACTTTGTTGTACCTAACATTGCTATTGGTCTAGGCAGCTTATATGATTATGTGTTCACAAATTCGCATCACTTTTTAAAATTCTTTGTGTCACTCTATCCATGCAATTTTTTTAAAAAGAGAACAATGGCACACATTATTATAAATTATTATAAGTCTGACTGAATTTTTTTTTCTCGAAAATGATGTAAAATATCACAAGTATAGCACAGGACAAAATCATGGAATGAGATCTAATGCCCTACTTCATTGGTAACAAGCAATCAAAAAAAAAAATTGGTTGAGACAAACTTAATTTTATGGTTTTAGTCAAAAAATAATCTGTTAACAATATCACATGTTCAACCAATTTCTGACATACAAACATAAAAGTAATACTTTTAATAATAATATATTGTAATATTTTTCTCACCATCATCAACTGTAAAAATAACAAAAAGAATTACTTGAAGTAAATATTGATTAATTTTCAATAAATGCTACAGGCTGATTAATATTTGGTAACTTGAAGATCAAATCAGCCAAATAGATAAGAAGTAAAAACAATACATTTAAAACAGGGGAATAACCATATTTCAGTGAAACTGATTTGAAATTAAGAGACAATAAAATCTATAAAATAAGAGAAAAAAGAGGGGCGTTGTGTACACACCAGAAAATCAGAATAGTTTCCATTCACGTTGAATAAATGTGTCTAAACATAACACCAACTGGTTACTTATAATGCATTAATCTATGATATTATCTACCATTTACCCTTTTCTAACAAAAACATCATTTTGGACAAAAATATTAAAATATCCTTATAAAGTGGATTTTTTTAAACATTTAACAACTTGTAACAAAAAATCCCAGCAACCTTAAGCAAAGACTTGATTACATATCAAAATCTTTATATTAATGGAAGAATTAAAGCTAGGAAATAAATGAGTGGAAAAATGCAAATGCACTCAATGTATTGCAAAAACTTATATTTTGATACCACATTATATAACCATTATTAATGTGGTGGCTTTTTAAGCAGCACCAACATTGTTAAGGTCATATGATACCATAAATCATTCTTAATATAAATTTTGCCCTGGTTTCCATCATGTACCATCTATAGTGAAGCTTTAAGATGCATGACTCTGGTTCCCGGCCTGGTTGCATCTATAACACTCCAGCGATGACTAGGCGGGAATTCTCTCTCAGTGACCTCCTTCAGCAGGATTTCCAGTGACTTTAGTAAGAAATCACAGTTTTCTGTGGAGAAACACATCGGTGGTTTCATCTTCAACACATTGTCATAAGGCCCGTCAGTACTTAGCAAAATTCTGTAGTCTTCTTTCATTCTAAATATAGAAATAACATCACATGATACCACACAGGAAATACACTGGCATTCTGTCAAAATTTATGCAATTTTTTCTCCTTTTTCTTCAGGATGGGGGGGGGGGGAATATGAATTAATGAACGTTATACTAATGTTCAGTGTTAAAACAGAGCATGGTGTAACAGGGTGTCAGTGTATACACTTGATGAGACAATATCTGTTTAACTGGATTAAACAAGTTTGCATATTCAGTTACTAGCAGGTACAAATCTCTGCAGATGTCACCTCTATAAGCAGATGACATATTACTTTGCAATACAACATTACATCATATCAGCATATCAGTAGATATAGAAGATATTGGTTGGTAATATGGTAAAGATCTTACAAAGCAGTGGAAATTAACAAAATTGAAAATATAAAAATTCTCACTTTTAAGTCAGATATGTTTCATATTTTCTTTTTTTCTTTCTTTTTATCATACATCTTATTATTTAGTTTTTGGCTTATGTCAGGCAGTAGCATAAATGGCGCCAATTCAATTAAACAATTTTTTATGTCATGTAAATCTTTATTAGAGATATATTCTATTTTCCAATCAACAAGAACAAGAAGTTCTACATCTCTCTCTCAGTTTCAATCAGTGAGATATAACTTTTTATCTCACTGACATATTTACATATCTCATTGAAAAACACAAGATAAAGGCATTTATTATATAATTTTAAATGAAATATTGCGAAATATTGATGAAATAAAATGCGTATTTTCATTTTCCATATTTTCACTGTAAAAATTTATTTTTCACTGCAGTGAAACATATTTTCCGTATTTTCACTGGTGTCTTGCCGGACTACTTTCTTTTAAATTCTGCCAGTACTCAAAATTTAAGAGAAGTCTTTCAAATTTGAATGTCCAGAAAGAGAAAAATGTATATAATAAACAGAAAATTCAAGTTTTTTTTTCTATAAATACATGATTTATTTTCATCTTGTGGCATGAAAATTACCATATTTCACTCGTGGCTACCGCCACTCTTAAAATATTTATTTTCATACCACTCGATGAAAATAAATCATGTATTTATAGAAAAAACTTGAATATCCTCTATTTATTTACTTTTTAACAATGTATTTAGCTTCTTCAGTGGCAGGCTCTCTAGTTTTTCTGTTCCTCACAAAGTCTATACCAATGAACAGTCCATGGCCCCGAACATCCCCAATAATGGGGTATTTCTGCATGAGTTTTTTAGCCTCTGACATCATGTGGTTACCCACTTCAAGTGCATGATTCTGGAGGCCTTCCTTCTGTATGACATCAATTACAGCCAGGGAAATGGCACAGGACACCGGATTACCACCAAACTGTAATATATATTTAAATACTGTAGAATAGAGCATACCAAAATGTCATACTATTTTTTGTTGTCATGTCAATTTAATTGCTGCACTTAATGTTAATCAAACATAAGTCTATCTAATAATTTAACACTTAAATAGAGGATATTCAATGAGTGCAAGTTCAATACTGAATTTGTTGAATAAAATAATATTAGGCGAGCATGATATTATTTTATCACATAAACCGCGGCACAGGAGGGTAATAAAGCCATTTAATAAAAACGATATTACACTAGACAGTATTACACAAGTGTAATAACACGTTGACGTCACGTCATTTGCGCTATAAACATAACGTTAAAGCGCGCTAATGTTAGCGTTACACTATATGCGCGTCAAAGAAAAATGACGCTTTTAACAATTGACCGTTCTTATTTTATATATGTGATAAATAGAATATTTTATTCGTGTAGATTGAATACTAAATTTATTGAACTCGTTCAATAAAACAATATTATGCTCGCCAGAGGCTCGCATAATATGATTTTATTCAACTCGTTCAATAAATTTAGTATTAAACCTACACTCATTCAATATCCTCTATTTATTCAATGAGTTCAATAAATTCAGTAATAACTTACACAAATTTAATACTATATTTATCACATACCAAAAATGAAGACCATTGAGTCATTTTTCATTGACGCGCCTATAGTATAAAGCTACAATTAAGTGCGTCTTTACACTATGTTTGTATAACGCAAATGACGTCACATCAAAATATATTCATGACCGTGCAATACCATTTTTACGGAGCCGCAAAAACGGCACTGGTATGTGATAAAGTTTTATATGTAAGTTTCTTGATTCTAAGCCTATATATTGAATTACTGAGGAAACATTAATTCCAAGCTTGTGGAATAAATTACTGGGGCAACATGTTTTCTCTGTGTGTATTTGCGTTTATTTATACTCGCCACCGGTTGCCCATATGGGCGAGTCCTCCAGAAGAGTATTAGTCATTTTATTTTGTGGAGGATAGTGCAATTACAGATACAGAAAGATACCCCAATTCCAGAAGCTTCTCCTGGTTCTTTAGCGTGCCAAGTGTTTAAGCACCCATACACGGGACCTCGATTTAAAGTCTCATCCGAAAGACTGATTTTAGTAATTTTAGTTGGCCAGCCCGGGAATCGAACCCACAATGTCGAGTTTACAAGTCTCGCGCTCTAACCGATTGAGCTATGCAGGCTGGCTACATTGTTTTCCATTACTGAATCACAAAATATATGAAAAACACCTGGACAACCTTAGTTAGGTCAAAGTGTGAATAAATATATTACTTTAATGGATCTACTGAAAATTTCAAAATATTTAAAATGAATCACTTACTGTGTTAAAGTATTGCATCCCACATTCTTTAAAAGTTTCTGAGATTTCTCTAGTGGTGACAACAGCTGATACAGGGTGTCCATTTCCCATTGGTTTACCCATTGTAACTATATCAGGGACAACATCTACAATATACATGTATATAGTTTAGTCAAGGCACATTTTTTTCTACTATTGTCACAGTGTCTCAAATAAATACATAGAGGATGTTCAAGTTTTTTCTATAGATACACAATTTATTTTCATTGAGTGGTATGAAAATAGATATTTCATGAGTGCCAGAAGCCACGATTGAAATATGGTAATTTTCATATCACAAGATGAAAATTAATCCTGTATTATGGGAAAATTTGAATTTTCTGTTTATAATATACTTTCTATCTTTTTTTGAACTTACTATTCTTAAGTCTTCTCCTTTAATTTTGTATATTGGCTAAATTACGGAGAAAGTAGTTTGGCAAGATACCAGTGAAAATATGGAAAATATGTTTTACTGCAGTGAAAATTAAATTTTTACAATGAAAATACTGAAATAAACATTTTATTTCATCAATATTTACCAATATTTCATTTACAAATGAATTGATATATATGGTTGTAAGTCAGAGACCTACTTTACAGTGGCATTACTGGTAAGCTGTACAGTGTGTAAATTTTCTGACCTCCTTTCTTAAATCACAACTGTATGAGAAGCATACATGACCAATGAGCAGCATTTTAGCATTTTCTGTTCATGTCTATCGTATATTATGAGCGTATGTTAAATGTACAATTCATAGTTTGTAAATGCTGAAAAAAATGTGTACATGCTCAAAATGTGCTTTCAGTCTTTGCTTATGGTGATGTATATTGACATAAGTAGCATAAAACAAATACGGCATATACCAAACCTTTCTTCATCATACATCTGCACAAGTGAGTGCATGAGAAATTCTTCTGATACACTTGTATATGTAAATATTTTATGTCATACGCTACAATGTGACAGAATCATTACACTTTGATAACTTGCAATAATGACCTTGTGTCTGAAATGCCCAGAAATGACTGCCAACCCGCCCAAAGCCAACTTGTACTTCATCTGCAATACACACACCCCCTGCTGCTCGCACATGTCTGAAAAATACCAGTTATCTATGATTAGATGAGAGATAAAATCATTAAATACTCCTTTAATAAGAATACTGACCATCAAAATGGTACCTGAATAACTGAAAGTTTCATGCATGAAACATACCAAAATATCACTATCATACAAACTTATTATTTTGTATATTTTCTTTGAAAATGTTACTGACAAATTTTCTTCTTTAACCCCATTATGGCAACTGTAAGAATTAATTGTTTACACAGTAACAAAGAATTCATGGGCTTAAAAAAGAATGTTTTTTTAGTTGGGTTAATGTCAACCCACAATATAAAGGTGATATGGTGGCTTTCCAGCTTTACTGTTGGAGAAAGACCTCAGGTGCCCCTCTTCAAATCATTTCAGGCACAAACAGGCACCTGAGTAAAACCACTGACATTCCGTAAGCTAGCTGGATTAGACTAAGCTTCATCCCATGAAAGAATATGGAGAAAATTCACAGCAGTGAGGGACAAGTGGTTTGAAGACAACAACCTTAACCACTAAGCCTGATGGACATCTCTTAAAAAAAGAAATTTTGACATAAAAATTTCATATTTCTCATCAGATTTGTAGAACCACCAACGCTTATCTTTCTATTTAAAGGTCATGATGAAACTGAAACTTGACTCAACATTTAATATAAAGTTTACTAAGTACAACATGATAAAAATAATTATTTAAGTCGATCACAAGAATTCTAAAAATAGAAATTGTCTAAAAACAGACACAAGAAATGATGTCAAGTTCAGTGGGAGTAAATACAGATAATTTAGTATATTAAACTATTGGTTGTCATGAAACAGTGTCAAAATTCTGTTAATGATAACCTCCTTCTTGTGTATTTGTAAACACTCTAATATTATACAATAATGACTATATGTGTATCATAATCGTAACCTTCAATTTGTTTAGATAGACTACAAATTGTTCAAATATTTAAACATTTTCTCACACATCTGCACAATTTTAGCACGTTACTGTGTCAGTATCTGCCAATTACTAGTACTTCCATAGAGGATATTTGTTTGTTTGTGTGTAAGATGAAATTTTATTTCATCGAGTGGGCTTTAAAAACAGTATTCTCACGAGTGGCATAGCCACGAGTGAGAATACTGTTTTTAAAGTTCACGAGATGAAATAAAATTACATCTTACACAACAAACAGACAAATTTTCTTTTTATTTTATGCTTTAAAACAAGTTAAAACGAAATTTCCATAATTTTAACGTTAATATTAAAATCTGTTTCCCCCACTGAGAGCCCCATTTAGAGGGAATTTCTCATTAAAAACAAGAAGTCTTGAGCTGAAAAATAAGTCCGCCAATCAAGGTTAAATGACGGTGATATTTATTCATTTTATTAAAAAAATATGAATGATCGCTTGTTTTAATAATAAAAACAAACAATTCTTGTAGGAGAAAAAGTCCAACCATCCATCCATATTTCTGTTACTTACTGCGAATTTATATTAGACCTGGCTTTGTAAAATGTAAGGGGCAGCCATTTTTTAAAGTTGTGTATTTCATGGGAGGAAAATAATTGTGTAAGATTCAGAAGGATATAATTTGGATTTGTTAGTCATACACCTTTTTAAAAGAAAGAAAACTTATTTGAGGATTGTAACAGACAAAAAAAAAGTGTTGACAGAAGTGAAAACATTCAGAAATGGAGCTAGGAAAATGGAAAACTTGGAAGCTTGCTAAGGCATTGTAATGAACGCTGGGTTGTTTTACTTCTTTTACGAGTGATGGCTGTCAATGCTTTTCAATTTTTCATAAAGCATACGGCAGTTATTGCTCGTAGGATACTTTAATATGCCCAAATGTCATCAAGAGCAGTTTTAGCATGGGGAAGGAATGTATTTTTCAGACTGTAAAACGAAACAAAAAAATTTAGAGACGAAATTTTGTGATTGGAATTTGAAGGAATATAAGTAAGTTTTCTATCTTTATTACTTTTGACATTTAAGTTATTTAGCTATTTCAGATTTGCTATTTTTTTAACAGCCTGATAATGTCAGAATTGTCAGTAAAAATAAAATTGAGGTACCACATGGGGAAAATCTTAAAAAAGTAGTTTCGTCATTGAAAAAAGTGAAATTATATTTTGATAATTTTCACTGTGAAATTATCAAATATAATTTTCACGGATAAATCAGTAATCCACTGAAAAGCATAAAATAAAAATCTCTATCAACCATAACTATAATGTTAAGTCTAACATTTTTTTTTTTATAAAATCAGATAAAATATTCAAAATTAATATTCAAGTAAAATCTAAATGCAAATTGAATGCTCTTATTAACAGAGGGAAGGAGATATACAAGGCAGCAACAGGTCCTTCACTCAAATTCATAACATGTATGTATATGCTGATGAAAATATCTGAAATTTCTCACTTCAGTGAAAGATATATATTGTATTCATTCAAGAAAACAAACAAGTATAAACATTAAACTGCATTATGGTTTTGGTGTGGCAAAGAGGATGAATCTTAAAATTAATGCAGCGTACATTTATGTTGCATTTTATTTATTAACGTTCAGTTCAATACATAATTACTCACTTCAATATATATATATTAACTATCGCACATATATTTATTCAGCTACATCATCATAACTATGTAGCAACCTTAGTTTGTTAAAAGATATATAATGGCAAAACAGACATGAACTTAATTTTTACAGAAAAATGAAATCAAAATAACTATTGTTACTGTTCCAAGAACTTTTTGTTTAGGACCTTTGTGTACCAAGAATCTTTTGTTCAGTTATTTCTGTACATGTACCAAAAAGGAAATTTGTGTACCAAGAATCTTTTGTTCAGTTATTCCTGTACATGTACCAAAAAGGAAATTTGTGTACCAAGAATCTTTTGTTCAGTTATTCCTGTACATGTACCAAAATGGAAATTTGTGTACCAAGAATCTTTTGTTCAGTTATTCCTGTATATGTACCAAAATGGAAATTAGTGTACCAAGAATCTTTTGTTCAGTTATTCCTGTACATGTACCAAAGAGGAAATTTGTGGGTCAAGAATATTAATAGGAAACAAATGACCATACACTAGCTATGATCTATTTTTAACTTGAAATGCCAGTAGCTTGTAGGCCCCTTTGTATTTATCATCTGTTATTCCTCAGTAATTATTTATATTTTTCAAAGGAATCTTTTAAAAGATCGAGAAATTGGTTCATGTCTTTGAAATTTATATTGTAATATTGGACAGGATATCAAAACAAAAACTTCTTTTTCTGTCTCTAAAGATAAGTACACATGTAATACTGTAGTGGATGACTGATAAGTACTCAATGATATCAGGGACCCCTGCCTTTTATTTGCTAAATATCTCTATAAGTAAACATTACATCTCTTGATTGTATAACTTTACAACAAGATCCACTTGTGAAAGTAGAGCAAAATTATATAAGAATGCATTATTATCCCTGCAGGGTTTGACTGTAGATTTGGTACAACTTACAAAAGTTCAATAAAATCCAATTAACTGGATTTGACCTACATTGTAACAAGCTAAAGAAAGGCTTATTCAATTTTGAGAAAAAATACTTGTCAATGTCTGGCAGGATCTTGAAAACCAATTACTTAAATGTATGCCAAATATGGTAATTAATATATAACCAACAATTATTGGTTTATGTGCCATTTAACAGAAAAAGGTAACAACTTTAGCACAATTCAATATAACCACATATGGAACATTTCTTAATAAATCCATTCAAAGATAACATTTATTGAACTTAGGAATTAGACTTTGTATTTATTCAACTCCTAATTATATGACTAGAATTTACATTGTAATGTATATGGTCATTATAAATGTTCATTTTCTTATACTTATCATGATAAGTATTAGTAATACTGACTGGTAGAGTGTTTTTTCTATTTATTCATAAAATTTCCTGGAGATGATGACCTGAGAATACTTAATGAATTTACAGGCCCTTATCAATCAAATTTCAAACTTGCTATATCTCTTATGTTTACATTAAAATCTTTTTATTGTATAATTTGACAATATATAAGTGGACAATTTTTAACACAATATCATATTAGCTTATTTACATTTTTCAATAAGTGTTATTAAAAGATAACATCTACTGAATATATAAACTGACTGAACTAAAGTCATGTGACTTTGACATTTACATATTATATTAGGTAGGATAATTTACAATGCTTTTCTCTTCTTTTCCCTTATCATAAATCAGAGACTTAGATAACAACATCTCTGCATAAATTAATATAATGTTATCTGTTTCACAATCTGGTTAGACCCATTTTTTAAATTGTAAACTCTTTACATTTTCTTGGGCAAAAAAAAACCCCAACAAACAAAACAAATAAAACTAGTGTTTGATTCATTTGGTCAGTATATGGGAAAATATAAAATGCTGACTTAACCTTTGACCTACCTGTAAACTTTCTGCAGATATCCAGGTGGGAACACTATCTGACCACCACAACTTTGCATAGATTCTGCTATGAAGGCACATACGTTTTTTCCTCTAGATTGAATGACCTTACATATGTCACCAACCTCATTTGCATATTTCTCGCCGAGATCTTCCCCTGGGTAATCACAGTCAGCATATATACCTCTGTACGTGTCAGGGCACGGTGTCTATAAAAATACATAACTCCTTGAGTATAAGCAGTTATTGTGGAATGTCTATTCTTGTATATCAGACAGGTGTTTCCGTTAGTTATACCAATGCCAGAAATTTCAAATAGAATCTTAAATTTCACCTTATCCTGCAGTCTGTTCAGAATCAATTATTTGTCACCTGATAAATATTTCAGAACTTTGTCCTTAAAATCTCAACAACAAAAAAACAAATAATTGGTAGTTTTCAATCTAAAGCAACAGATGAATAATGAAATATTTTATACTGTTTACAAGTAAGTGGAATGTCTTATTACTGTACTTTTAAATTTTTTTTTTAATCTTTCCTTAATTCATGAATGCTGTACAGTCATAATAAATGGTGTTACATTAAAATCAAGATGTAAGTAATTACCACATAAACATGACGTGGACAAGTATGAACACCATCAGTCTGCACTTTCAGTTTGTATGGACTGATGTCAATCATGGAGGTAATGTGACCATGGTAAGCACTGAAAAAAAACTTGCATCTTGAAAATAAAGTCTGTGTTACAAAGATGTCAGGATCAAAAGAGGCTTTTCAGTAAATGAAAGTGGGGGACATAAATTTACAAAAAATAATTTTAGCATGATCTGCCCTTTTGTGATGCAAAACTGAATACATTTACCTATTTTTAAGTAAATGTCTTTGACACTTTCTGAGAAATTAACATTAGTGAACATGAGAAAATATGTCCTTGACCTTGCAGCTCATATTCTACTAATGTTAGTCATGAATACCAATTTATTTGAAAGTACATAATGCATGCAGAACTTATTTACTTGACATAAACTCCAACATTAAGGTCAATCTCCTGTTGTGACCTTGACACTTGAGTTGGGGACCAGAGTCTTGCATGTGGCACACTGTCCACTTATGGCGATAATATGTACACATTTATTTTGAAATCCAATCAGGAATATAGAAGTTATGCATGACATACAAGTTGCAATGGCACTAAAGACTACATTACAAATATAAAATATACCAAGTTCAATCCCTTGCTGTGACCTTGAACTTTGAACTAAAGACCTGGCCCGGCTTTCACTAACGTTCTCAAACTGAGATAAATCTCAACTTAAGATTGTCTCAATATTAACTGAGATTCTTACTCACCTGAGAAAAATCGCAAGTTGGCTTTCACTTAACTTTTTCTCAACATTTGAGAATTTTCTCACCTGAGACTGTTTTTTTCTCAAGACATAAGCGGCTATCTCAGTGTGCATTGTTGATGATCGAGCTTCTATTTTACGAAGTATATCATGTATATAGTTGCTGTTTTGATGTAAGCTGACGCAACAGGGAAATATTTGTATATTTATTACATTAAGTAGATCTATATTTTCTTGTTTTATTTTTAAAAAAAATAAATAAACAATAACAAAAACACCAAGAAGCAATTGCAAATGTGTGAAAATTTGAATGCTAATGAAAATAAGTTATCAAGAATGAATGTACATCAAAAGAAAACAAAGAAAATTCAATAAATCATTTTTAGTATGATTATTGTGACGTCATAATTTCGTGACGTCATGAATTAGAGCGCATGATGTCACACACAATAATCAGTCAATATAATACTAAATATATGAAAATAATAAGAACTTTATTGCCAAAAATGTCAAATTATGTTTATTTATCAAAATAACCAGGCAGAAAGTAAAAATACCCCTGAGAATAATAATTTAGCTTCACTGAGACATAATCTGAGACAGCCAAATCTTGTCTCAATATATCTGAGAAAAATCTCAAATCTTAAGTGGAGATTTTTCTCAATATTTTTTAGTGAAAGCCAAACTGAGAAAAATCTCAATCTCAATTTCTGATTTGAGAAAAATCTCAGATTTGAGGTGAGATTTTGACTTTGAGGACGTTAGTGAAAGCCGGGCCAGGGTCTTGCAAGCAGACTTCTTTGGGGTGATCTTGTTTATCAATTTATTTTGAAATCCCATCATGCAGACAGAAATGGACTGGACATAAAATATATACCTTTTCAATAAACTGTAATTATCTTTGTGGTAAAACAAAGATTTTCAAGATTTTATCTGATTTACCGAATGCCTTTCATAATTCATTTCCATCTCCACCACTTTATTTTATACATCAGCAGCTGGTTCTCACTATATACATGTATAATATGAATATAAAACAAGACAATAATAATATCATATCAATAAATCAATACATACTGATCCATAGTGATAATTTCCTTCGCCTTTGTGTAATGTCTGGCAAGTCTCAACGCTAAATCATTTGCTTCAGATCTGAAATATTGACATTTAAAATATAACTTTAAATCTACTTTTTTATTTCTATATATATAGAATGCACATTGTTTGCTGCTGTTTTTTTTTTATTATCTGTAATCAAATGTACCTAAACAAATACCAATCTTTTGGTAATGTTTTCTTTGCTTTTCTCAAGGAAAGAATCTTGCTTTACATATTCAGGGAAAGGATTTCGAAAAGTTTGCATAGTTTACTTAGCCAAGAAATTAAAATAATAAAACATGTTATAACTTTGTACATAAATATGACCCTGAAAAAAACTTTTTTGCCATAATCAAAAGGGATTTTTCTTAACTCTTGTAGCTTGAAAGGTATAATATTTTTAGCTTTTTTCATGCCAACTTTCACTTCAGATAATACATCAAATTCCTCTGTCAATGGTCAGCAATAAAGGCACTGTTGGTATTAATATTTAATTCAATTACTGATGATAAAACCAGAAATCTCCAGTTTTAAAATGGCCATTCTATAGCTTATTTATTTATGAAGCTGAAATACAAACCCTGCCCAAAGATTATTATTGTTATACTATAATCATATGTACCCAGAATTACACATGTAGACAACATTCAACTTATCCGGTAATGTTGAGGTAATTTTCTCGGCAAGTCGTACAATGTTGTCATGAAGGTAGCGACTGTTCGTGTTCAACACTTTCATCTGCTTGTACCCGGCCTCAACCACTGCGGAATTACAGTGACCCACTGGAAGATAAGATTATCAACTTGTAGTAGCATATCTCCTACTTATATATACCGGTATATAAATATACAAAAAAAATATAATATATAAAATGCGAACCATTTTCTATATCATGATAAGGAAAATAAACAGAATATCATGGTAACAATATATGAGCCATGTCATGACAAACCAAGGTAATGCATCCGCGCAGTCTGATCAGGATCCATGCTGTTCGCTATCAGTTTCTCTACTTGTAATAAGGTTGGTTATCAGAATGCGTGGATGCGCAGGCTGGTCTGGATCCATGCTGGTCGCAAACCCATTATGTTGGTTTTGTCGTGATGCGGCTCATATAGAAACCAGTTAGCATTATATTGAGATGAGAAAAATACAAGTTAATGTCAGTTACCTTTAGTACAATTTTTCTTGTTCTGTTTTTTTTATTTCATAGAATGATGCATGGTTCACAAAATTGTTGTTAATCACATACAACAGATAACTCAGGAAATGGCTAAAGTCATTAACCATTAACTTTGTAGTGGGTAAAAGAAAGTGGCACTTGATGAATGAGTTAAGTAAGTGAATTAGTTTCATTTACAAGAAGGTTGTTCATTTCTGTCACTCAAGTGAAGATTTTTTTGTATAGTGTAAGTCATTTAGTATACAATTTGAATGTCAAGTTTCAAATGGAAAACAAGACAGTGACTTTTGACAGACTAATAGTAACTAGGGCTCTCACCTGATCTGTGTAATTAAGTAATAAATGGGAGTCACTTGTTTCCTTGAGTCATGAAATTAAACATCTAACAATTTATTCGTAAATATTTAACATTTTTCTTTGTTTGTTATTCCAGTGCACAACACAATTCAGGTTATATGGCGCCGAACCAGGCAAGATGATTTGGCTAACCTCGGGTGTTACAAACTTAAAGCAACACCAGGGGTCAAAACCTGCACCGAAGAGCTTCATAGACTTCAGTTATTTGAACCCATTTAGTCAACTCTTATGATTTGTTTTTACTGCGCACCAACACAATTCAGGTCATATGGTGCAGAAACAGGAAAGATGATTTTTTCTAATCTCGAGTGTCACAAACTTAAAGCAACACCAGGGGTCAAAACCACCTCACCTGCTGCAGCTAAGAGATTCATAGACTCCAGTAATTCAAATCCATTTAGTCACTTCGGATAAACGGTGGTTGCAATTCTGAGCAACCCCTCAGCCACAAGCGGAAAATATTTAACAGATTGTAACATAACTCAGCAAAAAAAATTTTTTTTTAACTTAAAATTGCTGAAAATCCTATGTATCAACATATTTATAACAATTTTATTGAAGAAGTAAAATTAGGAAAAAGTGTGCTTTTAATTTTAATATCAATATTCATGTAGTACAATACATGTCATAGTGTTTATGTGCATTTTCAGTTTCAAAAATAGGTATAAGCAACCTAACCATATCATCAAATCTGATGAAAAGTAACTAAATCAAAAACCATGAAAATATAACAACAATACATTAGGACCTATATTTTAAGAAATTTGCAGATGAATGTTGTTGCTTTTCCACTCGACAGGAAACGTCTGCATTTAATGCATATGTAAAGATCAGTGACTAATCTACCATATCATTTACTATGCACTGTTTATAATGCATGTTTACATTACAAAATATTGGTCAAGGTTGTGCACAATTAAAACAGATTTCTCCCTTCAAGCCTCAATATATGCGAATTTACATTTAATCTAAAGATACATTTAACGGGAAAACTCAATAACAAAATTTGAATAAATTTTATATCTTCCCCATCACATTACAGATTTTTATCACTGGATGTCAAGTTATCAGACGAATAGTTTACAAAAACTTTCCATTTTTTAAATTTCACAAAAAAGTTAAAGGTACTCCACTGAGGTTTTTTGACATGATAGGACTGGAAATAATTTTTTGAGATTAATATTTCATTTGATGTCGGTCGAGACAAGTAGCTTGTGTGCAAAATTTCAGATCATTTGCTCACTCCGTTTTTTCAAGAATGACTATTTTTATTGTAATTAATGATCCAAAATTCAAATCAAGCTATTTGAATAATACAAAAAATACAATATTCAATTCTTTCCTAGTATATTTCTATTTATTTCTACATAACAATTTAAATATCTTTTTAAATTCCCCAGCTGGTCTATGTAAGAAATTAAATTTTTTGTGTTTTTAGGGATTTGGACCTAAGTGGGGTTCTTTTAAATAAAATATTGACAAAAAATGACAGCACTACAACTTTTTTGAGGTATCATTTTAACAGACAAATATATAGATGGACAGCCTAATCAAAAACTAACACCCAACACCACCCAACCCAACACCCAACTTCTTGAGCATGAAAAACAAAATTAGCATGCCACAGTCTGCAATATAAATGTTTAAAAGTAGCCTGTTTTGGCCTATTAATATAGGATTTAATTTAATAAACAGTTTTGTTCTGTTTACAATGAATTGTGCATTATATTTTGTGATATAACTTTATAATATAATCAGACATCTTATTTTATGTTGATAAATTTAGGTACACAAACATAATAATCAAAGCACTGCAAACACTCAAAAGAGTATTCACATTTGATTACACAAATAAAGTCAATACTTTTCCTAGCTTGTATTAACTTGAAAGGTTAAAAGTAGGAAGGTATCCATGAATATATTTAAAGAAAAAGATTAAGCAGACAGTGAATCTAAAATTTCCAGAAATATAAGCTGTCAGTCTGAAATAACCAATGAAGATGTATCCATGAATTTAAAATAATTGTTACAGAATGAATGAGGGAATAATTAAGTAACCTGATGAAGGGATAGACTTGTACTTTCAGAAATAATCAGAGAAAGATGTGTGTATTTCTAAGTTATTTTCCCAATATATCTTAAAGGGACTGCAGTCTGATCAGGATCCATGCTGTTTGCTTACAAACCCTATTACAAGCAGAGAAACTGATAGCAAACAGCATTAATCCTGATCAGACTGCGCCGATGCGCAGACTGGTCTGGATCCATGCTGGTCGCAAACCCATTATGTTGGTTTTGTCATGACGCGGCTCATATTATCTGCTGCAAAAATATTGTTTGAATTTTAAAAAAGAGTGGTTCAAAAAAATGATTGTATGAAAAATTGGGTACATGTAGTATATTGCATTAAAAGGGAATAATTATTGACTCATGCACAAAATCATTGCTAAACAGTTCAAACCCTACTTACAAATTAAAAGCATAAGATTTTGTTTCGGAACACATACAATACTTATTTGTGTTAAATAACAAAGAAAATCTATGCTTCAACTTTTTTTTCAGATTGCGGAAACAACATAAGTTTACTGTTAATATATTTTATAAATATATTTTAGAAAATAAAGCTTTAAAGTACTCTATCAGCAGGAAAGCTAGTTAAAAATCTGCTTGTTTTGTTGTTTTTCCTTGATAATACTTTAATATACACAATTAAAGTTTGAGACAGAATTTGTTTGTTGATAAAATCTAAAGTGTTTTGATCATAGACAAATAACCTCACTAGTACAGATTTTATAACAGAAAACTTAACCACAACATAAATTACAATTTATTTATATGCAATCTACACTGTATAGTAGCAAAACTGTCATATCAGTTAATGTATGACTGCAATCAAACTGTAGTTACTTTATAAAAAAATTGTTTCAATACTGATTCATGCAAATTGTCACTAATAATTCAGGATGATAATTTGTGGCTCCAATCGGTTGAATTAGAGGTTGTTTTTCTAAAAATTTAAAACCAGGTTAATGCCCTGGCCTGTAGGGATATCATGCAAGGACCTCGAATTGAACCGATAATTGTCTACATGTCACTGTCATCGAAACTGAAATCTGACAAAAATTACTGTTTAACATTTGGAACATTACAACTGCCAACTTATTTACTTTGAAAAACAATCTACTCATACAACCATGACCTTTAACTTTGTATACCAAGTTCAATTGCCTTATTTTAATCTACTACAGTATATTGACCAATTTTCCCAACAATATCTGGACTAATATCAGAATGAGAGGATAAGAATCCAGTTTGAACCAGTATATTATAATCATTTCTGTCCTATTAAGTGTTCAGAAAGGACAGTATTTATTACAGTAAACCTGTATAATATAAACAGAACAACCATATAACCTGAAAAAAAGTCTTTTCTAGTACAATGTATAGAAGTTTGAAATACTGCTTGATTGCTTTTTAGATTATAGAATTAATTGCTACATCATGATCTGTATAAAAGTTATTATAATACTGCATATTTGTTACAGCACTTTTCATTGGATAATCATGATGTTTATAGTTTTATATACATGGATGATGTCAATTTATGAACAAATCTTACTTTTTTCTCTAAAAAAGAAAGTTTGCTGTACTAATTATTCCTGACATGGTTATAACTATGACCATATATAAATGGTTGTTTACAATATAACCCTTGCTTTGCAGCTCAGGTTATATTTTTTTAATGTTTATATAGGGTCAAATAACGTTACCTGTCAAAAATCTTAATGTTTATATAGGGTCAAATAACCTGTCAAAAATCTTTCTAACTAATAATATAAATGCATTTGCTTAATGTTCTTTTTCATTATTTGCCTGTTAATACTTTTACCAAATAATTATATAAATATATATTATTACTAAACATCAGACAAAGGACAAAAACATAAATTGAAAGTTCTAATGATAAGAAGAAACAAGAGGGGCATGATGTTAAATTGCTCACCTATGTGTCACTGCCACAAAAGGTTATATTTCTTTAATTAAGAACTACAGGGTAGGTTATATTGGTGAACATTATCATCACAGGAAATAGAGGCTCATAGGGAATACTGGGCATGACCAACTGTCTTGCCTCTTTAAATAAAGTCTTTTAATAATTATTATTATCATAATTATTATTTATTATTATTATTAACTGTCCCTCATTTGAGTACATTACATGACTCATGTGTACTTTGGTGTATAAATAGTTATCAATCTTGTTTTATTATAATATATCATTTAAAAGCTTAACATTACATGTATTATAATTTGCATGTTTTGTCGCTGTTATATTACAATATTTTATCTATTTTTGTTGTTTTGAAAACTTGTAAAGTGAAATAGGAGATGGATCCCTGGTTTTTAGTGAAAAACCTTGTTTTAATCTGATTAAATTGTATCAAAAGAGAAGCCAATATGTTATTTGGGAAGGATGATCAACAACATATACACCAATCAGATAGATCAATTGCCTCCATGTTTTGAAGGTGTCCAAGAATGAGTCTATGCTGGATCTTTCAAAATTAATATCACAAGTCATTTATCACAAAAGCACAAAACAGATGATTTATTAAAGATATATAAATACAACAGATCTAGAGAGAACAAACAAGGTGCTGTTAGAGGATTATAAATATATGACAAATTTAGAAGATTTATCACCTATCAACAGCCATCAGTTCTGAAGACATTATTAATGCATCACTAACACTTGTTGTTGTATGTTTTAACAAATTACATACTTATCAACTACATATGTTTACCATAGAACCACAAATAAAGCAGAAAAAAACTTCCATTATTGTAAATATATTAATCTGACAAGATGTCAGGGAAAATTTAATATAACATCTTATAAGAAGAAAAGTGATGACATTTTCAGAGCAATAACCTAAATCATTTCATTTCATAATGATGTTATGTTTATGAATTCAAATGAAAAATAGAAAGAAAAGTGAAGGGAATTGTGGCCTTAAATAAAATATGGTTTGTTTCCCCTCTCACTACTTAAGTTTTTTGAACACACAAAATCACTGCTCAACCCCCAAAAAATATACATGTTTTTTCAATATACATCATTTCAAGACAAATCATTTGAAATCAAGCCAATTAACATACCAACATTTTCACCAAAGGGCTGTAACTCCAAACAGTCAAAATTATATTACCTCTTATGCAAAGCAATTTTTTTCTAATTCAAAGGATAAACTCAATATGGCTTAAATTTGCTGATTATCTAGCTGTACCTAGATATTTTAATATAGTTGATAAAAAGCTTTTATTTCATGTTATTTATCTTGCCAGAATATTATAAGAAGTGTATACACTTTTACAATGTTCATTGTAGACAGCAGCTGTTCATGGTTGAAGTGCATCTTCATTGATTCTCCATAAAATACAACATTATTTTTTGTTAATTTGTAAATCAATAGAATACTAATTAGCTCAACAGTAAAAGCAATAATTTCTTCCAATCTGATCATAATTATTAGAACAGAAATTGTAAAAGAAATAGAGTTTAATTCTTTTCCTTGGCAGAACTGATAAAATTTTATTACAAAAAGATTTTAATTGTCGTCAATAAAAATGCTAGAATTATTCAAAGATTTCCCTTCAAACCACAAAAAGATCAGATTTTGTATGTTATTATAAATACATATTAACATTAACACTAGCATTAAATTATTACAAATCTAATTCAGGATGTCATAGTTTGAATACTGTCAGATACAACTTAATAATCATTTTTATTAACTTTATAAATTTGTTCAACTTGTTTTAAAAAAATTCTGTATTGAACCTACACTTTTTCAATATTGTCTATTTATTTAAATAATACAGTTCATCCTCTGCAAAGCAACCCTTCGGGAGATATAAAGAGTTTGGTTGTTGCTATAAAGACATGTTTGCTCAAGAGAGGTTATCGCAAGTTTCTTATGAAGTTTAACTGAAAGAATTGATTGAATCCCTTACTCTGACCTTTTATTTGAATAAAAGTAGATTTGACCACAAACATTGACATGATTGTGCTCTTTTCATTTGTTAAAACATATTATGTTGTGGTGAAATTCTTATTGTATCCACTAATCTGATAATAAGAATAAGACAGGTAAGGGATATATGCATTGATACTGTTGTTGTAAACAGGTACATGTAATTGTTCTATTGTGGACCACACTACCGAGGTTACACTGTACCAACTGCTAGGGTAAACTTCTCAATAGGTGATACATGCACTTTTATGTCAAACTTATTTATCGAGTAAAAGCGGTAAGAATGGAGAGGTGGCCTTTTTGTCAAGGTGTGTGCCTCTTAATCCAGGGATCATGGGTTTGGGCCCACATGTTTCCTCATTATTATAAATGACATCAGTACTGATCATTTGATCATTAACGCAGAAAGAGGTTCAAATATGATTCAAACTTTCATCACAACTAAACTTTAAAACTGGATAATCATGTTTTAACTAAATTATAACCTTAATTTGAGCAAAGTCAGTGGCCTTTACACAAAACACAGACAGTTTACAGTATTTCACAATTTAAATTTGACAAAAAATCCCTTAATCAAACAAAGTAGACAAATGATGAGTATGAAAAGGGGGGTTCAAATCTTTGTTCAACAGCTCTTTGGTTATATTCTACAATCACTTATTTGGTGGCCTATCAAGACATGAAATCTTACATATAAAGCCTATATTGTTTTACAATACTGTGTGTTTTGATGACAACAATTACCATATACATGTACTGACAACCATTTAAAACAATTCTCAAATCTTAAACTTTTCTCAAAGAATGCAACAAATAACTCAACTGCCAACATTAATATGCCACCTGTACTTCATGAATGAATAAAATATAACAAGGTTATTATGTATAATGAAGGACAATGCATGCAATAAACTTGCAAGTTTAACAGACATGTACAGCTTAATAAGCCTTTCAGTGTACCCAATACAACAGTTATGTTTTACTTCCCATTTTAACTACTTTAAAATCCATGGACTAACACAGTTAAGAGTTGGTTTAAATTAGTCTAAAGAAATGCTATTTTTAAAGGCACATTATGCAACATGTTTTATAACATTTAAAATATGGTTTAAGAGTATATTATATGCTTATCACCTGAAGGAAGTAGTGCTGAATGTGAAAATAGTAGCATTTTATCTTCTATACAAAAAACTAAACCACTATCACTGTACTAATTACCAAAAAGCAAGATTAGTCAGAATTTATTTTAAGAATTTCCCTAAAAATGATGAATGGTTTTGACGAAATTGAGAGATGAGCAAGTTCATTTTAGATATAAAGCATGAAAAGGTTAAAGTATTTTATCAAGGAGGGTTAAAAGAGGTACAGCAGGGTAAAATATATTATTTAACAATACCAATTACTGAATTTATGTAAATGAATCGTCCCTGCTTAAATATGGAGCTATCAGTTGTTAATGTAAGGAGCAATTTAGGATAGGACATATGATTTTTTGGTATCAAGGTTTCAATTAGGAATCCTGCATTACATACAGAGCATGTTCAGGCACTGGAGATTCTCAACATATCATCAGGCCTGATTTAAGGCCCCTGGGCATAAACAATGATCTTAAATAACCTCTTTTATCCAAATTTAGAAAAAAAAATACTTGATGGCTACCCAAAACATGTACTGTTTTGTAGGACTGTCATTGATGGAAAAAAGAAATAGGAAAAAAGAGGACCAGGGACCCCTCTCTTTCAACAACTAGAGAGATATCAAAACCAGACACTGAGGGAAGTATAGGTTTTAAATTGTATAATTATTCTTAATAGTGAATCTATATTAAATCAAATGTTAAATATTCATCATGTAAGAAATAGTGAGGGCCTCATATTATGACCAATCAGCCAGCCTTTTGGCTTCTGCCTGTTCAGTGTTTGGGGCAGGCTGTGAGGTGCATATAATTCTATGAGACCCTCAGTGGAAAATGTGCAGAGACTGCATATTCAATTTTAATAAGTGCAGATTAGATTGATCTATTGGGACATTTTCACCCTATCATCAGGGACAAAAATTAAAGGCCCCCAAAACTAAAAAAACCCCTTTTTTCCAATTCTAAAAAAAACCCAAAAGCAGCCAAAAATAATCAAAATGTTTTTTAACTTTTTGGGAAAAATTAAAATTTTTTTTTAAAAATGTATTTGTTATAAAATTATGCACATTTTAAAAACCTAAAATGTCATGTATAAGATAGATTTTTAACTTCTCAAATTCCCCAAAATGTTGAATTATTTTTCCCAATTTATGCCAGGGGCCTTTTCTAAAAAGAAATGGAAAAGCCTTCTGTACACTGATATCAATGTCAATTTTAAGTCATTATCGCTTCAATAGTATAAAAAAAATATATTCACATGCCAAAGATATTTTTGTTCTAGGTCAGAATCAGGAGAAGGGATTGCCCATACACAAACGGCACAATATCTCACTGTGTAGTACATTTAGCTGGCCTATACAAAGTAACAAATTAACAGTAGTACAGTACTATCATTCAGATATGTCAAGCGGGGAAATATCTATTTATAAATTGATTACCATGACAGACATTGTTTATACAGTCCAGATATTGGTTTCCTTTCTCATCATACATGTACTGTCCTGATGCTCTAGTTATTTTCAATGGATCATTTGCAAAGAACAAAATGCATGCCTCTCTGAAAAGAAAATGATTTAAACAATAGAAGGTTATTATATAGAACAAAATAAATCAATATCTTAACACATTTTATATACCATAGCTAACTTGTCAAAAATGAACAGATGAACTCTTCATAAGAAATTGCTAAATACATGTATACAAAGTGAAATGTTGTCTATCAGTTCATGAGGAATGACGAATTAAGAATAATCTCACGTGGAATTTCTGGACGACTAGGGAAATAAAAAATATTGCAAGAATAAGGTGTAGGTATAAAAATAGTATGCATACAGAGTAATTAGATACAATGCGAACAAATTCGAGTTGATGAAAATGACCTTGAACTTGGTCTTTGAGTCTGTCTGGAAAATCAGCATCTCTTATAAAACAAACAAGGACACAGATCAATACTTCGCAATATAACGAAACAAGAAACTTTAATTTACCCTATGTATTTCTTCCTTAGCTGTAAAGTATCCTCTTTCGATAATTCTTCCATTTTGTACTTGACAATGCGTAATTTACAACACTTTTCCTGCTGAAATGCAAACTGTTCTATGACTGTGATCGCTGCACTTTGTTTACATCCGTTACACTAATGGGATTTAGCTCAATACAGGATTGGAGCAGTACCTCTAGACGCTTGCAGAAATCATGATCACAAAATAGACAAATATCGTTTTTTTCGCTGATTTTAACATTTTTCATGCATTATCATACATAAATCAGTGTGAAAAGATGAATTAGACCTATTAAAGTTCATTCCGTTGCGTGAAAAAGCAAGATTTTGGCATTTTACGATTCAAGCGCCTTGCTCGGTATTTACCGGAATACGGTATTTAGTGTGGTGCTCCAATCCTTTATTTAGTCTCACTCACACTAATGATCACTGTATAAAATCCGACGTGTACCGAATATTCACCGGTCGACCAATCGTCAGAGTTATAATATTGCAAAAAATCACGCCCCTTTTCGCGCCATGTGTCAAATTGGCACATCTGTCGCATGAACGAAAGCTGTTTAATTTTTTTTAACTTTCATCAAAAACGAGTTAAGATTCTGATTCTGATTCTTACTTTTAAGATGAAATCGCAATCAGTCTGGAGGCTGATGGATTTTGTCAACAGTTTTTATTACATATAATTGATAAATTATGACATCAAAATATAGGCAGACCAGGGTTTTTAAACAAAATTGTGTGTAGACTGATACACAGTTGATGGACCAGTGTATAATAGACCTATAAATAGTCTAGTAGAAATAACAACAACAACAAACTTATAATAATGTTATTATGTATTTTGCCAATACATAGCGAAGCCTTACAAGCAGAAAACAAACATGACAATGTCAATGTACTATTGAAGCAAATCAGATAGGGTCTTTTAATCAGCATTCTGAAATTAAAAGACCTTGAGCAAACACGGTATTTTTGTATGAATAAGCTAGTATACATAATTATCTGGAAAATTATCTTGTTATCTTGAGCACATGTAAACGAATATGTTAGAATACAGTAAGATTAAAGGACAGACAATCCTTTCTGAATAGTGGCTTCCTTAGTTCTCAACTTCATATTATAGTTTATTATATCATATCATCATGTATGGGTAGATAAAGCATTTTAACAGGCTTAAAAACAACTTCCATTGTCCCAGGCTATTTTCTTTTTTCTGTTAAGATTTTATAAATAAAACAAATATTTCCCAGACCGTTACAAATCATAAATGCTATGTATCGAACATGTTATGAATTCGAACATTCTATAAACTTGTACATGTATGTGACAAAGCAAACGATTTTGAAATTTTACTCAAATGATATATATGATTTTAAAAAAATGGCACTAAAATAAGACGATAAGCATACAGCCTTTCCTGGAGCATTCTTGATTATCAAAGATGCTCTGGCTTTTTATTTTGAAATATTCACAAGTCTGCGTTGATATAACCGAAATGCAAGCCTTTCCAGGGTATAATTAATAAATTCATGAAGCATTCTCGGTGATGATTATCCTTCACATTAAAACTTCATCATTCGAGGGATGATGAGGGTCATTACCAACGATGCAACATCGTCGCTCTTACCGGAAGTAGTATTTTCAGTGTTCAGCAAATTGAAAAAATAAAGGTTAAACTGTTTGTCTGTAGCCTATGTTTAATGGAGGTCCATTCACCCGTTTAGGCACAAAAAGTAGCATTCGCTATCGAGTACGGACCCCGGACATATCACAAGTCATGCACAAAGCGGTGATGTCAGATTAAATGCATTCGTTCAATTTTCTATAGTATTAGCCAAAGATATGAATGTTGAGCCGAAGGTAGGTCACTATACAGCGGACAATAGCACCTAAACGTACATTAACTAGTGACAATACATGTAATGAAGGACGTAGTCCTGATGAAGGACGCCGTTGCCGGCAATCGCACCACATTTAAAGCCGTCTAAGGACTCGTGCACCCTTGTACCCTTCCTCGTCGTCCATGCCTACTTCCCTCGAAAGCTAACGTCATACTGAGTCGCGTCGTCCTAATTGCAGACTCGAATGCGAACTTGCAATCAAGTGAAATGTTATGCCGTTAAAACAATGTGCGTGTAAAGCGACCCGGCGCACGGTATAACTTTAAAATTTGACGTTTAAAATTTGTAACTTGATTGCTGGAACATCGCGCATGAAATAAACTATTATATGTCTTATATTAATATAATTATCATACATACGAGAAAATAAAAGAATAATACAACTAAGAACAAAATTGTCATTATTAGGAAAAAAAATATAGACCTTTTTACAATACGATTTTCTAAAGCAACAAATGTTGCATTTCGCGCATGCGCATTCTGTGTATGGCAAAAACGCAATAACATTGTCAACAGTTTATCATACTTTAAGGCTTTAATAGATGCGATTTCATGTTATGTCACCCAAAAAAAAATATTAATTTTGGGATGACTTAAGGCAGTAAGTACTGAGCACGTGAATTTATTTTTTAACAGAAAATGTGCAGGACTAATAGTTCAATGGTCAAAAAGGGCACACACATGTCGTTTGTTTAAGGTATCATTAGACGACTTTTCCATCAGTAATTTAAATTGAAACAGCAGGCTGTTAAAGATAAAATTTTATGACCCCTGTATTACATAATATTACACAATTTGTATTGTACACTTTCTTTGAATAACTGGATTGGTCAGACGGCAAGTGTCAAACAGATTGGCACGCGATGCGATGCATGTTTTGTCCTACACAGATTGCGCATGCGCGAGAAAATTCTAATTCCGGTCCATTTTTCATAGCAACGGACCGCGTCGTTAAAAGGTCTATAACGCATAACCAATTTTGAACGGGACTATCAAATTGTAAAAAAATCACGATAACACGGAAGAGGAACTGTTACACGTAGGATGGAGTTCTTATGATAACTTGTTTGGAGTTCACGGAGTTCCTGGAAAACGTTACGGATTTCTGTGAAAACTTTTCCATATACTTGGAGAACTCACAAATGGGGAGTTTGAGGTGCTAAATTAAGCTTTGATAATTAAGCTTGTCCTACATATTGTATTATGTTTCAGAAAAACATTTTAGTCCATTTTTATACCCTTTTATAAAAAATCTGGTAGTTTTAGTAAAATTTTCAAATTACTTGCTCATTCATACATATTGACCAAACGTTAATGCCATTATGCACAATAAATGCCTTTATTTCCATTTCTTTAAAAGCTTTTTATTTTTCATGTCCTGTCATCGTTTCCTTAAAGTTACTCATTGGCCAATTACCATCTTTTGATGAAGTGGGCCTTCTGTAACAACGATTACGCGTTGGCATATCCCGCAAAATGATGAAAACATGTCAACAAAGCTCAAGTATGACCTGTTACTGTTTTAAGTGATTTAGTATTTAGGATGGAAATTAAAAGACTACGCTGTTTACATCTTGCTACCTTTATGACGAATAATTTCACATTTAGTGCTACTTTCTTCAAGTGTTAAGCATCTAACTTTCTCAAAAATCATTTTTCAAATGTTATACAAGAAAAGCATTGATGCAAAGCATCAAAGGGGGTCCAAGCAAGAAATGCAGCAAGTGAAGATAAACTAGTAGACATCTGATGACCAGATATTTTTATAAACTTTTCAATGGTTACTTGGTTTTTACTCGAATTGTATATCATTTATGAATGGGCAGACAAAAGACATTGTTCATCATGAACTTTGGTAGACATGCTAGAGATTAGAATATTCAATGTTTTTTTACACAGGAACTTGAAATTCTATCAATATTAACGATAATATCCAAAATATACACTGTCAGGTATATAATATCCAAAATATACCCCCTATATGGTATAAGTTTATTTATATAATCAAATATATATTAAAAATGAGCAAAGTCTGTTAATTGATTTACTGAGAGATCAATCTACTATTTTAATGAATTACTCTGACTCACCAGTGTGTTTACATTCCTATCTATTAAGTATAAACCCATAACAACTGATTTTAAAATTGCAGACAAGGTTTCTGCTGTTAAAATGTCACAATATTCAGTAATTCAACATTCCACTTTAACTACCATAAAATCGATTGCCTTCAAATTAAATATAGAACAGTTAGCTAAAGAGACTTGAACTATAGTATAATACTGCTAGACCTGTTAACTGTCGCACAACGTCAAAAAAAAAGCGACATTTAAAGTTATGAACTAGGTCTATTTAAATATTCACGCCGTAAAAAAGAAAACCGGAGAGACCTACGGAAAAGACAATTTCAAAATGATAATACTATGATATAACAATTCGTAAAAATGGCATACTTAATTTTTTTTTCTATAGATTTATAAAGAGTGCAATTAATTGTTTGAATATGTTTGCATTTCATTTCCAGCAAAATTCTCCAGTCCATAGCGCGACACGAATGACCGTTTCGTTAAACTAAAACTACTTCTATAAATAGATTTTCGGACTTTCACAATGATAAGGTCATCATTCTATTTATAGGTACAGCAGTAACATACATAGTAACCCATTTGATTAATAAAAGAAACCCCAAAGAGTGCGATTAATTGACGGATAAGATAATTTCATTTTAATATGTTTGCATTGCGAAATTCTCCAGTTCGCTATTCATTGTACATATCGCGACATTTTATTTTTGATAATCAAACACCCTCATACCAATCGGAATGATCGGCTTTTATGGCAGACGAAAAGCCCTAGAAGTTGCAAATGCCCTTTCACAAAATCTGATTTCATTCCAAAAACTCATGTTTGCCCTTTCCAAGAAAGTAAACAAATATTCATTTCTGAGACCTAATGTGCCTACATTAATTATACATATAAATAGAAAATTACAATATACTTGTTACCAACAATTTAAAGAACTAAAGAGGGATAAGCTATAAGGAAAAAGTAATTTTTGGAAACTTTATATGGACGCTAAAATAAATGTTTGTGAGAAAAAAATAGAGGCATATTAGGACTATTCCTAGGTACAAGACTTAGGAGAGTATCTTCAAACGATCCTACGTGCAATATTAGTGCAGTCCTAACTAGCCTTACGATTCTTTATGAAACGCACCCAAGCTGGAGTATAAT